CTAAAACAATTTACCCTAGGGTCTAGTACTGTGTTGGTTGAACAAGTAGTGCATCGAATAATACATAGAAACTTGATGTAAGTAATACCTTTTTGATGATTTCTAGCTTTAGATCTAGTGTTCCTATTTTTTCTACAACACCTGTGATGAATGAATTGGACAAATAATAAGCATAATGGTTTTGCATTACGTACATTGTACAATGTCTTTCCTTGGCGAAGAAGAGTCTACAGATGTCAAAATAAACATACAAGAGCAGTGAAGGAGAGGAGAATATGTTATATTTTCCAGATGGTTATCTATTTAGATGCGAGCTTCACTAACGGATATTGATCTCAAGAGCCTGTCTGTCATTCAACGCAACATTACCGCTTACATGTGATGCAATTCAATACTAATTAGCACAAATAATCCGACAGAAAGATCAGACGTATCGGAAGGTTACAAGACTTTTTTGTAGAGATGCAGGCTTGACGAAAAAGTCGACACACGGACAGAGTATTGTCAGATAATGTCAAAAGCTCCCATTTGCCTTTTCGGCAAACTTAGCTACGATCTGACAGAGGAAACGGAGAAGATAAAAATACAAGAAATGCAAGACTAACTTCTGATAGTAAATGTGTTCATATGGTTATATCTGTGAACAATATAGAACGTCAGGGGTTGCAATTTTTGTTTAAACAAGTAAATTGCAAGCATGGTGTATTAATTATGTATTGTAGCATATTGCGAAGGAATAGCGTCATTGTAAGCGCTCTGACAGATCGTAATTGCATCACACATTATGGTAAAAGGGGCATTGTAAAAAAGGGAGGTTACGGAAAGTTCTAAACAGTTTACGTACATCAAATTATATTCTTTCCATAAGGTTTATATGGTCAGAGAACACAGTCTTTCCTACATAAAGATGATCTCCGTTTGCTTCATATTCAAAATTTGAATATAATGTCGGCCGTTTTTTTAATGGGATATTGGTAGATAGCATCTATAAAAACATGTAATCAAAAAATATTGATTAGAGTGGCAAAACAGAAAATCACACTTCTTATGAATTACTGCACAAGTTCAATTTTCCTTTGCATTCAATGTAGTGTTTATTTTTAAACGGAAAACATTAAACTAGACACCATATAAACCTTTTTCATTAATTTAATTCGTTTTTAAGAGAGGAATTTTGTGTTTCAGTTGATTGGAAACACTGATTTCCAGTTTAATCAAATTTACTATGATTATCTCTGAGGGGAATTTGAAATGTTTTCTATATTTCGAGAATTATATTTCAAATTATAGATAAAAAAAATAAATAAACTGCGTCATCGAAAAGAACCATTAAGGCAAAAGCAACTTGATTTTTTTCATTTATTTTTTTAAGATAAAATACAAAGCTAATGAGAGACTTTAAAACTAGACAACATTTAACTATATCCATCAACTTAAATTCATATTCAACCGTACCAATACTCAGTTAAGTAAGATTGAAAATTTCAGGAGGATTTATAGTATTTACAATATTCTGAGTGTTATATTAAAAACTAGAAATAAATTAATAATCTTGGTCATTGAAAAGAATCAGTAAGGCAACACCAACTTGATTTTTTTATTTATTTTTTATAGATAAAATCATAAGCTACTTTAAATTATTCGTCCTTTTGTCCTTCGCTTAGAAGTCGTCGAGTTTGTATATTTTTATTTGATAAAGTATTTTTTCTTGCCTTATGTAATTAAATTATTTAATCATTTTTTTTTAATAGGTTTCAAATTTGAGATGCCAGTAATTGTAACTATAAAATATATATATCCACTCACCACTCTTCCCAACGCCATGTTGTCCTAGGACAGCGATTTTAGTGTCTCCAAACGATGACTTCTTCCTTTTTATGTAAGGTTTAAGGGTAGAACTGCCTCCTGTTGAGGGGTCACTTAATCCCCCTCCCGAAGTCATTACGCGTAAAATCCGGTGTTTACATGATCAGCTGACACAAAAAGAAACAACTTGTAGTAATTCCTCAATGTACACTCATTGAACATATTCAATACACTTCTTAGACAATTATCTTATTTATATATAGATCATGTTCATCAGTAGGTTATTTATGTTGTTTTCAGATCCAATTAATTATTTCCACCTATACAGTTTAATGATTAAAAATAATAATTAAGAAATTTCTTACTTTCTCTAAACCTGCCAGATAAATCGTTATCAGTTATTTGTGTATATTCCAACAGCTATGATATGCAGGTTCACTGTATGATAATCGGTTACATTCATACTGCTGCCGATAATAATGTATTGAAGATTTGATTGCTGTAATACAGTATAGAACACATACCTGTAGAACATTGAAAGAGAAGTTTTATCCAATAAAGTGTGGTTTTTGCAGTGTTTTCAAAAGATATGATTTAATATCAAATTTACTGCAGATGTATTTCCTCGTAGTTCTGATGTGCGGATTTTGCTTTCAAAAATATGCATTTTGATTTTGTCTGACATTACGAAAGGTCAATCCAAGCACAACTAAGGTAAAGACATGTGTAGTATGCATATGAGTTGGAGTAACGTCCAAAAGTCTTTTAAAAAACGCGCCGAAGACTCATGATATATAAATCACTTGAAATATCTTCAAAAATCATCTTGTTACGGTTGAAATAAAATGTGTTTAAATGTAGAATTGAAATCATTATAATTAGTTTTTCGCAGATAAGTATAACTCAGAATTCTATTTAGACTATATACAAATATAATGAACTAAAAAGCATCTCATTTTCAAAGGTTTCAACTCTGACAACAGTTGCCTTGAAACTGTCGTTCGTTATAACAGAAACATATCTGTTATAGTATTTTCAAACATGCCTTCCGAGAAATAACAAAGAAAATTTTATAAAAAATTTACGGAACACATCAAGTTGATATAAAAACATATGCAGTTGATAAAGCTTAAATAAACGAACATACAAGGATACCGTTTATTTTTTGCATGCTTTGCCGTACCAGTATCTTAGATCTAATGGTAAAAGTTATAAAAAATAAAAGTACAGCCTTGCATTACATTGGCCATATTGAGCCAATACTTGTGTTAAATCCTTAAATAGTTACAGGGAAGTTTCCTATCGGAAGTGATTTGGCATCCCATTCGAAATTTGTGCAATCTAAAAGATTTTATACAATACCTGGAGGATCTTACGCTGAGAAATACCAATTCTTGTTACTTCTATGGTAACTATCATGGTTATCGTGTCAATTCAAAATTATTTAGTGAGAAAAAGTTAAAAAAAAGTTTTTCATTTTTAACGTTAGCATTTTGACTAACAGTACAATTTTTTGATGAAAAAAATCTTCCAAATGGAGTTTCAATATGAGTAAAAGAAATAGTGGGTATACGTCAATGAGATGGCAACCCTATGACAAAAAATAACAAAAAAACTAGAGGCTATTAAGAGCCTTGTCGCTCACCTGTATCTACTGTGGTTTTGGAAATCATGTAAAATAAGGTTTAAATCGTAATCAATAGTATTAGATACCCTAATAATGATTGAGGCCAAGTTTGGTTTAATTTGGCCCAGTAGTTTAATTAAAAGCAGGTCATCCAACTATTAACTAATCTTACAATAGTTACTGAAGACCCCTTATCATTATTTAAATTAGTTTTCAAGTTGTAACTATTTGAAATTGTTTTTTTTTTACAATTTTCCCTTAGACTTCTATAGTAAATCCCTATGTTCTATTTTAACCATGGCGGCCATGCTGGTTGGATGGCAGGGTCATCGGATACATTTTTCAATCAAGATAAACTATTGAAAATTGTGGCTAAGTTTAATTCTATTTGGCCCAGTATAGATTAAGTGGAGAAGATTTTTGTTAAAGATTACAAAAATTAACGAAAACAAATTGTTAAAAATTGACTATAAAGGGCCATTACTCCTTAAGGGGTCAATTGACAATTTTGGTTATTTGACTTATTTGTAGATCGTACTTTGCTGAACATTATTGCTGTTTACAGTTTATCTCTATCTATAATAATATTCAAGATAATAACCAAAAACTGCAAAATGTCCTTAAAATGACCAATTCAGGGGCAGCAACCCAACAACGGGTTGTCTGATTCGTCTAAAAATTTCTTTGTAGATAGATCTTAACCTGATTAACATTTTTACCCTAGTCAGATTTGCTCTAAATGCTTCATTTTCGGAGATATAAGCCAAAAACTGCATTTTTCCCCTATGTTCTATTTTTAGCCATGTCGGCCATGTTGGTTGGCAGGCGGGGGTCATCGGACACATTTTTTGAACTAGATATCCTAATGATGATTGTGGCCAAGTTTGGTTAAATTTGGCCGAGGAGTTTCAGAGGAGAAGATTTTTGTAAAAGTTAAAGGACGACGGACGACGACGGAGTCAAGTGATGAGAAAAGCTCACTTGGCCCATTGGGCCAGAGGAGCTAAAAACATCTAGACATGCCTTATTGCATGTTACTGTACGCAATGTTTAAATTTAGATTTTTTATTTCACTTATTATTATAAGATTTAATGGGACAATCGTATGATGCGTACTTATATCCAAAACAAATATTGAATAAAAGAAGAGACAGGGAAAACGACATAAGACAGCAACCCATTAAAACAAAAAATCCAAAGGACGTCTATAGACCAACATATGTCAAGCTCTAAATCGCTTCGGGAATAAAAAAAAAACATTGTGTACTGTTGTGTCCGAGTCTGTCAACGAACGAGGCGACGAATGTATTAAGTGTATAGAAGTGATCATTCTCGTGGCTCGTATATTTTGGAAATGTGGCATTTGCGGCTAGAGAAATTAAAATCTAAACAATCAAAAACAATATCATATACTGTACAAGAAGAAAAGATCTTGTGCAATAATCATACTAACTTTACAAGAGAGAAAATAAAAGAAACACTTGAGATGTGGTTTAAACTGAATTAGAAAATTGATATTTATCCCCTCATAAATATAAATACGCAATGATTTAACAATTTAACAACATAAAATAAGAATCTTTATTAATAAGTCTACTAAGCAATGTTATGCAGAGTCTACAGTATTATAATTTGTATATGTGGTCAGTACATTTAACCTTGCAACAGGCTTCTTGCGTGTGTTGCTGCAAGCGTTCTGTGCGCTTAGATCGTGGAACTTTAACTATATGTATACACTTCACTCTGCCAAACAACTACACTTGCAGGAGAGTCGTACCCCTTAGACGTAGAAACTGGAAACAATTGTATGCTCAAATCATGTTCCACAGAGTGGCAGTCAATTTTTCCCACCCTTCATCTCGATCATCCAACCTTTCACAACGTATTCATAATTAATTTCGTCCAAAATATGCATGAGATATATATATCAGTTAGAGTTTTACGAATATATGTTATCTGCATACCTGTTCTAAAAACTATTATGTAACAAAAATATTACGTTCATTGAGATTTGACCCTTAACAACTGAGAAATACACCTTCCATAAAAAGGAAACAGTAGATTATTGCCAATAGATTAAATGTTATTCATTATTTTCATTAGTTTGATTTATACACGTTTTACATTTTACAAAGGTTTCCTTTACTGAAACGATTGACTCTGAACTCCGATATGTCATACTTTGGAGATCTATCACAAATCAGATCACAGATTACATCACTTATTGCAGGGGATAAACCAAAACCTTTCCCTGGAAAAAAAAAACAAATTATATATGAAATTCTAATTAAATTGACTAATTAACATATACATAAAAGAATAACAAAGGATATGGGGTATCCATTCATGACACAAAATCAGTACATACACGGCAAAAAACACACAAAAGGCAAAGGAACAGCGCTTTATTGCTGATCTTCATCTCAAAGTCACAGTGAGGCCTTAAACACAAAGCAAAAAAACTTTCAGCTCACTGCAAGTTTAAGATGGCCCCTAGTACGTTAAACGATAGCAAGGAAATCAGTTATCTTAAACATGGTTTTGACAACACGCAAATTCAGGAGGGGGGAGACTGGAAAGTACTTGACATACTATTACTCTTAGAAAACCCAGGCACATCCGGTACATGCGGTTCAAATATCGACATTCTGTTATCTTAGTTTTCATGTTCAATCTAGCCCGACCATATCAGGCTTTCTTTTCTGTTACTTCTTTTGTGGGCCTGCTGGTGAAATATCGTCCCTTAGAGTACTACCCGTCAAGAATTTCGTAAATTATAAATTATACATTATATGTGTTAATTCCAGTTCATAAACTATGCCATTGTGCTACAACTAAGGATGTTGCCCCCTTGGGAAAGTTGATTTAGACGGTTTGGGTATTTTGTATAAAACTTTTGGTTCTCTTTTTTTTTTTCTTTTTTTTTTTTGCCTACTCGCTGTAGGTTATTCCAGACACATGGATATCGATATCACATGTTTTCTTTTAGCAGGCATGTGAATTTTACTAGATTTATTTTTGATACACGGATCGTGTAATTTATTCTTTGAGTGCAAGAGGTCAAAGGTTCGATTTCCGGCTAGGTCAAACTAAAAACTTGGAAATTGGCATTTGCTGATTTTCCGCCAAGCAATCAGCATTGATGGTTTGAGAGCAGAGATTGATTGTCTGTGAGGTGCACATTAAAGTTGTGTCGGTCTGGTACAAAGCAGAGTATTATTGAAGGTCGTACGGAGATCTATCGTTGTTAATTTCTGTGTAATCTCTTGTGGAGAGTTGTCTCATCGGCAATCATACCACCTCTTCTTATTTTTATATATACTGATACTTTGTATGTAGTATTAGCTGTAAAACGTAAAGCAGCAACCCTCTAATTAATTAATCGGATGGAAAAACCCAGATACAATGCTTTTTACGTTCATTTAATCTTATTCTATCACTACGGTATATACAATTGGATATATGTTCCTAGTTGCTATTCAAAATAAATTATTTTTTGCTATCTCGTACGTATTGGTGTCCGTGTTACAAAAGCCATTGTTATACAACATATTTTGCAATCGTTTACTGCAGATTTTGAGTCTATGTTGCGGTACCAATGACCGGTATTGCGATAAGTATAGATCAGAAATGCGGTGAAAAAGAATTCACGAATGTGAAAAATTTTAAATGTTCACCTGCATATCATATTTAACAAAATAAAAATAGATTTCTTAATTTCAGTCTGAAAACAATTACTTACAGACAAAAGCATTTGCCTTTGAAATTGATGGGTTCTTAACATTTAATAGTTTTTCTTATCTGCTGCTGCCGTCAATCTAACAATTATTGGTAAGCGTAACACAAAGATAAGGACCGTACAAATTCCCTCATCAAAGTTTACGTGATTCTAATATTTACAAATTGAAGTACCTGACATCCCGACACCTAAAATTATGTTACTACACTTCGGATGGTGCCCAATGATGAATTTGCTGTCTTGTGAATGCTGTAATTATATGAAAGAATGAGAAATGACAAACGGGCGTAATTCAATGGCATATACATTAATCAGGTTCTATGTGAATATTTTTATAGAAAAGAAGATATATAGTTTATTAATTCATAACTAAAAATTCCAAAATGCACACTTAATGTCATAAAGAGGCATTTAATATGGAACACCAGCTATCTCAAAGTCACGAAAGTCACACTTCAACTAAATCGGAACTAAATCTCACATAAATAAAATGATATGAATATAAAATTGAGAATGGAAAAGGGGATATATTTTCATAAGTTTGTTGCTGTCTATCATATTTGGTCTTTGTTTATTTTATTTTTTTTGTCATTAGACTTTTTTTTTTCTCTTTTATATTGTTTTACATTTTGTCATGTCACGAGACTAGTATTATAGCTTGCTATACGGTATGGATTTTGCTCATTGTCGAAGGCTGTACGTTGACATATAGTTGTTAGCTTTCACTTCATTTTTGGTCTATGGTGGGTAGTTGCCTCATTGGCAGTCATACCACATCTCCTTATTTTTATATACAAAATTATCTTACACATATATTGTTTATCAACGTCACATCTTTCAATATATTTTCGATTATTATCTAATTTACCCAAAATTGTGTGTGTTAGGGTACGGGTTAATTTTATAGCGTAATCTTCTGCCCGAAATGACGACATGTCAATAGATAGATCCAAATCACCAGGGATATTATATTTCAATAATCAAATTACATGTACGTTTCATAAAAATTCGTAAAGATGTGCTGACAATAATTGCGACGCATTCCAAAATGATATTTTATATCGCAATGAACTGTTACATTCATGACTGCACGTGTTTCCTATGACAACGTCACAACAAAGCGTAGGAAAAAACCGAACGGTTTGATATAACTCATAGCTTTATGGTTGTAACATATGCATGTGATTATAAGGGTTGAATGCTTCTGTTTTGTAATTTTACAGGGTTGTAAAAGCGTTGGCTCTTCCGCGCTTCATACACAATATGCTTCGGTCAACGCTTTTACACCCAATAAAATTACAAATAGAAGTATTCAGTTCTTGAATAAATACCTACCGAGTATATACAGTTTTCCATGAACAATGGAAGCTCTTCCAAATGGTTGAACTTTGCCTTTGCATGTGCTTCAATTTTGAACTTCAGGTCTTTATCTTCTAAAGAACTGAATTTATTTGGATCCACGTTTTTTTCACCAACATGAACGATCTACAAAAATAGTCGTGCAGAACTTAAAATTAATAATTTTGAAATAATGAACAATACAGACAATTTTCCATTGAAATCGTTCCATATTAAACTTGACACAACGTACACACCCTTCAGTGTCTTTCACAGAAGACCATATTTGTAGCACTTTTGGATGACTCTCGTATTTGTGTTGTGTCGTTGATTGGCCCTCCGTCGACATATATCTTCACCTCCTTTTATTTATATATGCATCCCACATTCAATTTGCTCTTTGAGTAGTTAGAAATAACAGTATTGTACAGTTAAAATGTAAGTGTGGTTGGTCTTAAGTACTGTGCAATATTAGAAGTAATTCCAGTTTTTTCCTTTTTATGTAAGGTTTTTATATTGACAGGATGAACAGGTTAGGTGTGTACCCAAATGTGATCCATAATTCTATCATTTTTAATAATGATATTTAAACTGAGGTTGTCAAAATGACAGCAAACCGGATTTTTATTTCATTCATCCTTGTCATTTTTTGAAGCAATCAATGGCTGTGACTCATGAACAACAAACCTAGGAATCCTTTAAAATTACCTCAATTTTGTCGTGAGAAACAACGCAATCAAGTTTGCAAAATATTAGATCAGGCATTCTAGTTTATTCCTATGAAATCGACTTGAGGTGACAATTCAAAACAATTCATGATCAAAACTAGTACTAGTAACCCTGAACGCCAAAAGCGAAAATCGCCAACTTCGAACCTAATCTCTATTTTGTCATCAATAACAACCAATTAAAATTTGAAAACATTGACTGAACGGTTCTCAAGTTATTTCATGGAAACAGCTGGTCATCAGTTTTATTGAATTGCCCGGACAGGTCAATTATCTACGAACTATTGTTATACCTTCATGCATGGGCCATGTTCTGTTGTGAAGTTAGACCACAAAACAGTGTCATCTCTGTCGCTCCATTCCATTACACTTGGGAAATCTTTCCCTAAAGTAACTTCAGACTGTTTTATTTTCCAGTATCCTAACATGACATGCCGGGTCTGGAGTAAAAGATGAAATTACATATAGTAATTCTTCTTAACTGAAACCTTTTCTTAACTTGAGTAGAAATTACTGCTCTACCAAAACATTTGATCGTTTGATGTTTCATTTGAAATAGATGATTTATATCAATAGTTCGTGTATGCATGCTGCTTGAATTTTCTCTTGAATACAAAATAGTGTGTTTCTAATCTATCGTGTGGATTAAAGGACGTGGTGTGTTCTTAAATATACAATTATGAAAATTGACCCGGGGAAGATTGTCTTGCTAAGTTATTTTAAGATAATCATTTGAAAAGCTTTTTCATTTAAATCTTTATAAAACTAACATGTGTGCTATAAGTGGAATATGTTTACAAAATTTTGACTTTGTGAAAACGTCTTGAATTCCATACTCTTAAATTCAATATCAATGTGTTTGTAAGTTTCAGATTGGTGTCCCTGCTTTCAAATTGATAATTACTTGATTATATTTATTATACTTCACGTTAAAATGCCAGATTTTGATTGGCTAATACGAGGGAGACAATTTACTCTATCCCATGCCTGAGCGGGAGACAATTATTTGAATGTCACCCTCTCGTGCAGACCAATCAGAAATCGATAATTTAAAGGTCCATAAATTGAATTTACATCAAACAATTAAAGATAGTGCTCAAGTTTTACGTTTTGGTACAGAACTTTTTTATAGACTGTCAAAATATAAAAAAAAACATCTTGCTTCACTTCTGTTGATATTTTCCAATGTCTGTAACGTTGTAATGTACGTGACGTCATAGTAAAATACTTTAAATTTAAAATTCAACAGTAAAATACAAAAATTAAAGGACATTCAGTATAATAAATTAGATAACACTTAGCTGAGATGGTGACAGAGCAGATTGGTACCCCTCGAAAAAACATTGTCAACCTTGGCTTCGCCTCAGTTGACAATGTTTTCTCGGGGTAACAATCTGCTCTATCACCCTCTCAGCTATGTGTTATTTATAAAATGTTCCTCTACGAGCGATTGACTTTATTCTGGCACCTACATATGATAGTAAAATTACTTCATCAGAGTAGTTATGAACTTTATTGAACAATGTTTTGATGGCAAAACAATATTGTTCATTTTGATTTAAATATACTCAAAATAACTTCAAACTTTACAGTAAAATGTATATTAGATCAAAAATAATATCAATACTTTTGTATTTGTATAGTAACTTATTATTAATACTCACTTCGAGATAAACTTCAAGACCTAGATCTTTCAGTATACAGTTTGACCAGGGACCAGTGGCTATCACAATTTTCTTGGATGTGAATTGGTTATTCTGTGTGGAAATTGTAGTAATATCCCCCGTTGTAATATGACTAACTGTTCCGGTATATACTATTCCTCCAGAATCAACGAACATCTCCTTAAGTATTAAAAAATTCATCGAATAATCAACTCATATCAATATGGAAGTAGTATGGACAATATATAACAGTAACATTTCCAGGTTGTCACCAACACATAACAACCGTATGAAAATCAATAAACTATCTCATTAAATAGGATGCAACACATGGAGCAGGAACACATAAGTAAATCTGGGGTTTGTGTAACTCAATGCACTTTTTTGGAAAGTGTTTTATGGACTGTAGACAATTGTCTTTTCGTCTTTTCCCTATTGGTTATGGGGATGTCTGATATAGGTTCATGTCAGTTTTAATTTGAATGGGATTTTTTTATAATTAGAAATATATAGAACTATATTCTGCGCTGAAATGTGTAATGAACTTTTCGGCATAGAGAACGTGTAATATAAAATGTTTTCCAATATTTGTCAATGATATTGTACATTCATTTTGTTCACATGCTGTAGGATTAATTTCTCAAACTTACCAAGAGATATTTGAGAATTTCATCAGCTAGCAGTCTTAAAGCAGTGTCATATATATAGAACTATATCCTGCACTGAAATGTGTAATAAACTTTTCGGCATAGAGAACGTGTAATATAAAATGTTTTCCAATATTTGTCAATGATATTGTACATTCATTTGTTCACATGCTGTAGAATTAATTTCTCAAACTTACCAAGAGATATTTGAGAATTTCATCAGCTAGCAGTCTTAAAGCAGTGTCATCAAGCAAACCAACATAATAATCGGGAAGATTTATCTGTGGAAATTGTTGTCTCAGTTCTGAGTTGCTCTTAAACATCCTCTCATAATAATCTGGATATTTCTTTGCAGATTTCAATACATTTGTCATGTAATTCTCAATAGGTGAACCAATGTGAAGTCCTTTGTGTGGTCTTTATTGATTTCCAATGTTAAATGAATAAACAAAACTTGAATATCGTTTAGAAAAAGTGTCATTTTATATGATTTTCGCCATAATACATTTTCCTTTCGTTCAATTAAAAACGTGCCATTCTTTCTATTTGTTTGCGCGCTATCTATTCAGATTTGGATTTCATAGATACTAAGTCTTGTAAAAGTGGATATATACACTGGGAAAACAAATTTGATATCCCGATAAAGGAAAAATGACTAGGTTTAAACGATAAATTTTCGTCTTGCACATAAAACTTTCCAGACACACATATATCGGCATTACCTTCTGAATATGAATATTAAGATCAGCATTAAACTTCAATCAAGCAGTTCTTTCAATTCAGTTATAGATATTTTAGTAATATAGAATGTGAGTGTGTGTGTGATTGTTCATTTCTTCTACATATCACATACAAAAATACTAATACTGCAAACAATTATTATAATGATACTTGTTATTGTCTTTGAGTCTTATACGTTTTGAAATATATGTTGCTAATAACATAATAACGTATATATGATTACTATTGGTGCCCATACAAACACATTCAACCTGTCGATAAATGTTATTGTCTAAAGTTACAAAGATGTTGTTAAAGGAAAAACTGTAATACAGCTTTAATTATCTCATTACAGTCATTATAGTTTGGGTTTTTTTTCATTTCAGATGAAGGATTCGAACGAGTCACTATTTATAAATTATCATTTGGATTTCACGTGTTTGTGACGCTCACAAACTCAGACAGTAGTGTTAAAGCACTACATGAGAACATACTCGGATCGGTATTTTGTGTCATTACATGCTTCTTTTTGTTATTTGTTTTTGTCTGCTTTGCGTCGACTTGATGAGTAAAGCCTTTTTCAACTGATTTTTTATAGTTTGTTCTTATGAGTACTGTTACACAAATGTCCCAGGTAAGAAGTAGGGTTAGGCGCCTGCAAACATGTTTAAGTCGGGAGCCTATAAAATAGTGGTTGTCGTTTGTTTCTGTATATCATATTTGTTTTTATTTAATGGATTTGTACTTTACACAGACCGTTTGTTTTTCTCGTTTGAACTGTTTTACATTTATCATGTCGGGTGCCTTTTTGAGCTTAAACTAATACACCTCGCGATTTAAAAAGGATCAATAACTTTACATGGCACATATCTTAATTTGCTTGCTCTATAAATAATATCACCGTAAACTTAGGATGTGATGTTTGTCATAATATTTCGACAGGAACAGGCATATTGTCTAACCAAATAGTTGTATTGACTCTCTCTCTCTCTCTCTCTCTCTCTCTCTCTCTCTCTCTCTCTCTCTCTCTCTCCATTGTGTATCATTTTTATCAACATCTTGGCCTCGCCGTGACATAATAAAATCATATACATTACATAACAATGGTTTTCTTAGTATGTTGTTGAAGTCTATGCCAACTATTCAAGGAATCATTCTTCATCTGTTTGAATGTTTCCGTTTCTGGAAATCCAGTTATTTGTTCAACACCTCGACTGTGGCCCTTAGAACTACCATTTGAATGTGGTATAGGAAACTATGGTCAAACATTGCAAAATATAGATATATGATAGCATGAAACACAATGGTGTTGTATGCCTTTAAAATCACATTCATTTTTCAAAAGAATTACCAATAACAAGAAATATGCATGCATTTATATCTCTTTTTCATGTAGCCATTTCGAATAAGTGCATGTTATACTAGCTTTGAAATTATCTTTTAATAAGATGTCAACACTCTGTTTTGATTCGAACCCCTCTAGTGACTATCTTGTAGGTGAAACGCACGTCTGGCTAAATGATCATTGAACTACTAGGTCGATGTCACTGCCGGCGGATGTTTTCTATCCATGGGTTTCACCAAATAAAAGTCATGTTTGTGCCGACGAACATTATTAATGCAGTTATTTTTTTTTCTAATTTTCTAGTACTGTTAGAAAATGTTGAATGATTTGATTTCTTTTTATTTTCAATGATCTTCAACTTCGCATTCGATTTTACCTTCAAACAGTTTTAATTCCAGGGCCACTGATGACTTTTGAAAAGACGAAACGCGTATCTGGCGTACTTAAAGTATAAACCTATGGTCTCTAATGAGCTTTTACCTGGTCAATAAGAAGCGTTTTCCTTCCCGATTTAATCAATTTCAACGCAGTAAAAGATCCAATGATACCTCCACCAATAACCACAACATCATAACTATCCATATCACTCATTATCTTCAAAGTATCGACTGCTTAAATTTCCGTTTTCAATCATTAGATATCACATGACTTACGTGTTTGTCATTTATATTGCGAATATATTATTCCGTGCTAACATCAGTGTCTTTTTTGCATAAATTAATTGTTAAAACTTCAGTTAATTTACACTGCTGATTGTCAAGCACAGTTACTATGTATATGCATAAACCAAACAGGTGAAATTATATAATGCTGTCTTCAGCAATATTTTAAATGAATTTTATTTCATACTTTAAAACACGATATGATTCACAGTTCAATGGTAGTATTTCAGAAGATCATGCACATGACTTTTTTGTCAAGAGTTAGTTCAAAATACAAAAAGATTTAATGTACAAATGGTGTTGTTGATTATTATCTATAGTAAGTATAAGTATGTGGAAACTCTACAATACACATTTCTTTAATCATCTTTGATGAAGATATATGAAATATACATTTGTTTTGTGCTCATGCAGAGTAGGCATAATAAAAACAACAGAAAAAAACTGATTTTAGATAAAACATTTATAAACATGCCAACATTCAGGTTATTCCTCCTCCCATAATAGATTTGTGTATGATTTTTACTACCAGTAAGTTTTCGCAGAAAATTTCTATTTATAACTTCTAAATGAGGCTTTATTTCGTCAACTGAAGTACCGATGTTCAAATCTCCTATAAAATTAATTATTGAGAAAAATCAAGGCAACAACGGAAACTAAGGGAATTGAAAGAACTACAAAAGGACAGAGACCGGGTGCGTCGACAGGTAAGCGTCTCCTAATATGCATACATCACCCGCCACGCAAATCAACACTCTGTTAATATGTCACAATTGGGAATAGGATTACAGATCAGACGACTATACTGGTATCTAATTATCTCAAAACATGACGCTCATATACTTCGTATCGGTCAACCAATTCGGGATGGTGACCGTAAAACTTTTGTAGTTAGTGTCGGAAACAGACGTTCTTCCTCATAGCTCTAGTCTGAAGGACAAGTTTTTGTGTAAGTAGCGCACCCTTGTTACTGAAGTCCGTATAGGGGAACATTCACAAGAGTAATTATTAACTTAGATATGTCAACGTCATACGATGGGGCAATTGGTATGTTACTCCTGTAAAATGGGACGTTGACAATCAGTAAATAAGCACGTTTGTCATAGATTCTAGTTTGAAGTCGTCCATCTGTGTCAATATCAAAGAATAGATCAAGATATGAAACAAACAATATTTTCGGTACTGTTCTTATTATCAAGTTTACTGGGATACATGAGATGTAAGCACTTATTTAAATGTGGGTTCTTGAGTAACAGGAACTTTGCAATATGCTTTTTCTTTTGAGAAGGTTCTTATGAATCCTGCTTCATATAAGTTCAAAATCGAGTCGTCCAGTACTAATACACAATAAGTACCCATTGGAATATCAACTATATGTTGAAATATCAATCCATCAAACTCAACATGCATGTTGTCGATAAAAAAATCCAGTATGTTGATGATATCATCTTCGGTGTATTTGTTGTTGAAATCAGTTTGGTTAATATTAAGATTTTTCCATGACTTTACACAAGGAATTTGTATCTTCGTTTCCCAATTTTATACAAAAATCTCTGTTTAATGAGACGATGTACTCGATCTTTTATATGAGCATGGGGAACAGTAGTACTCGTGTAAAGTATTAAAATTATTTAAAAGTTTTGATATTACTGCAAATTTGTTAAGGATGTTTAGTAGATCTTCATGTTTTTTTTAAATTTACATCTGATTAACACCGCTGGTTGAATAAATTTCCTCACAATATTTCCGAATACCCTCGTTATGTTAGATAGAATGGTTGAAAGAACTTCAGAAAGACGTTTAGTCGAACATCTTGAAAACCCGGCTTTACATCATTCTATATTAAGATGTTTGTGAAGTTTAGATAGTCAATATAAAGACAGGAGATTTTCATTGTCCCTTTTTTTGTTAATACCTAACGAGAGAAGTAAGGATTTGTGATTTTCTATAATCTCCCCTTTCTTGAAAATGTAGAGAAATATGTACATGTGGATTCCCAGTTTTGTTGTTGATTCCAAGCTCGTTGGTTAGATATTCCAAATAATGATTTTTGCATATAATATATATTGTTTGAAGCTTTGTCCGATGGACAACAACATATGTGTCGTGGTGAGATGTAAATAGCATCCACAACATCGGGTTTCTTGAAAGGATTAGAAAGCCGTGTGCGCATTGTACGTCGTATATTTTATATGCGCGCCTGAGTGTATGACCGAAGTTATATCTGAGAGCTACATTCTAAAACACAAATATGTGATGGAAGTGAAAATAAATGCAATCGCATGAAATCAGTCCAAGTTTCATAGGTCGGGCGTTTACAAAGGACACAGAGGGAGTGAAAATGGATCGCATCGCCTGAATTCAGTTCAAGTTTTAGAACTGGTTTATAACGACAAAGACAAGAGTGAAAATAAATGGAACTAAATGGAGTCAGCACAAGTTTTATAAGTCGGTGTTTACAACGGACTAAGAGGAGAATGCAAATAAATAGAATCGCATGAAATCAGTAAGAGTTTCTTTAGTCGGTTTTTACGAAAGACAATGATGGAAGTGAAAATAAATGGAATCACATGAACTCCAAAATTGTAGTGGGACTATGTGTGTCCACACAGTAAACTTTTCCTGTTGTGCATTCGTCAAAGTAACAGCCAGTGTCATAGCAAGGAACATGTCATATTAATGTCAAGCTGATGGGATCAACGAGTGAATTTGAAAATTCAGACTTAGTGACAATAAACCAATACGTGATAGCAAATGTACAACTTTTGATAATTTTAGTCGTTTTTCCTAATAACTCTGCTGACGTAGATTTCATTTTGCTCAAAACCATAGTTCAACTTGATATTATAAGTAGTAAAAAGTATTACTTATTATATCAATATAGGTACTTACACTATTGTCGGTATTTCATTCCAAAGATTCATTGACACATTTATAGATATTGCATGACATGTGACACTGGAGATGAGTTGTATTTACTGAGCATTTCAATTTAGAAAATATAGAAATCAATACCAAACAAAAGTAACAGGAATAAATGAAATACACGGTTCCTTTTTAGTAACAATGCATTATTTATATTAAATCTTAGGTCAGCAATATCAGCTCAAACTAAACTCAAAAGTTATTATAGTGAAAGCCTAACTATACGAATACAGCACTTAAATTGAAGTGAACACTCTATTATATTTTATTTCCCTACTACATATCATTATGTGTTTTATAAGCTTGTGAATATTCTTAGTAAATCTTTCATTTTGTATACTGTAATTTTATAACTGTTTGGCCATAACTATTTATTGTAAATGTGCTTGTGCTAAGAATTATTGTCTATTGCCTTTGTATATTGTCTATTTGTCTATTTATTTGTGAACATTTATTTTTCAATACTTTTTCAATTCCTTAAGAAAATGTCATCACATCATCTACCTCGTGACATCGACGTATTAGATCTTAATCAATAATGTTTATGTCGGACAATCTAATCTATGTTTATATAAAACGATTACATAACATGCCACAGATAACTAAGTGTCATACTACTTCAAATCACTGAGGTATGTTACATATAGAAATAGGAAAATTTATTTAACAAATACTTCCGGAATCTTTCTTACTTGATGCGTAGTATTTTAAATTTAAACGTATTGGTATCCTTTTGCTGCACATAATATACATCGAAATAAAGTTCAGATGGCCTGACCTAGTAATTTTGCAGAAACACATATAATGGCTGGATTGTGCAATCTTGAGGGCAAAATTGCTCTTATTACTGGTAAGAAGGCGTTTTATACTTGACAAGTCAGTAAATTTCATATCTGATTATGCATGCATAAATATAATGAAATTGATGATAAGACGGTTATTTTGATCTACGTTAATGTTATTTGTCCGGTCACTCTAATCTGTTGGTCACACCCGTCATATCAAATATAAATGTATTGTAAAATGTACTAAGTTACTTCGTTTTGTAATCATTTATTGTATTTAAAGGTTAAAGATATTGTTTAAATTGTTTCAACTGTTATAACATCAGGGGTTAACCAGTTTTTGACAGTTATTTCACTAGTACAATATTTATGAATTTTAGTTTTCAGCGGTCATTTTGATCTTTACATCATCTGAAAAGTCTGAAAAATAAATTATTCAGTCATGTTCAGTCTTTCAGTCAAGTTTCAGATTCACCTACTGCGGTAAATTCACTATTGTTCAGACATTTCGCCTGTTGTCAATTCAGTATCATATGATGTGCAAGTACATAAAAACTACTGAACAGTCCGAATAGATTTTAATTGACTCCAAGACAATTTTTTGAACAGCACTGAATTTACCGGAGTGAATAAGTGAAAATGAATTAATCCTTTATTGTTCTGTCTTTTAAGAGCTGTCCAGATCGAAATGGCCATTTCATATCAAAATTGGATTCCTGCTGTAAACGGCACCAAGCCTTTTAGATGTGTTCCTCAGTTCATATTAAAATCATCCGACTTATCATACATTCGTGTATTTAGTTATGATATTTCTTTTGTAAGTCTGGTTGGATATTGTGTTATGTCTTATCGTTTGTGGTTTGAATTTTATTCTTATTTTCTCTATGTATGTAAAAGTTAAGATGAATAATCAGTTAGTTCATTTATATTATTTTTAGTTTAAAGCAACTATATGCACATAATTTATTTGTTTTACACAGTTTTTAATTAGAAGAAAAACCGGTTAGAAAATACAAATAATTGCACCATTTCTAACACAATTCTATATTTATATTCTTGTAATGGTTAGAAAATACATAATAACACCGTTACAAACTTAATCTCAATTTTGTATTCTAGAAATTTACCTGTGACGTCACTTTTTGTGGCGTTGTTACATTCGTGTGACGCACATTTAATAATTCTATTGTGGTGTACTGGTGAACTGTCGTAAATTAATGGGAGGTGTCCGTTGTTATTCTGTGATTTACATGTTGAAATATATTATTATATTATTTATTTATGTATTTCTCTGTCCTGAGTGTTCTTGCGTTTATTTGTACTGTATTCCTGTCACGTATTTTGTCATTTTAGCGGTATTTTTAACATTGCCGTATAAGCGTGAAGTTTGGCTAGCCATAAAACCAGGTTCAACCCACCATTTTTTTTAAATGTCCTGTACCAAGTCAGGAATATAGCAGTTGTTATGAAATAGTCCGTTTCTATGTTTGTTGGCGTTTGTTTTTGTAGCAGTTCAGTGTTTCTGTTGTTCTGTTGTTTTCCTCTTAATATAGTTGATGTGTTTCCCTCGGCTTTTGTGACCTGGATTTGTTTTCGCTTAATCGATTTATGTCTATTGAACAGGGTATACTACTGTTGCCTTTATTTATCTTTAATGAGTTTTGTTTTAAAGAATTACGTTAGTGTGAAGAACCTTAAACACCTCCTTTTGTATCGTATCATATGAAAATATTATGCAGACTCTCTGTATCGTATTTACATATCTCGAAATATATTGATAAGAAATATCAGTAATATAGTATTTTTTCTGTAAATTTATTGTTCATGAAATGTTAAAACCTTTCGAAACAAAATTATTCGGACCAACTGATAAGTTTGAAAACATCACAGAATTGAGATATGGGTTTTTTCATTAGGTGCCAGTTCTGGTATAGGACAAGGAACTGCGATCTTGTTTGCAAAACTTGGTGCGAAACTTGCAATCACAGGTAGAAATGAGGAAAATTTGCGGAAAACAGCTGATGAATGTGAAAAACAATGTGGAATAAAGGTAAGTGATAGTCCTTAAGAAAATGAACTTGTATTTTAATAAGTCCTCGTGTTGATTATATTCCATCTGGAAAGAAGTAAAAATATGGAAGTATATGCATGAAATGATATTTTTTATCTAAAACATATAATAAAAACTGGACTCAATCATGGATATATTACTGCGACAATGAGTCAACATTTTAGATCGGTAAAAGTACGATTCACTGTGGATGCAATGTATGGCAAAACTTTAAGAAAATGTTGACTATTTTTTTTTCAAAAACTGAATAAGAACTTGATGTCATTGAATTTCAGGTTACCAAAGGGATCAAAATATCTTCAAAATGCACATCACAATTGAGATGGACCAAACACGATTTAAACTATCCTTTACGTTGATGATATATAGATTCTAGCTCCATTGTTAAATATGAGAATAATGAACGGCATTATATTTTAAAACAAGGTCTATATAGGATGGGTACTACCCCTCGAGTTTCATAGTCAATCGGCAGTGTTATCGATTAAGTTGACGTAGTAAAAACGTTTCATTTAGCTATTATTCGTATGTTTCTCTGTCCTATATGTTCTCCCATTTATTTGTATTGTAGTCCTGTCATGTAATGTTGTCATTTTAATGTTATATTTAACATTGCCATAAAAGCGGGAGGTTTGGCTAGCCACAAAACCAGGTTCAACCCACCATTTTTTTTCTTAAAATGTCCTGTACCAAGTCAGGAAAATGGCCATTGTTATATCATAGTTCGTTTCTGTGTGTGTTACATTTTAATGTTGTGTTTCTGTTGTGTCGTACGTAGTTCTCCTCTTATATTTGATGTGTTTCCCTCAGTTTTAGTTTGTAACCCGGATTTGTTTTTATCTCAATCGATTTATGAATTTCGAACAGCGGTATACTACTGTTGCCTTTATTCATGTCAAATTTGGCGTACTGCAAGAATTTTTTTTTTTTAAATTGCTTTAAAAATACGACTGCCATAACAAAACCATATCATCTTTAAGAAAAAATAAAATGGAAACGGAATTAATACACACTACGATTTTCACAATAGTTTTTAGGAAGCAAACCTCATTTGAGATCTCAACTTTCGCCTGTTAAGAGATTGCATAACATAAAAACGTAAACAGAGACTAGAAATTGTTCTGGTTTGGAAAAGCACGCAAATAGAAGTACATAATAACCAAAAAGTTTCTATGATTTAACCCCTAAAACTTATCAGAGTCTACTGAAATACAATGATAAATCAAAGTTTTTCAAATCTAGTTCTACTGCATATACATCGTTTTAAAAAGGAAATATCTGTATTGGATTTATTTTTAAATTGAAGCCACTGATGATAGTAGCAGACCTTGCAAAGGAAAGTGATATACAAAAAGTTATAGATGATACCATCAAAGGTTACAGAAGTATTGATATTTTAGTATGTTGTTTCTTATATGTGTAGAAATATGTTATAGTCAACAGACGGAGTGAATACGATTTCGGATTGTATCATAATTATCAAAATGTTATCCGTCTGAAAAAGAATAAAAAGGAAGGAGAAAATATCACTAAGCAAATAGAAAACCATAGAACGAAGAAAGACACACAATGAGCAATTATACGTGAAAATAATCTATTTCAATTTACAATTTACCAAATTAGTCAAACAAACTACTTTTAAACTTTATCAGATCAGAAAAAAAATTTCAAACGCTGCGCGTTATCTTTTTCACATTTTCAAGCTGAAGTATATTCTCCCGTTGATGGTATGATTCGAAGGGTTGAAAGTCTTGTTCATTCAACAATTTGTTTTTCTGTATTTAGGTTAATAATGCCGGTATTGGTATGATGGGAGGTATTGAGACATTGACCCCTCAACAGTATGATGAAGTGATGAATATAAATACGAGGTGATATTGAATTAAATGAGTTTAATTGCCTCTATATTGACAAAAATATATAAAGTAAAAAAAATTACCCAGATCTTTGAACAAATGATGATGAACTACAAGATTATGAATTAGATTATGATTTTGGATTGAGCTAAGCTACTGATAGTAAGTTAACTCATTACATTCGTGAAAGTATATCTAAGCTCTTTAAGAGTCTGTTTGTAAAGCTTAGCTTCGTCATTGAATGCTTTCATTTGAAGCTGCAGTCAATATTTACTCCTCTAAACGCGATATCCTTCCTGTTAAAAGTGCAGTAACATTGGTACCGTAACTGTTATTGAGTATAATCAGACCTTAACTTATTTGTAGAATTACTCTATGTCGTGTTCCTATTGTTGAATGAAGGGTGTTGATTTAGAGTAAGACCAATAACAACCTTTCTGGGGGAATTGTGGTTCTTTTTTCTCATAATGAAAGAGGTACTTAATTATGTTAACTATTGTTGAATAACTGTATACGCAAAATATTTTAAGTTCCATTGATGACTTTTTTAATTAAAAGAGAGGCGAAAAATACCAAACGGACATTCAAACTCATAAGTCGAAAATAAACACAAAGCCATGGCAAAAAACGAAAAAGACTAAAAGACAAACAATAGTATACAAAACACATCTAATAGAAAACGAAAGACTGAGCAATCCGAACCCCACCACAAACCGGGGGTGATATCAGGTGCTCCGAAAGGTTAACTTATCATATTTATGATTTCAGATCGATTTTCCTTCTAACAAAGCTGTCTGTTCCACATCTTAATCAGAATGGCAGTATAATTAACGTATCTACCAATGTTACGATTGGTCCGGTAAGAAACCATTTATAATTGTTCACCGTTCTTGCTATTAAGAGTTAAACTGATTGCAGATATATCCCTAATCAGACTTTTTGTATCAACAAAACAACTGATGATTGTTTGGTTAACTGAGTAGGCCATATTAACAACACAAAATCTTATTTCCATTTCGTTTACCAATTTACAAAAACTTAATCAAAGGGTTTAGCAGCAGCAAATATCAACTGATCGTTGGTATTAAGGAGAACTATTTTAGATTAAAACACATTTTACAGTTAACTGACGTATATCATGATTAACAGGGACCTCTTTTTGTAACATTTAGTAGCAGAAGACACCAAACCGACAATTACGAATCATAAGTTGAAGAAAAACCGACAATGCAATTACCAAAAACTAAAAATGAAGAAAAGACATTAACAGTTTACAAAACACTATATAGAAAACTTAAGACAGCAATATGATTACTACCAATAATTCGGAGGTGATCGCAGGTGCTCCGGAAGGTTAGGCAGCTACTACTCCACGTGTGGCGTCCGTCGTGTTGCTCATGGCCAGTACGAATGTGGTGATGTCACGATCGGGGAAAAGAGGTTATTGTGGCGACGACAATTGCAACACTTCCTGTGTCATCTGTGAATCAGATATTCCATAACGATTAATAAATAGCCACTGTGAACCCTTGGTTTAATAGCTCTCTTGTAAGCAGCAGATCTTTATATAGGAAATCAGGATAGGAAACGCGAGCTCTATGATATCGTATCATCTCGCAGCCTTTTGATACACCACCGTACATCATTGTTAATTTCTAGATTTGAGTGAAAGTATGAGGCAATCTTAACTGTATCTGTTTTATTTGATGGGATAGATGCGTTCAAACTTTGAATTATTTAGGTAGATGAGTTCATCTTTATAGCGGACAGTGATGTTAAAGGACAATGCTAGCTTCTTTTCATTCTTCCTGAAACACAAGTCTTCCAAACGTTACAAATAAGGTATCAAACAAAACAATCAAGCATTTTGATGATGCCAGTTTCGGATATTTTTGTAATAGGCATATTTTATTTCAATTTGCAGTTATACTTGCAATTCTAAAAGACCTTTCAGTAACAACTTTTGAACCATTTCCTAAATACATGTATTCATTTGTTTAGGTTTATTTCATTTGCCTGTTCGTTTTTTTAAACCTTGGCGGTTGTTGTTACTTAATCTTTAGTGTTTCTGCGTGATGTTTTGTTGACTTCTGTGAATGAATAAAGGGTATGTCATTTGTCGTTTTAGTTAAACTAATATATCTGTTCTGTTCTTTGATTACCATGAGGTTACAGAAAGTTTGAAAACTGTGAATGGTGGAAGAAAGACTCTAATAAATGGCAAAGGCTCAGGTGGTCTTTAAATTTTTGGATAGCCTATATTCATATTATGCATTATTCTTCATGTTGATTTTACCTTTTTCATGTGTAGATTGTAAATTACTATATCCTATTCGCTAAAATTAATATTGACCAGTTGAAGCATATATACATAACTATGATACAAATTAAGTGCATCTGACAGGTGTTTTAGTCAATATATAAACTGCAAGGTTTAATATATGTTTTTATTTAATGCCTGTTTAGGTTCCTTCATTATTAGCATACGGCATGTCGAAATGTGCATTAGATTACTTGACAAAAAATGTAGCAGTAGGTAAGTTATACACTAGTATTGGCAGATAAATCCTTTACATTGATTATGAAATTTCAAGTTCTTTTTTATAGATACTCTTTCCAAATGGATTAAGTCTGTGAGGTCGTTCATACAAATCAGAATTAAAAACTTTTTTTTAACAGTCATTTTACTGCACTGAAAGCTTCATGGGTCTCCAAATTAACAACAACCGAACTGCCGAACTGGAAGATTATTGCTACTAAATATTTTAACACTCTTGGTAAAAACTTTCTTGTCTTTAAAATGAATTTAGATAACATAAAATCACTAAATGAATTTGGAAACATACCTGATTTTTATTTACAAGTAATTTCAAGTCGGGTGATAACAGGAAGAGGTTTAACAAAATTTTCTGATCACTTTTCGGGTATCAGAAAACAGATTATTTGGGGAAAAAATATATATAAAAAATCGCAATAAAAGTTTGTTCTTCCCGAACTGGGTTAAACGTGGATTGGTGTATATTAACGACATACTGGATAGTGAGGGAAAATTATCCGAAAGCTTTATTTTAAAAAAGTTAAAGAATAAATCAAACTGGATTGCAGAGTTTAAGATGTTAAAATCTTGCATTCCAAAAGAATGGCTGCAAGTTTTAAAACAAGAAAACTCCGTTAAGAGTATAATCAATATATGTAAGGATAAATTAAGATGGCAAAATAAACAAATTGAAGCAAAATATATCAACAATAAAATACTCTATAATACTTTAATAGATAAAAAATATACAAAGCCAATCGGTATTAATATTTGGACGAGATATCTAAAATTAGAATACACACCACAAATGACATTTGTATACGATTTTATATTTAAAATTTTAACAGAAAACAAGTTGAAAATTTTCAGATGGAAACTACTTCAGTATATTATTCCTACAAAGCAGTTACTTTTAAGATGGAAAATATCTGAGAATGATAAATGCAATTTTTGTAAAACAGAAGAAGAAGATTACTTGCATTTCTTTATTACATGTTCTTTTTTGAAAGATTTTTGGGAGAAGGTACATTATCTTCTAGCAAAAATGAATTTTCATAACAAGGTATTAGCAAAACAATTAGTATTTGGATACAAAATATCAGACCAGCGGTATTATGGTTTTAACTATTTTTTGACAGTTTTAGGTTTTTGTATTTCCAAGTCATATTATGTCTCCGAGCAAAAACTTAAATTTTTAGATGTGTATAGTATGTTTATAAAAGAAATACGAAGGGTTATGAATGAGAACAAAACAGTATCTCAAAATGTATTTTTCATTAATTTAAAAAGATTGATATAATAGAAAAAAACGTTTATATTTTATTATATTCTAAGTATTGTCCTGGATACTCAGAAAGTATTTCACAGGGATACTTTATTGGAGCTTGGACAGTGAAGTAAAATTGTTACAAGCATTCTGAAGAATAAAGAATATCTATTTGTTGTTAAAAAAAAAAGAATTAAAAATTTGAATGGGTCTATGAATACACATGCTACATCAATCTTTAAAGATCAAATGTTGCAAAACACCTGTCCTACCTCCATGACAAATATGTTGTTGTTCGCGGATAAAGCCCCAAACAACATCGTTTTTGTGTGTAAATCACATTACATAAACTGCTTGATAAATGAATAAGGTATTGAAAATTCAGTTGGAAACTCAACATAAACCCCCACGACACTTACCAAGGAGGAAATCCTGGATAAACATAGATCTGTTCCTTTGGAATTTCAACCAAAGATGAAACTAGATCTTCTCAATTACATAAGTGTCCTTACAAACAACGCTTTATTGCTGGGTCTTCCAAGTGCTCCACGGAACCTATTTCTAAATTATAACATCACTATTATTAGCAATCAAAGCCGGGTTGCAAAATAGAAAAAAATCTCTGAAACTGACATTATTAAGAAGCTTGATTTCTTAATTGACAACATATTTGTTACGTTTTGAGGGCGTGTTTTTCAACAAACAATCGGCATTCCCATGGGAACCAACTGTGCTTCTCTTCTTGCCGATTAATTCATTTATTCATATGAGACTGACTTCATATAGGAGCTTCTTAGAAAGAAAGAAAAAGCAGTTAGCATTATCCTTTAACTTCACTCTCCGCTATATGGATGATTTTACTCTCGAACTTGAGATAAAGGATGCAACAGATACAGTTAAGTCTGCCTCATATCTTGACTTACTTCTCGAAATTGACAATGAGTGTCGGTTGAAAACAAAACTTTACGACAAAAGAGATGATTTTAGCTTTCCCAATTGTGAACTTTCCATTTCTAGGTAGCAACTATCTAGCAACGCCTGCACACGGAGTATACATTTCTTAGTTGATACGATATTCCAGTATTTCCTATCATGATTTCCTTGATAGAAGGTTGCTGCTCACAAGGAAGCTATTAAACCATGAGTTCCAAGTAGTGGAATTGAAATCTTCCCTTCGTAAATTTTACGGATGCCATCACCATTTGGTTGACTGTTATGGAATATTTAGTTCACAGATGACGACGGATATGTTCCAATTGTCGAAACCACAATCCTGTCCTCTTTTCCCCGAATGTGACCTACTGAATTGGACTTATCACCGGTTTTGTACTTACATGAACAACACGATGGGTGCCACATGTGGAGCTGGATCTACTACCCTTCTGGGGCAGCTGATATCACTCCTAGTTTTGTTTAAAAAGTGATCGTGTTGCTCTTGCTTCAGTTTTTAGTGTTGTCCTTTTTGCTTTTATTTTTGTAATGTCTGTGAAGTTTATACCGGTAACAGTCTTGTCTATCCTTTGACATGAAAAATTCGTTTCAATTTCAAAATTTTACATTTGGTCAAATTTTAAGGTTGACATGACCGTTGGTTTATAAATTTGGTAATGTTTTAGGGTTAAGAAGGACAATTACCAATCCACCACTGCGTGATGCCTAATCACTTCATATAACTTATCAACCTATTTTAACGGAGTAACACGACGGGTGTCGCATGTGGAGAAGGATCTACTTACCCTTCCGGAGCACCTGAGATCACCCCGGTTTTTGGTGGGGTTCGTGTTGCTCAGTCTTAATTTGCTATTTTGTGTTTAGTGAACTGTTGTTTGTCTTTTTTTTCTTTTTTTTCATCGCGTTGTCAGTTTATTTTCGACTTATTAGTTTGAACGTCCCTTTGGTATCTTTCGCCTTTTTTTTCCAGATTTATGGAAAATGTAAAACATTTACCAGTAATGAATCGAAAACATATAAACAACCATAACAAATTATAGGCGAACTTAAGTCACTCGATTCTATGCAAAGCCAAATCTCGTTTATATATTAGATTTGTGGGATATATATTTGTCAACTTGGCGAGCTGTTTTGGAAACAACTGGATGACTTTTGGATAATGTGCAGTCTATAACATGTCCTCAAGACGCGACAGGAAATAGGGTTTATTTTACATTTACTCAGTCAAAATTTCGCAATAGAAACAAAATGAAAACAAAATTTTATAAATAAAATGCGTCCAAAGCGCTTTTCTGGAATCACTTTCATCAGAAATGCTCGAGCTCAAAGCCGAATATTTAAAATCCGAGGATGTATAAGAACCGAAACAGGGAACAAGACCCAATCGGAGAATCTACAGACCAGACGACTATTGTGATATATAGAGATCGGAGACGATGAAACCATGTCGCTAGTGAGTTCAGAAACACGGATATCGTATATCGATCAACCAATTAGTGATGGTGACCGTAAAACTCATTTAGTGTTGATTATTCGTCGTTCCTCATAACCATGTTAAACGTCCTTTTAATGTTAATACCAAAGGAAAGAAGTACTTTTCTGTGATTTTCTAAATATCCTTTGTGGTGAGTAATGGAATGATGGTATATGTGGGATAAATTACAAGTTCTTGATTGATTCATTACAATAGTCATGAATTGTGCACATAAAACAATATTGAATGGGGTTTTTCTGTTGTAACAACATCTTTTTGAGTCCTGAATGCATAACCTTACAGCTTTGATCAATTTAGATAAAGTGTCCAGTTTTTATTCATTGTATTGAATTGATGACATAGTTCGGAATGCATCTATCAGTATCGTTAAGTTCTTCTTCTAGTTGATGGGATAGGGACTTTGGTATTCAGGCCTTTGGCTTACAAATATCATAGTTGTTCATTGTTTACAATCCTAAGGTACCCGGCTATATCCAGACCAGCAGAAATATCTTTGTATTGGGACGATGAACAATAGTAATTGGATGTACTTTAATAAATCCAGCTTTGAATTTAAATAGTTATAGTTTCGGAAATAGGACCGCTAACACACTTTGGTCATTTGTGTGCTCTTTCATTGACGTGTACTGCACGCCATTTATATTAGAAACTTTGTTTACTGTAGTATTTTATATTTATGTATTTTTCGTCAAACAAATTATAAAAAATTTTATTTCAGAACTTGCACCGAGGAAGATCAGAGTTAATAGTGTAAAGTAAGTGAACAGTTGTATATATTAACTACTTTAGTTAATTCAATAGTGCTGAAATTGATTCCTGAAGTATGAAAAGCTGTTTTCCTTTGAATTTGAATTCTGTGATTCAACTTTAAATTGTTAATGTTCAATGTAGTTCTAAAACTTTAAATTGATTGATTGAATGTAGTTTGACATCAACTTTATAAAACATTTTATAAAATTTCAGCCCAGGGATAATAGTAACAGAAGTCCATAGACGAATGGGCATGGATGAAGATACCTATCAAAATGTATGTTTCTTCATTCACGGCTTTATCTTGAATATCGAATATTGGTTAACATTCTCCGTGATTTGAAATTGAATCTTTGGAAGAAATTCAGATAGTTCGCCAAAAGAATATTAGTCTTGTTACTTTGATATGTCTCTTCCTAATCGATTTACAAGACTTGAAGATCGGTAAATTACTGTCGCCTTAAATTAGCATATTTTATTTCAAAATGTCTTCAGTCAACATTTGACGACTCCTTCGAGATCTGTTCAACAACCAAATATTTTGAAATTTTAAAAGAGGGACGAAAGATACCAGAGGGACAGTCAAACTCATAGATAGAAAACAAACTGACAACGCCATGGCCAAAGATAAAAAGACAACCAGACAAATAATAGTACAGATGACACAACATAGAAAACCAAAGACTAAGCAACGCGAACCCACCAAAAACTGAGGGTGATCTAATGTGCTCCGGAAGGGTAAGCAGATCCTACTCCTCATGTGGCACCCGTCGTGTTGCTTATGTTATTACAAATCCGGTAAATAGTCTAATTCGGTAAGTCACATTCGTGAAAAGGGAGGATATTGTAGTTACGACATAAGGAACATATCCGATATCATCTGTGAAACGGTTATTCCATAACGGTCAACCAACTCGTGATGGCGTCCGTAAAATTTACGAAGGGATGACTTCAACTTCACCATTTGGAACTCTTGGTTTAATAGCTTCCTTGTGAGCTGCAATCCTCTATCCTTTTGTCGTTAAGTTTTGTTTTCAACCGACCCTCATTGTCAATTTCTAGATGTAAGTCAAGATATGAGGCAGACTTAACTGTATCTATAGTATCCTTTATCTCTAGTTCGATGGGATAGATTCGTTCAACATAGTCACCAAATTTTGTATTATTTAGTGAGAGAACATCATCTATATAGCGGAACGTAGAGTTAAAGCATATTGCTAACTTCTTATCTTTCTTCCTAAGAAGTTCCTGTATGAAGTCAGCCTCATAATAATAAAGAAACAAGTCGGCAAGAAGAGGGGCACAATTGGTTCCCATTGGAATCCGACAGTCTGTTGAAAAACACGTCCTCCAAACGTAACAAATATGTTGTCAATCAAGAAATCAAGCATCTTGATAATGTCAGTTTCAGAGAATTTTTTGTTTGAATCAGAGTGATGCTTTACAAAGTAGGATTTATCCCTCCCCAAGACAAGATACTTGTATCTACGTTCGCCATTCTTTTTAATGAAACAAAGTAATACCAACTCTTTCAATTTTTCTTTTAGTTTGGAATGGGGAATACTTGTATAAAGTGTAGAAAAGTCAAATGTTTTAAGTTAAATGGACTTTTTTGTATCATACTACGTTAACTAATTTTCTTTATCACAAAAAATATTAAAAAGATAAAACGATACCAAGTGGCAATCAAAAACAAATAAAGCAGACAACACCATGGCCAAAATAAATATATGAAAAGAAAAATATTAGTCCACAAAACATTACATCGACAACAAAAGAGTAACTGTGGGTGTACTCAGGTGCTGCATTAGGGGAATAAGTCGAACAGATGACTAACTTTACCATTAACAATCCATAGTTAAAACGTCAATAGCAATGATTCTTAAACATCATTAAATTGAAATTATTAAATTACTATAAACACTTATATATCTATGTTTACATATGTAAAGTGGCAAAACCGATGACCGAGAACAATAGAAAATTCACTCATTTGAAAAAGTCGAGAAAATCAGTAGTAAAACAATGCCGGTGACGATACTGAGGAAAAGTGATTTCTAAACAACAATCATACATTTTAAAGAAATAACTAGTATTTGTTGAACTGTTTTATTAGAAATATACATGACAATAAACAATGTTTTTGTTCATTATTTATCGATGATTTGCATTAGAAGCTTGTGAAACTGAAATTTAAAAAATGTTAATCTTTGCTGCACAGCGATTAACAAAATTGAAAAAATCATGTACATACAAAATCTAAAGATCTTTCAGGTCACCAATTTTCGGGATGTTCCACATAGTTCGTAGCATGTTACAATTTCCCAAAAATTACCTAATTTTCACATCTTAAGATTTCGAGTACACCGGTCTGCTCTTGTCACGTGAACTTTCAATATAAAAGTATTGTCTTTTCGTAAATTTAACTTTTCAAAAGTCGTGTCTATGCAGATTCAAAAATTAATGATGAATATTTTAATGAAGTAGGTTATCCGTTTAAAAATATTTACTTTTTTATAAAATTTTAAGAAAAGATCGTCTCGATTTCTGTACCTTTTCGATCTATTCACATTCAAGGTTTACATCGGGACAAGGTTCGTTTGAATTTGCTTAGTAACTTAATTTCAAAAGTATTAATCTTTGCTGGATATCAATCGATTCCGTTGGAATTTTTCCCCTGAACTGCTCTGATCTAGCTGTATACATATTCGGATAATTGGCATGTTTAAGAGAAGTATAAAGCAAGTAGAAAAATAAATTGAATTTGATACTTCAGGAAATTATTCGCAGAGCAGCATTTTAAACCAATTTTCACAAAGCTCATTTAGCCTGCTGTACTCGTCGGTTGCTATTTTAGGAGGGAAACGATGACATTATATTGAAATTTTGTTTTTATTTCCATTCATTTTTATTGTTACTATTCAACAGAACGCTTTCTAGTGAATTTATAATCATTTGCGTCCTTACTCAAACAAACATTGAAAAGATCATTTTTTTTCAGTGTTTACAGGGGAGGTAATATTTTGACACTAGATTTCCCACTGTGTAGCGTCATTTTTGAGAGAAAATTGCAAAAACTGATCGTCTACTAACAGTCTTCCTTGGTCAAAGTCAATGAAACAAACATGCAACTAGCAAATAATCGTAAAGATTTCCATTCAAAGCGAATGTAATATAAACTCTAATAGTATTGAACTATGTTGTTTCAGAGATGAGACCCCAAAAAAAAACATGATGAAACCGAGGACGAAACTCATGTAAATTGCGTTAGACAGATGGGGAAGCCCCTTATAACAAAATATTGTGGTTCATCTTTTCGAAAATCAAAACTAATATGCATATTATGCAATACGGAAACTGCATTAGATATCCGTATATAAAATATTGATCGACTAGTTCCTTCCTTTAGAAATACTTCATATAAAGGATAACAGGAATATATACTAGTACACCATTGAACAACCGTATAGGGCTTTTTCTACCATTGTCACACAGACTACCCATTCACTTTCAAACAATGCACGGAACGCAAGAAAAAACGCACAATCAGCAGTATTTATTAAAATCAGCTGCTACCTGTCAGGTAACTTGGTTATAACTTAAGTATTTCAAATATGTTTTCAGCAAGTACTTGGCCGCTGTCAGAATATAAATGCCTTAGGAAGAACCGGACAAGTCAATGAAGTGGCAGATTTAATAGCTTTCTTGGCATCAGATAACTCATCTTTTATTACCGGAGCAATTATCCCTATTGATGGTGGAGCAAACATAATAACAGCGACATAAAATATATGTATGTGTTTATCGGTTTGGTTTTGTTTTTTCCGAAGATCGTGGATTGTTGAATGCATTATAGTGCAGAGATATGAATATTCCGTTGCCTTTCTTTCACTTTCGAATATTTGTTCATGGCTTTAAGTGTTATAAAAAAAATGGCGAAAAATACCAAAGTGACATTCATAAGTCGAAGACCAACTGACAACATCATGGCAAAAAAATATATACAAAATGACTAAAAGACAAACGACAGTCAACAAAACATAACATAGGGCCCTAAAGACTGAGAAACACGAACTACACAAAAATCCAGGGGTAACCTCAGGAATGGTAAGTATATCACGCTCCACGTGTGACATCCGTAATATAAATGATACAATTTTATTCATACCAAGGTTCAATACATTTAGACACGTGTAATTTTGAGACCGTTCAGAATAAAAAAAAAAAAAAAACAAAAACAAATAAATGATTCACAACTTGAAGATAGGTTTGGCTGAAATAAATTTAAATGAAAAGGGAAACGAGCGAGTCATATTTTAAGACCAAAACATCCAAAACAACTTTATTTTCGTTATTTAGCATGGCTTAAAGCAATAGATATTATGAAACCCTAGTCTAAGATGGCTTTAAATTAATCAGCTAGTGCGTACAGCCAAAAACTTTGAGTGTACAAATTTAGACTGTAACTGTTTAGTTTATACATTTTGTAATTATATACATACCAAGGTTTTAACTAAATAAGACTGGAGGGTGTGGAATCGTACTGGCTTCGAATACCGGAGGTCTTGGGTTCAATCTCCTTCTGGTCCAATCAAAGAGTGCAAAATTGATATTATTGTTGCTGCTTCTCAACGAAGCCTTGTGCATTAAGCAAAGACTGGTTTATACAGAAGCAGAATTATGTGTCTGTCTTCCTTCAGAGAGTAGTATCCTTTATCTAAAATTCATTGTGATGGATGTAATTAACATAGTGATCGATCTTTAAATTGTTCAATGATTGATTGATTGATTGGTGTTTAACGCCATTTTCAACACTATTGTGCTATTTCGTGGCGGTCAGTTTTTATTGGTGGAGGAAGCCAGAGTGCCCGGAGAGAACCACCGACCTATGGTCGGAAAACTGACAATCCTAGTCAATTAAGATTGGAGTCGAGCGCATCTGGCACGTGCGGGATTCGAACTCACATCCTGTGTTGACAGGCTAGTGATACAGTAGTTCGACTACTTAAGACCACTCGGCCACCGAGGCCCCTTAAATTGTTCAATGAGAGCATCATCAATAAAGCAGAACATGAGGTATAGGATGTCAACTTTATTTTGTGTTCTACCTGAGGTGCTTCATCCAAATATAGAACAAAAAGTTGGCAAGAAGAAGAGTGCAGTTCATTCTCACAAGAATGCCAAATGTCTACCAGTTTACAAATATGTTGTCTATAAAACAAATCAACCATCTTGATGAGGTCAGTTTCAGAGCAGCTTTTCGTAAAATAACAGTCAGCTTTTCTTTTTTATGAAATAAAATGACTAATTCTTTCAATATGTCTTTCTGTATAGAACAAGAAGTGCCTTTGTAAGGTGGGAAAAGTCGATATATTTATACAATTGTACATTTTAACTAAATAGATCTTTGGAATTTTGATGTATCTATATTTGATTCACATTGCCACTGCAGAAGGTTCTTTCACGATAATTTTGACACCTTTTAGTTGGCTGATAAAGTAGAAGTAAATAATTTGAATAGATGTTTTGTGGAAAGGTTATTCCTGGTCATTTTTTAATTAGTTGTCTTATAAATATGTGTCAACCAAGGTTTTAGGAACATTTAAATTTCAAGAATAGGGTGACCTTTACTGAATATCTTTGTCAGACAACCACGGATATGTGGAACTTTTTGTAGCCATGATCATGATCTCCTTTCATCTTTTATAAGGCATCAATGAATTACACACATACTTAAGTTTTCCCATTATGAGAAACCTAACCTTTAGCTGTAGCCACTAGTGGACCTAACTTTTCCCGAGTACCTGGAATAATTGTCAATTTCTGGTGGGACAATTTTCCTCTATCTGAAGTTTGTTTGTTTGTGAATTATCTTTTCATATTTTTGTTATTGCCAGAGTGTAGTTCATTCTTTGATTTTTCAGATTTTTTTTAAAAAGAAATTTAGTGTTGATGAGTGATACTAGTTAGGTAGTCTCTGTAAATTTTATTCTCATCTTGTCTAGATTTTGATCATTTTGATCTTTACACATAATGTATACTTTTGTGTGTTGTTGACCTCATTTCTGACTTTATTGTGTAATGTGTTTGCTGTCTCAATGATGTTGGCCCAAAACTCATTTTATACAGTTGTACATTCAACATCAGGTGTTTGAGGACTATGTTGGTAGAAATAGTAACTGATCATCCTTTTGTGGTAGGCTATAAAATACCTGATATCAAAATAGAATATAAATTAACACATATTTTATTGAACCAGTAATAAATCAGTTGAGCAACATGACATGTAAACATAACAAATTAATATATAAAACACAGAAATAAAACATAACCTTTGGTTTTAACTTGGTATAAACTATGTCCATTGAATGGCTAATATGATTATAAAAATAGAGATTTTGAAAGTTGTTTTACTATTAATCATGATAAGGAATATAGTTTATGGGAGCAAAACATGTTTGAGATTTTTAACATAGCAACACATCATTAGAGTTTTCTTCAGATCACAATAGTATTGGGAGATAAATAATTTTTCAGACCAGTATACTTAAAATGTTTAAATCACAACTGTGTACATTTTCTTCTCATATACACAGATTAATCCAAATTAAATATCTTGGTACCCAAAATTTAAAGATATGTGCTGTATAATTTTTTTAGTGGTAATGGTATAACAAAAACTACAATTTTGAAAAATATAAAAAGACTTTTTTTCATTTTTTAACATATATATACCATTCTACTAAAGATAAGAAATTAAAGCAATTCATGATACAGGTCTTATGATGTAATTAATTAAAGTGCTTATTGACACTTAAGATTACTTTGATTGTGCACTGTGAAATAAACATGGCATTGTATTATGCCAAAACTCATATTTGGGTAATATTTTGAATTTTGTAATTTAAATGTAAGTATTAATAAATCATGATATTGGCATGCATACCATCTAAAGCATTTACACCTCACTGCACTAGGCAAAAAACAGGACCATGAGACGATGGCTAAAATCAAACAAACCCAAAACGTATATCCCACCCTGATTATGTTTGAAAATGTATGGATATGATCATGCATCACTGTCGACATATGGCACAAGGAAAGAAATTTTTCTTTTTTCTTTTTATTTCTTGACTTCTTGAATGACTTGGCTGCTAACTGATCCAGTTTACTGAATATTATTGAAATACCTGTACATAGTTAATAATAAGTACATTTCCCCATGTTTGATACATGTACTTGTAATTTCTGTTTTTGAGGCAGGTGTAGCATGTAATCCATCCCATGACAATGGGGATTCTCTTGCACTTTGTGCAATCTTTACACAAAAATTGAGACAAGATACCAAAAAAACTGGAATGTAATTCAAACATTTACTAACTTATAATTAATCAGAATTAAAACTTTAACTAATCAATTATTATTTTAAATAATATATATAACACAAAAGCATATTTATCAAAACTCAACAGCGTAAAACATTTAATGCTAATATTGGCATGCTCACATATTAAATATGTAAATGTCAAGAATATGAGGAAATTTAACAAATTACTATACAACTGTTTACATAAAGCAGAAAACATTGATCAAATGCACATTTAAAGCAACTATAATATCATATCTTCAAGCTTTTAAGCTCAAGGTGAACTGACTAAAAAATATCTGATTAATATATGACTTAAACTGAAATTACTTGATTCCCTATTTCTGACTACAAGAAGATAAATTTTCTTTATCAAGATCATTTTTAGTTCATTTATTTTTCTCTAATCTTATGCTTTACAAAAAATGTACAACCTTTACCATGTGTCATGTAAAAAATCTATGGTAATGACATAAAAAAAAATCTTCAGCGATCAGTTTTAGTCCAATAAGAAGAATTCAATAATATTCAAGGTAGAAAACTTTGATTGGAGACAATTTATAACTTTGATTTGAGACAATTTATAACTTTGATTCAAGACAATTTATGGGACTGTCTTGATTTTGATGTAAGCGAAAAATCAAATAATTGCAAGACATCCTTAGGAAAACTATTGGGTTTGTTTTGGCACAGAACAAGCTATATTTTGCTTTTTATTCAGATGAATACTTACTGTTCATTGACTATAATTTCACACATTTTCTCATATAACCTTTATATTGTAAGCCTGAAAATGTTAAAATAAAGCAAAAATTCAGTTTAACTTAAGTGTGTAAACTGGCTAAATGTTGTTTTTTTGTCATTACAATGTTGAAATGCATTTAAAATTACCATGAGCCATTGTCTTTAAAATTTTTGTTTAACTACTCTCTTATCTCACGATTAAATACACTTGCATTATATGATTATCTCAGTTACTGGGCTGTGCTCCATAGCAGATCTCAGAATCTGCTGGTCAAGTAATATTTATAAAAATGTCAACATTTTGCTATTAAAATTTGATGTCCTTTTAAAGATGTATATTTAATGAAAGGATAAAAAATTAAGCACAATGTATTATTATATTTCATAGATTCAACCTTTTTTTATGCAAATTAACAAATGGTTTAATACACTTGTAAGGATTATTTGGTCCTAAATAAAATGTTCTCTTTAACAAAAGTTCTTTCACAGAAACTTACAAATCATTTAGTTTGCATGTTATGAATAAGTGCAAGAATAAATTCATATTATGACGTTTTATTTATTAAATTAGTGCACAATTTTATAAAAATATCTTGTGTAAAATTATTAGGGGATTTGATATAAATTAAATAGCTGACTTAAACCTCATTTCAAATGCTGAATGTTTTACTTTACAATTAAAATTATATATCAAATGCAAGTTAGGAATGTATAATAGCTATCTGCGAGAAGTAGCAATCGTAACAATGATACCAATAGCACACACTCCTAAAGTAGCCAGAGTTCTTACACTGAAAAATCTTGTGAATAAGTCAGAACTCTCATTACTCGTCTGTGACTCATAATTATAGGGTGTGTGATGGTCACCATTGAGTGATATGTCTGAAGTTTCATCGTACTCTACCATTTGTTCTGGAGGTATATCACCATGCTGAGTGTTACTTTCTACAGTCTCCTGATGAGATGTGTTATTGTTAGAAGAACTATTTCTTTGAACAAATGAGACAGTACTATCTGAGTCTTCTCTCTCCGATGCATCATGTACAGGAGAATCATTGTCAGAAATACATATGTTACTGGCATCATTATGGTTGCTGGCGGACGGAGGATCAATTGAAGAACAACTGCCATTACGCTGAGAATTAAATTGATGAGTTTTTGGACGTAAACGAGTACTTTGATTAATATTGCTGTCTGATTTGTTCCCTTGGTTTTCATCAGGACTAGATATTGTATGATTATCTTCTAATAAATGCTTAAATGAATTGTTGTTATCTGTATCATCAGTGATCCTGAATTGGGCACACTCATCAATAGATGGTTCAAATACCTCATGACAGTCAGCTGATTTATCTGATGATTCAGTTATTTGATTATTTTCTATACCATCAGAAGTTGAAAAGGTCATAAGTATATCGGCCAATGAAATTGTTTTGTGTTCATCATGGGAATGATGATTTTCATTAATGATTTGGTCACATGCAGACTCATCTGGTGGCGGAACAAAAGTCATATGATCTCCAGAGGATTTATCTTGTACAAGATTCACATGATTTACATATGCTTTGTCTTTTCCAAAAATTACAAGGTTAAAATCTTCAGTTTTGTGACCAGTCTCTTCTCTAGGTGAAGTGTTTTCCGAGGAACTATGATGTGGACTGAGAGAGGATGACAGACTGGATTCATATTGCATTACAGCTCCCTGAAGACAACAAAACATCAAAATCATACAAAAGATAGAAGATATTTTAAGGAAAATTTATTAAACGGTGATAAAATAACATAATATAAAACTGCCAACAAAAAGATATGCTCTCACCTGATAAATTCTAAATCTTGTAACAGATATTTTGAGTTCCTTTTAATGAGTAACCCTGGTTGGCATAAATTACGTCATTGAATAATAGACTCTTACTGTGATATAATAACATAAGCATTGTGACATTGTAAATGTATAGGAAAATGAAAGAATGTGAAAGTCATCTATATAAACCTTCGGAAGTTTGCTAAAACTCATCTTATAAGGAAACTTAACATTAACATTATAATAATATCATATTTAGTGGACCATGACTAGAGTTAGCCCTCACAACCTCCTTTAAAATGAGATGCATGAATTCAGGTTAATATATCATATTAGGCTAGCAGTCCAAAATAAGATGAAGATTAATCCCAAAACATGTGTTGTGCACATGAAAATGATATATCATCTTTTGTACTACCACTTGGTCTGTACACTAGTAAACTATCAGTCTCCATGTGTACCATCTACCCAGTAGTAATTGTTTTGGTATTAAAATGATTAAAATGATCAATAATATCATGCCCTAAAATGTTTGTTTTCTTTCCAAACTTATGGTATAAATCTTACCTGACAAATGTAAAATCAGAAACATGTTTTGTGTTTTATTTGACATGTTTGATATTTAATCATTCATCATTCATTTTTTTACCTGGTTGATTTTAAGTTATGGTACATTATCATGATTATTGAGATATATTTCAGTATTTAAATTACATACATACATATACCTTAGGCCAGACTTAAAAATATTTCTGTTTGCCCAAACCCTACCCACCAGTCTTATGTGTGGGTAGGTAGGTAGGGAAATTCTTTTTTTTTTTTTACTTTTAGAGAAAAATAGGGGAACAAATTATTTCACCTCGTAAACAACTTTTAAAATAAAAGACTATTATAAGAGTTTGGTATAAATTGTCAGACACATATATGCCAGGATCTATATGTTGTATAAAGATCTTTTCTAATAACAGTTTTTTTTTCAGCATTCCACCTCAATGTTCACACTTTTTTCTGAATGTTTACATTGTAAATACAGACACACATTTTAAACAAGTTTATACTCAGTACTACAAGAGAAAAATATTTCCCTGAAATAAGAAAAGAGATCACTGATAAAATCACACCAACAAAATGGAACTGCACTTTCACGAACAAAACTGCGATAGTACAATTGCTTATAGCCTGTTCAAAATATAAGGAGCTGTTTTGATAACTGTGAAAAATTCCAGGAAAATACTGAAAACAAACCAGAAATATGTTATTCCAATTGCATGTAGAAAGATTGAAAATTATGGACAACAAATAGTAAGACATATATTGCTGAATTTGCACATGCGCATATATATACATATATCTCAAAATGGAGGAAATGACAACCAAATGATAATAGTGATTATCATAAGTGACATATATATACCGACACAGAGTCTGTCATATAACAATTGTAAGAAATGTAAAGAAGCTCTGGACAAATATTAAAAGCTATGAAAATGAAATTAAATAATTAATAAAAAGGTCCCTGTAAATATGCCATGCATGATACTTTTATTGTTTTATATTTATATGTGCTGTACATTTGTTGGAAAACTTGTTTTTGTTTTATTCTTTAAAATTATAAAGTTAAGGAAAAACTCCATATATATTTGGAGGGTCTCCTAATTAAAGGAGGCTCATACTATAAAGAAGAAGTGTATTTGAATACAAAATTCAAATACAAAACACTTGAACAAACACTGTTGACAGAACTTCTGTCAGAATGATATCATTTTAATGAAATTTTAATGCCGAATCAAATTCCTGAACAACTTGGATTGGTTCCTCAAAATCAGGCTCAAACAAGTGTCCCGATCGGTCAGAGACAGTCGCACAAATTTCATCAGTTTTCCGTAGCATGAAATCATCATCACACACTTTATCAAACACCTCTTTCCATGTTTTTGCATGTAAAAGCAATCTGAAAGACCTTATGGTAGATATTTACACATTCCATGTAAAAACAATTCGAAAGACCTTATGGTAGATATTTAAACATTCCATGTAAAAGCAATCAGAAAGACCTTATGGTGGATATTTACACATTCCATGTAAAAGCAATCAGAAAGACCTTATGGTAGATATTTACACATTCCATGTAAAAGCAATCCGAAAGACCTTATGGTGGATATTTACACATTTCATGTAAAAGCAATCCAAAGACCTTATGGTGGATATTTAAACATTCCATGTAAAAGCAATCCAAAAGACCTTATGGTGGATATTTAAACATTTCATGTAAAAGCAATCAGAAAGACCTTATGGTGGATATTTACACATTCCAGGTAAAAGCAATCAGAAAGACCTTATGGTAGATATTTACACATTCCATGTAAAGCAATCTGAAAGACGTTATGGTGGATATTTACACATTCCATGTAAAAGCAATCTGAAAGACCTTATGGTAGATATTTACACATTCAATGTTTACCAAATCAATCCGAAAGATCTTATGGTAGATATTTACACATTCCATGTTTACCAAAGCAATCAGAAAGACCTTATGGTAGATATTTACACATTCCATGTTTACCAAAGCAATCAGAAAGACCTTATGGTAGATATTTACACATTCCATGTTTACCAAAGCAATCAGAAAGACCTTATGGCTGATATTCACACATTCCATGTAAAAACAATCAGAAAGACCTTATGGTTGATATTTCAGCTTACCCATCCTCCTTGTGATGTGATAAATTCTGAGTATAACTCTGAGATCAATCTAACTGTGTTGCTAACCAGGTGTCCAAACTCAGTGTACCCAAACTCTGCTACTCTCCATGCTACACTTTGTCCATACACCAATAGTAAAGCTACCTAAAAAAAAACAAAGTTTGGATTGTTATAAGGACACTTCATTATTTTTTGTCTGTTAATTTAACAATAAACATTCAATTACTATTTCATTTTCCATTATATCAAATGTTCAACAAAATGATGAGAGTGATTACTGTTTGCTTAACATCAAGTGGCAAATATTTCATGTTTATTCAGAAGGAGAGCATACATGTATGTATAAATAATAAATTCAACAGAAAGATTCGGCAAAATGGGTAAAGTAAGGTGCAGAGCGGGGAATCAGATCAGCAAAAGGAAAAATGATGGTATTTTGAATAAAAGCATCATTGCATGGGAACAGGCCACCTATGGGTCATTTATATCTTTTGCAAGGGTTCTTCAATGTGCAGAGAGCATGGTACTGTACTAACAAGAGGCGTCAAAAAGTGTCATTGCATTGGAACAGGCCCCCTATGGGTCGTTTATATCTTTTGCAAGGGTTCTTCAATGTGCAGAGAGCATGGTACCATACCTTCAAGAGGCGTCAAACCATTCCAGCAATTGTAGCTGCATATAAATACGCCCCTCACAGCCAAACAAATGCCTTCTCAGCATGGGTTTTCTGCCAGATAGATCTGGCTACCATATTTCTAATCCCCCGTCATCAACCCTTTGGGTTTTTATAATGTCAAAGCGGAAATTGTTCCAAATAAGCATGCTACTCTTCCTGTTGAAAACACAAACTTAATTGACAAGTATTTATTTATAAGAAACATTATCATACATTCCACACAGCCAAACCATAGGTTTTGCTGCCAGACAGTCCATTGACAATATTTCTATACCAATTTATTTATTTTACCTTTTTAATTTAAGAAATTCAATTAAGTACAAAATGAAAACATTTGACTCAAGTTCATTATTTGTAATTTTAAACTTTTTCTCTCATAATTTTCTGTACTTTTTAAGTTAAATGAATCAGAATTAATAATACATAAATCCTGATTCATTTACCTTAAAAAAAAAGAAGATGCTCATGATTTCTTTTTTCAAAGGCCTTAAATTAAAATATATCAAGTTATAAAAATGTAACTGAGAAAAGGTAAATAGGTAAAAAAAAATTGAATAAATATTAGGGATGAAAAGTTTTCTTGTAAGCAAACAAACTACTAAACATGAATGTATCGTACTTAAATAGACCACCTAAACTTTATAGAGACAAATTAACTATGTCTGTTCTTTGCAACCTTATTCATGTAGAACAGAGATATTTTTGATGGCAGTGTTTTTTGTTATTGTTTGCCATAGTAATACATACTTGTCTCCAGCCTGGAACTTCTTGGTCAATCACAGAACAAGCTACACATCTAAAATTTTCATATGAGACAACACTTTGTTCTTCTGTACAGAGCCCTGCCACTGCCATAGTCAGACGATCACCATAGAAATCCTTAATCTCATCACCAATTCTGGCTAAGGTCATGGCTGCCTCAGTATGGGGAGACAATGGTGCAATAAAAGGAGATTCTCCAGGAGTAATTAGATGTCTTTTAATAGCTGTAAAAAATCAGTTATGATTAGTTATATATTGAGAGAGAAACCGTGAACGAATTAATTATGATAGAAAATGAATCGTCACTGTTGAAAAATGTAAACATACTTGGAATTCAAACCACTTATTGTCATCTATGATCTATGATGTCATTTCTATAATCAAAATATTATGTCATGTACAAATTGTTCATTCAAGTTTAATTTCAACAGTCAATAGTGAAAAAACTTGTTTTACTCCATTAAGAAATGAAAAAAATAATTACTTACTTTTTAAAGACTCTTTTTTATCTTGTCAAATTTTATTGCAATGATTTGCAAAACAAAATGGTGAATATTGTTTTTTTTGTGTGCATCTTTAATAAATTTCTGTCTTTAATCTTTATAAGCTTTAAATAAAGGGTTTGCTTTAGACAATTTACCCTCATCAACTTCAGATTCCAAAAAAAGCATCTGTGTATTTACTTCATCTTCTACAGTGGCAAGGACTTGACGTATCTCTGTTCTCTGTTCCTCTTCCCATTCCTGTTGGTCTCTAATAACTAAACGTAACTTGCTACGATCAGCTGATCGATCTGTGGTACCACTTCTGCTACCAATGCCTAAGGATACACTCTCTGATTCAGTTACGCCTAACCTTTTACTACTTGATGGAAGATTTTCTGTAGGTGACTGTAAATAGTCTGGTAAATGAATGGAATGTGCAGATAATCTTTCATCATTTCCAACCTGTCCTATGCATTGAACTTGTCTAAACATAGGTTGTTCTTCAGGGAAGATATCGTCTTCCAGACCAACTCCATCAGTAGAAATGTCACCAGCAACTGTGCTAACATCTGTTTCCAATTCACTCTCACTCTTCACAATAGACAACCTTTGTTCTCTGCTCCCACGCCCACCTGGCTCAGTAAAACTGCTAAATAAACTGGATGTAGTGGACTCATACTCATCATCAGCATCACTAGTGTAACTCAGATTACAGACATCACTACTCAATTCACTCTCTACTCTAGATTGCCTGTAGTTCAAGAAGGGGGTTCTTTCAGAAACAAATGGCTTATCAACATCAATAACTGGCGAACTATCAGATTCCTGAAAATATCTGCCCTGGTTTAAACCATGATCAAGGGAGACAGATTTAAAATGTCTTTTATCACGAATTTTATCAGCAGATGATGATTTAGTAGGTTGGCTGTCACCTAAATGTCCTTCAAATGGTTCTACAGATGGCTCATTTAATTTCTTGTGTTCCTTCTTATATTTATAATTTACATTGTCCTCTGAGGCATGAAATGATGCATCTAAATGACCTAGTTTATGTGTTTTAACTAGTTTACGTGGTGATGTTGGAAAGGACTGATGACCTTTCTTAGAATGAAAAGGAAATGGATTGGAGTCTGATGCAGCACTTGATGTGGTAGATGAATAAACACAGCCAGGATGCCTTTCGTGTGGATTCTGACCAATAAAATTCAGGACAATAAATTTGGTTTCAAACGCAAAACTCTCGGATGAAGGACTGGAGGTATCTGTTGATGGACTGAATGATTTGTTTGGATGATGTAGCTCTTTGCTTGCCATGGTCTAATCATCATTCTCATCCTGTAAAAATGGACATACAATTTATCAATTGATGTAAAACATGTAAAACCACTTATTAATATAAAGAAAACTTATCTTATTATTTTTCTCTATTTGTGAAATTACGTTGGGCCTTTTGATGACAAAAAATTATTTTTTTCTTAATGGATAAACATTTCTTTAAATGGTAAAGGGCCATTTATCCCTTATATATAATTTAGACCTGGAAAAAAGTATGCTGTTTTGCACACAAAAAAGCAATTATTGCATTCTAATTCATACATTTACATAAATCAAACCTTTTGATACTTTAATGAATACAGGTCAAGCTTTTCTCAGACTGTTTATGATGTCTTTACTCTAAATCTGTTATTGATTTATATTTCAGTATGGGAGAACATGATTTATCTATTAGTTGTATTTGCTTCAATCAAGCTTTTAGAAACTGATAGTACTCTTATATTTGCTAGACTCAGATCGACGTCCATTCCTCAAATCGACGTCCAAATCTGACGTCACATTCTCAAATCAGTGTCCAATATTTTGACCCTCAATCGACGTCCAATGTAACGTCACTTATTGCCAAAACGACGTTGGATCGATGGTAGTCTTGTCTAATTGATGTCCAATATCAATAGATAATAAATTACTTCACGTGTACATGTACAAGACTTTGATTGATTTTGGAACATTCAAGTACAAAATAAAAGATGAATTTTGGTCTGTCTTGTACAGTTCTTATAACAACTCAATTTTCAAACAGTAACAGACTTTCCATAGAGATTTTTTCAACCCCAAATAGGCAACAGATGCATTGAAATTCATTTGCATAAGGTCGATTACTATCCGACGCAGCATTATTGTTATTAGATTGATCTTTATTTATATCATCTGTATCGTTTTGTCTTTATGTAATGCTGTTTTAACAGACAAATTATCTTTATGCATTACGAATCGTAATGACTTAGTATACGTATGAGAAGGAACAACAAAGTCTGCTCAGTTGCATATTTTCCCAAAGAATCAACTAAAACAAAATAAAATGATCTTAATAGAAGTTTATCCAATGATCAACATTGTCGTATGTCATTCATATTCATATTAACATGATTAATGATATATATGTGAGTATACGTCAATGAGAAAACAACCCAACAATAAAGAAAACCAAACGACATTTAAAATGCAACATTCAGTCATCAACAGTAGACAAAATTATGAAGTACAGCCAATTGTTTTGAGAGTAGTATAATTGTGAGTCTTTTTGATGTTTTTCAACAAATTTCTGAGTTTTATATATACAAAGGAAATGGGCACAATGTTTTATGTTGTGCTGTTACACCACTGTTCCAGGTTAGGGGAAGGTTAAGCACTCAAAAACATGTTTAACCCTGCCACATTTTGTATGTGCTTGTCCTAATGTAGGAGCCTGTAGTTTGTCTTAGGTTTATGTCTGTCATAAGTCAGGGGACTTACTTAAATGAGTGATTTTCTAAATCACTGATTCAAGTAACATTATGTCCATAAAGGTTGGAAGTAAGAGTTGTCTTTCTTTAATAATCACCTATTTAAGTAGTACAAATTAATCACTAGACTAAGTGATTTAATTTTATTGTAGCTTTAAATATAGAATACTAATGATCCAGGGACTAATTATGTTGCTAAAATTATCAGAACCAACATCAGTGTTGATAGGATGACTGGGTCATGTCAGGTGATGACCTTGTACTAAATCTAGGATAATGACATAATAAAATGCTCCGCTGGGCGCAGCTTGATACGACCGCAGAGGTCGAACCCTGAACAGTTGGGGCAAGTATGGACACAACATTCAAGCTTGATACAGTACTGAATTTGGATTGTGATTAAATATTTGACACAGCATAGGTTTCTGACACAGAATGAATGTGGTCTAAGAACTTAAAATTTTTTAATTTACCTATTGAAACCATATCATTATTATTTGCTTTTATATATAAATCAGAAATAACCAATTTAAAATGGAAAATTTTAAAGAAAAAAAAAATCCCCCCCCCCCCAATTTTTTGAACCCCCTTATGATTCATCACCTCCAAACTCAATCCCAGCCTTCCCTTTGTGGTATGGTACCTGCAGTACAATTTCAGAGAGATCCATACACTTGAACACAAGTTATTGTCTGGAAACTAGAAAAATGCTTGTTTTTTGGCCCCAAATTCCTAAACGTTTAGGGCAATTACCCCCAAACTCAAACCCAGCTTTCCCTTTGTGATATGGAACCTTGTAGTACAATTTCATAAAGATCCATACACTTACACTCAAGTTATTGTCCTGAAACTAGAAAAATGCTTGTTTTTTGCCCCTTTTTTTGGCTCCTAATTCCTAAAGTTTTGAAGCAATAACCCCCAAAATCAATCCCAGCCTTCCCTTTGTGGTATGGTACCTTGCAGTACAATTTCAGAGAGATCCATACACATGAACACAAGTTATTGTCTGGAAACTAGAAAAATGCTTATTTTTGGCCCCTTTTTGGCCCCTTATTCCTAAACGTTTTGGGCAATTACCCCCAAACTCAAACCCAGCTTTTCCTTGGTGATATGGAACCTTGTAGTACAATTTCAGAAAGATCCATACACTTACACACAAGTTATTGTCATGAAACTAGAAAAATGCTTGTTTTTTGCCCCTTTTTTGGTCCCTAATTCCTAATATTTTGAGGCAATTACCCCCAAAATCAATCCTAGCATTCCCTGTGTGATAAGGAACCTTGTGGTACAATGTCAGAGAGATCCATACACTAACACGCAAGTTATGTCTGGAAGTTACAAAAATGCTTGTTTTTTGCCCCTTTTTTTGGCCCCTAATTCCTAAAGTTTTGAAGCAATTACCCCCAAAATCAATCCCAGCCTTCCCTTTGTGGTATGGTACCTTGCAGTACAATTTCAGAGAGATCCATACACTTGAACACAAGTTATTGTCTGGAAACTAGAAAAATGCTTATTTTTGGCCCCTTTTTGGCCCCTTATCCCTAAACGTTTTGGGCAATTACCCCCAAACTCAAACCCAGCTTTCCCTTGGTGATATGGAACCTTGTAGTACAATTTCAGAAAGATCCATACACTTACACACAAGTTATTGTCATGAAACTAGAAAAATGCTTGTTTTTTGCCCCTTTTTTGGTACCTAATTCCTACTATTTTGAGGCAATTACCCCCAAAATCAATCCCAGCATTCCCTGTGTGATAAGGAAACTTGTGGTACAATGTCAGAGAGATTCATACACTAACACGCAAGTTATGTCTGGAAGTTACAAAAATGCTTATTTTTGGCCCCTAATTCCTTAACTGTTGGTACCATAACCCCCAAAATCAATCCCAACCTTCCTTTTGTGGTATTGAACCTTATGGTAAAGTTTCATAGAGATCCATTCACTTAAACTAAAGTTAGAGTGCGAAAACCAATGTGTCTTAGGACGACAACCTCGACGACGACGATTATGATATAAAATTCTACTGTTCGCAATCAAAATTTCACTGTTCGGGGGTGTTGAAATTAGTGGGGGTTATTAAAATAATGATACTTAAAGAAGTGAATTTTTGGAAGGAAATTGAGGTATGATACTTAATTAAGTGATTTTATGTCATTATCCTAGATTTAGTACAAGGTCATCACCTGACATGACCCGGTCATCCTATCAACACTGATGTTGGTTCTGATAATTTTAGCAACATAATTAGTCCCTGGATCATTAGTATTCTATATTTTAAGCTACAATAAAATTAAATCACTTAGTCTAGTGATTTATTTGTACTACTTAAATAGGTGATTATTAAAGAAAGACAACTCTTACTTCCAACCTTTATAGACATAATGTTACTTGAATCAGTGATTTAGAAAATCACTCATTTAAGTAAGTCCCCAGACTGATGTAATCCTTAATGACCTGACAACAGTATCGTAACTATATCCCTTCTGAATAAGTCTGTTTAAAGGTTTGGTTAGCTTTTGAGGTGAATACCGACATTTTTGTGCTTTGCAAAGAATATTACCATATAAGATTGGATGTGAAATACCTGAACGTATAAGATGTCTGCAAGGCCATTTATAGCTGACTATAGTATGGTGTGCCTTTTCTAATTGTTGAAGTAGTATGGTGACCTATAATTGCATAAATATCCATGCCATTTGAACTTTGGTGGATATTTGTCTCATTGGCATCATACCACATCTCCTTATTTCAAAACAGAACAATTTTATCTTTAAAAATGTTAAAACTCTTTCTAACCCTTTAAAATGTTACATATCCTATTTGATAATGAAATTAAAGAATGTCTTGATTTTTCTCATAAAAAATTCTCATTATTGGTTTTAAAATTTTACCAAAGTGGAGCAAAAAGTCTAAGGTTGTTTAACAGATACACTGGACATATAACTTTGTGCTTGGAGCTCAATATTCATGATATTCACATACAGTAAATACATAAATAAACGATATAAAGAATTTGTAGAAAGCCCATTTTCCTAAATAAAAGTAAAATACTCATTGAACTTCATCCAAACCTGTCCAAGCATGTCACTTATAAGGTTTCTTCATCTTTTACATAAATATTAATAGTGTATGTTTAAATTACGACAAGAGAAAATATTTGCCTTCACCTACAAATGTAGAGGACTTCCATCTTAAAGAATTGCTGTCTTTGTCCTATTAGAATAGAAATAATTCATGGGGGCTTGAATTTATGTTGATTTCACCACGGGTTGGCCATTTCAATATGCCGATTTTACCACTCACTATAGACCTTATTGCTATTTAGGAAACTACGACACTTGACCAGAGAATTTGCAACACATGAGCTGAAAATTTGCAACACTAGAAACTATTAACGTCATACAACAATCACTTTTTAATTGTGGCGTCAGACATTTTCTAAAGTTAGGTCAAAATTTTTTAGTAGCCTTTGTGATGTCCATAATGGCGACCAAATAGCTATAAGGTGTATATCGCTCAGGGTAAAATATATTATAGTCGCCGTCATGTAAAATTGGCACCGTGTTTTTTGTAGAAATTTTTTTAAATATCAGCCGCGTTCACTCGAGATGACGTTTTTCAATAAGCGGAATAAAAATCCTTTCCAAATATCCACTACTGTCCTACCTTTTATTGTGTTTGCACTGTATAATCCTGACCTTCACATTATTCAAGATTATTTACATTGTTAATCCGCCATCATGGTTTCTATGAGGATCCTTTATTTACATAACATTCGTTACTCTCCGGCAATATCCGTGTCATTGATGTGATACAGTTTCCCGCGCTTTTTACATGTAAACAATAACACGAGTTGTGTAATCGACAAGATAAATATGTTACCTGAATATGACCCGGAGAATGGACAGAATGGTGTTTACACGAAGAAACAATGAAATAAAAAGGTAATGTATTAAAAAAACAAATAAAAAAGAACCGGCAACATATCCAATCACAATAACTGAAGAAAGACTGAACTTTAACATATAAAATTTTGAGGGGTAACTGGGGCAAGGTAACATGCTTTTCGGACCACACAGCCGTCGGACGCCAAAGCAATATCGGACTAGGGAATATGGGAATGAGATGTTGGTAAGCAGGAGTCAAGGGGAGGGTAGCGGTAGTCTGGGAAGTGCAGTGACGAGTCAGAATGGGAGGGGGAGGGGTAGAAAATTTGGATAATCCTGAAATGGCTATATTACTGATTTTCATCTGAGATTCGTATAAAAAAAATGAAATATGCACAGAAAAAAAAATGATGATACCTGTGTCAAACATCTGTTGATATGTTTTCTGGTTTAAAAAAAACAGACATTGATTGTAGCCTTTCAGCTCATGAATGTAGTCGATTATACAGAAACAGCAAAAACACAGACTCTTCAGGTTTCATGTTATCTTTATAACATCAATTTCTGTACATGTCAATACAACATCATTGCTATATGTACTATGATTTCAACAATACTACATGAAGTAAACTGGACTAGGGTGCCACAATTAATTCCAATGGGATGTTTTGGAATTTCTTAAAAAAAAATGACAAGTTCCCTTGAAATTTCTTTTAATGTCAAATGGAAATGCTTGCCCTTTTAGAGTTCACAAGTAAACATTAGTTTTTATTTATTTTCCATGTTGATCCATTAATAATTGATTTTCATTTTGTTTGTGGATAATATTCTTTTCATTGAACATACATTTAAAGGATTCCCAAGTCCACATTAACTATATCTGTTGTTTTGAATGATTGTAAGTTCATCTGATTTTGATGTAATTTAAACCGGTCATTATAATACTTGAAATATAACCTTTTTCTTTATGACTCGCTTTTTTGGTCACTGCCTTATGCAAGTTCGTTGTTACAATGTATGTTCAAGAAAGGTAAAAGGGCTATTTTGAAGCCTCTTAAAACAGGTTTTCAGTCATTATGAGTACTAGTGATACTTGTAAAAAGTCTATGGATTTATCATAAATGTACTCTGTTCCCCTCTGACAGACATTCACAACTGTGTGTCACCATACCACATTGCCAGTTACAAATGTATAAAAGGCCCTGATAAGACAAAGTGTAAAACATGCGAACAATGAATCTATGGACCTTATTAATGTACAAACAAACAAACACAAAACACATATCTTATACATGTACCTGTAATTTGTGAGCTCTGAAGTTTGGGAATTTTAAATAAAACAAGCATTTCTGAGAGTATTGCATGGCAACTATGCCAATACATAGTCCACTACCTGTTAAGAATTCATTGTACTGGAACAAAATGCTAACTTGATCTATAACTTGTCATGGTGTAAACTATATATCAAATATAAAGTCAATATACTCCAGCATGGCAAAGATAGTGAGGAAAGCTGATTATTTAAGTAAATTTTCTAATTCCAAGGACCATAACTCTGCGTAAAATCATCAGACCAGAACATAATTCAAACTTGATCTGTAACTTGCCATGATAAAACTATATACCAAATATCAAATCAATATTTTCAAGCATGAAGAAAAAAGTGTGGAAAACTGATTTGCCGGACTGACAGATGGACAGACATACAGGCGGAGTGCAAACCTGAAGTCCCCTTTCGATTTCATCGGTACAGGACTGTCACTAAATATTCTATTCTATACAGCAACAAAAAAACTCACTAAGTTCCATGATACTCTTGACTTGGGGGATACACACACAGAATATAATAGGGTGGTTGATTTGGTATGCTGTACTGGCATGTTTTTTTGGCAATTTCTCTGTTACAAATGTATTAAACATACTCAGCTTACAAGTTTGATGACTGAATACTGAATGTGTTCATCTTGATGTTGATTGCAAGAGTTGCCTGTAATCGACATATTGTTACGCCATCTATCTATTTGTCTATTGTTAAAGACTGTATGTTGACTTTTTAATGCAGACTTGAGAGTAAAGCAAACACCAATCAATCTTTGATATTCTTTATGCTGGGTTTCTGTTTCATTCATATACATGTATGTATATATATACCACATCAACTGTTTTATGTTTAAACATTACAAATTATGATACCAGATAAAAAAATGAGAGAAAGTGTGAAATAGGTTTTCCATTGTGAAAATTTTCTCCAAGGGTGTTCTCTCAAATTTTAAACATTGACACCTTTCAGAATTGATGCACTTCTAATCCAAATGCCTTAATACGTTTTTTCATTTTAAGATTAAGTCTCTTAATGCATTGATCAAAAGTTAAAGCTGCTCCTCATCTCAACCTTCCTTTTCTTTTAACTTGCAAAATTCTTATGTACTAGTTAAACATCTACATATTGTAATAGCTATATCTTATAATCTATAGCTGTATATATCAAAAAGCATTTTCAATAAAACAATATAACAGTGTATTTAAACAAAATTTATGATTTAATAACTTAAGATACAATGTACATGTACCTTTTTTTTTATATTGGAGTAACAACATGAACAACAAGTTATAATTAAAAACTTAACCAACATTAATCATTAAAATTCAATTACTTTTTATAAACATAATTAGAAATAGAGATCTTCAACATAAATGAACTATTTACAATCAGAATAAATATATATCACAGTTGTTGGAACTATATATCACAGATGTTGAAACCAGTATATCACAGATGTTGAAACTACGGTATATCACAGATGTTGAAAGTAGGGTATATCACAGATGTTGAAACTATATCACAGATGTTGAAACTATATCACAGATGTTGATTTAATGTATACAGGATGGGTTAATAGCAATCACTCAACTAACTGTCCAGAAACTGTTATCAAAGAATCAGTAACCGAAGATTAAACAAAGGTATGTTAAGAAAGTCCTCCTGAGCTGTAAAGAAATGTAGACAGTTCCCATGTATAAAGCTGTATCAGTTCTGAAACTGCCAGTAAAATAGTTGCATGTACATGTACCTACACTTTCTTTAAAAAAAATATAAAAAAAACAATTGATAATCTTTGCTTATGTTAATGATTGGAAGTAACTTTTTGACAGTAAAATAAGTTTTAATGTGCAAGTGTCATAGTGTAGGGAGGAACATTTTTTTGGTTTATAATTCAAATGAAAAATATTCTATTTTCCCACCCTCAACTACTAATCACAGATCAACTAAGCCAGTTAGCATGGTTAGCCATCAGGTTTTTAATTTTTTAATTTTAATGGAAGACATTTTTTAAGTTTTTAAAAAGTTACAGATATTATATATAGGAAATCACTTTTTATAGAAAAGATAGGAGTTTTTCTGTTTATCATTTTTCTTAACATGCTTTGAATAAAACAATCAATTTTATACATTGCTATAAGTATTCCCCATTTCCATTCTCAATTTTATTGATAAATCTACATTTAAAAATATCTTTAATAAGTAAAAATTATGGAGTGTTCATGTTACTATTTTACTGGCATGAAAGAAAGACATCACTGTTCCATCTCTTCAAGTGGCGAAATCAGTGGTTCACTGAGGTTCCGGTGGTTAAAAATGGAGAAGCACCGAAGACAGACATTCTTCGCAAGAGCAGGTTTTGTGCAACACCTGTTGTGTACCCACTGATCACAAGCATCACACTGAAACCAGGATATATACTTGTCCTTTTGAATAGGCTTGGGTGGTTCAGTGCTACCACAGGTATTGCACAAAATCTCATCAGCATCATTGATGGTATCAGAGACACTGTCCTCAAAGTCATTGTCATTTTCAACGTCATTCCCCTCCTCCTCCCCCTCTGAAAACATGTAAGGAATTGTCCTTTGACTGTCTTGGCTGTCATTGTCCGTCATGTCAATCACCACTGGATCGACGTCTTCGTCTCTGATGCCATCAAGTTTCCTGAGCTTTTCCTCAAACTCCCTTTCCACATGAGTCTCAAATTTAGCCCAGCGCTCCGCATCGATATGGGACTTGGCCTCCTCAAAAAGCTTGATAATGTCTTTTTTCTTGCAGCTAGAATTATGTCTAGCTACATAGCCTTTTAAGTAAGACCAAACCATTTCGATGGGATTGAGCTCACAATGGTAAGGAGGTGTTCGTAAAATCTCATGGCCATTAGCTGATGCAAGTTCGTCTATAATATACCTAGGAAGAGGTTTGTGTTGCTTCACCAAATCAAGCAGCTCGGCCTTTTTCATTTTCTTATCATACTGAACAATGCTCTTCTCCAGCCATGCCGAGATCTCTGACTTGTTGCTGTTAGTGTTTGGTACCCTTGAGTCAGGATCTAAGTGACTGTGATACGGAGCATTGTCCATTATGATTACAGACCGAGGAGGCAGTTTAGGGAGAAGTGTATCTCTGAACCACTCTGTAAAGTGCTCCTTATTCATCTCGTCATGATAATCAGAGCTGTTGGTTTTCGACTCAAATATAAGACCACATCCGGGGATTAGGCCTTGTTGAGAGGAGCCAACATCTAGGATTATCAATCTAGTACCCTTGCCAGAAGGGACTTTCCGATGGGTACCTTTACAGTGGGGCTCAAAGACCGACATGGACGTGCTGGGAACATCCAGCCAGTCACCCTTTACCACATGATTAGTGTTCAACCAAGTCTCATCTAGATATACAATATGACGCCCCTGCTGCCTAAACTTACGTATCTTACGAAGATATGTCATTCTCATGAGAACGATGTCCTCCCTCTCCGACACAAATCTTCGGCTTGACGCATTCTTGTAGAACCTGAAAAAAAAAATTTATATAAATATATACATTCACAATTGCATAACATTTAAGGGTTATTACACTGAAACATAATTGGGGCGCAAAGAACGTACTTTTAAATCTCAACTAAAAGTGGGTGTCAATAACATTCTATATTTGTCGCTTTAAGAGGATACCACATTTTGAAAGAGACTTCTGCAGGTTTATGTTTAAAAGGAACATTATAATAGTGATTGATGCATGTGATTTATTTTTCACATATGTTTAATAATTTGTAGCTATAAATTTGAATTGTGGTTTATTTGTTTTCAGACTATTTTGCTGATGACTACAGAGCAAAAAAATATTTCCAATATGTATAGATATGTACTTCAATACTGAAATGTGTATTTAATGCAGGTAAATATTTCATTAATTCAAGTTATGAAAGTGTTTCAGATTTTTGAATCAATGATTTTTATGTTGTTTGTGCTGTATTTAGACACCTCTACCAAGAAATTTGTTTTGCATGCACACATACAAAAATAGAGGTTTTTATCCAACGCAATCATAGGTTTGAACGTTGTTTTCAATTTAGACTTGTGTGTATATATAATTGATAATTAAACATGTTAAAAGAGATGATTTAAGATACATGTACTACAAAACAATGGATTAAGTCCAAACATTATGAATGAAATTAATTACCGAAACCCCAGTAAACGCACTGTTCTCGACACTGTTGATATGGAAACGTCGATGTCTTTCTTTTTCAGAGCTTGCTGCAGACTTGGCATGGTCACTGACTGGGATTTCTTGTGCAGATCATAGATGGTCCTTCTCACCACACCTTTGTCGAAATCATCCAACTTCTGGTTCTTCTTGACAGTTTTCTGGACAGCAGCCTTATGAACTGCCTTCACCACATCCTGCACAGCATCATCACTGGCATCTGTATGGACATAACGTCGCAGTGTTGTTGGTTTAATCCCTGAAATTTCAATTGTCCATGTATTTCAGCATATAACATAAAAATGATAGAAAAAACTTGTATATAATTGTATAGAGTGGATTCAAGGTGGTTGGGGGCATTTATATATCTTCTTGTTTGCATGGTCATAAAAAATTGTTGTTCGACTTGCATAGCTTGACAATATATTTAAGGAATAACAGTACTGTAGTTGAAGAGTTGCCACCGTCAATTGTCGATTTGACGATCGCAAATGCAGTTTTACTGGTGATGCGTAGCGGAGACAGTAAAACGGAAATTTCAACCGTCAAATCAAAATTGACGGTGGCAACTCTTCAACTACAGTACTGTTATTCCAATTCTAATGCAATACAAAAAGAAATAATACGTTAGAGCTTGACAAAATGTATAAATTTCACATACAAAAAAATCTGCGAAACTTCTTGAATGATTTTGGCTCAAAAACGTCATGGCTAAGTGTGACGTCATTCAAATGAAAACTGACAAACTGAAGGTTATTACGTTACCTCTACGATTTAAATTCGGATAAAATCACATTAAAACGGCGAATTGGTTGTAGGTTTTGTTTTATTTTCGATAATATTGTAGTAATCGAACATTTGTTGATCCAATCAATTCAAAATTGCGGATCCCTCTTTAGTTAAGCCTGGTCAACTGTGGATTTGACGGTAACTTTTAGCCAATGAAAAAAATTGTTACATAAAAATTGCATTAGAATTCAAGTTTTCTTATCACCACTTAAATATTTATTAGATTTGCCCCAATTACATTATCTGAAACATATCCTAATGTACACGTGATTCATCTAAAATTACTATATTTGGTGTATGTGGAAGGATTGGAATGGAACTCATGTCCAAGGGTACATCTGACCCTCGCTTCATTTTCATGTTTAATTGTTGATGTGTATTTACAGTTAACTGTTTTACCTGCAAATTTGCTATTGATGCCTTGACCTTATGAATTGATATTTATGAGGTTGAAAATATCTTTCATCAAGTTTTATCTATAGACATCATTTGGTTTGCACAATTATATGTTATTAAAAATAACAAGACCCCAATAATTGAGGTCTCCAACAAAGTTTGTCTGCTTTAAAATCATAATTGTTGATTTTATGCAAATAATTTTTCTTTTTTTTTCAGTTATGTAAAACTGAATTTTTTTTTTAAAAAATAAGTTAATTTTACCTGTTGCCTTTACTAGTCTTTTAATGGGATTTTGAAGTGCCCATGGTTTATTTTTCTCCTTCTCTCCCACAAAGAATTGGTAAACTTTCCTCAATAATTCTTTTGTCTGAAAAAAAACAACAACATTTTGTATATGATCAAAGGGAGGTAAACTATAGTAAGAATGGGATGTGATTGTTCTATATAAGATTCTTGTTACGTTTCATTTTTTAAAATGCAGAGGGTTTGGTAAAAATGACAGTGCACAAAGATTAAATTATGTACATGTAGTTATGTATAAAGATTGGAGTTGAATTTTTGTTATCGTGTAATGATCTTTGTATAAATGTTGTCGCTGATTAAACCAATTTTTAAGGTTATTTATAATTGCAAGACACTGACATGTTGTATGGCATTCTTAATCAACAGTTATCATTTATAATTATATATTATTGTTGTATACTAGTATATCAAAATATTTGTTCTAATGTAGCTGTGAAATTGATTTAAGGTACTGCATTTGTAGTAAAATTTAAATAATTTGAAAGATTTCTAATTTGTTCTAAGCACTTCTTGGTGATATTTATATTTTTCTTTTGTTGTAATTTTGTGAGTACATTATTAATTGTATTATTATGGTAGCTGTTTATTCCTTCATTACCATCAGTCATATAAGGCAGTATGGACGAGGTTTACAAATTAAAAGATAATGGAAAAGCATGGTGATTAAGAAAAAGAAAGGAAAATAGAAAACTTTTTTTTTTACTAAAAGATAAAAAAAATAATTATGTGTTAAAATTTAAAGAATATATAACAATGGCATGAAATTAATCATATAAATGAACACCACCCTATTCAGACCCTCATATGTAACTGGTAACCCAAACTATGTAGGAGTGTTGCCTTTCCTGTTAAAGAATTATGAGCAAAAAGTAGTTCTTGTTTTCTATGTCTTTTTATGCCCCGCCATAGTGGAGGGGTCATTAAGTTTTAACCTTGTCCATCTGTATGTTCGTCCCTCTGTACATCCCAAAAAAGTTTTCCGTTCTCTAAATTTAGTTTGCCTTAACCAAATTTTATGAAACTTATCCACAATGCTTATTACCACAAAACACAGATTGAGGTTTTATTTTGCTTTTACTATTCTAGAGTTATGCCCCTTTACAAATGGAAAAACTGCTGAATTTTATGTTTCTGTTCTCTAACTAAAGTTTGCCTCAACCAAATGTTATGAAACTTTGACACAATGCTTATTACCACAAAACTCAGATCAAGAAGAAATTTGGGTAGCGTCACTTTTACAGTTCTTGAATTATAGCCCTTAACTTTATATGCAAGTGGGGGCATCATCTGTGTCCCATAGACACATTCCCTGTTTATTTTTTTCTTATTATAAAATACCCATTTATAGGGAAATGTTCCGGCCTTTACCAGTTCTTAAATTTAAACCGATACTGTATGGATTCTTAACACTGCATAATAATAAAATTAACAGAAATGGATGCTGGTGGGAGACTAGAGCTTGAAACTCACCTCCAACACTCAAACATATTTAACAGGAGAATTAATGTTGTTTTGTTTTGTATTTTTCTTTTGGGGGGTGGGAGGGGGGATATTAAATTCCGCCATACTAAGTCCTTTTTATACGCCCCCAAAAATTTTTGCGGTCGTATATTGGTATGACGTTGGCGTCGTCGTCTGAAGACACATTGGTTTTCGCACTATAACTTTAGTTTTAAGTGAATGGATCTCTATGAAATTTTACAATAAGGTTAAATACCACAAAAGGAAGGTTGGGATTGATTTTGGGGGTTATGGTACCAACAGTTAGGAATAATGGGCCAAAAAGGGGCCAAAATAAGCATTTTCTAGTTTCCAGACAATAACTTGTGGAAAGGTGTATGGATCTCTCTGAAATTATACCACAAGTTTCCATACCACAAAGGGATGGTTAGGATTTGCTTTGGGGGGTTATGGCTCAAACTGTTTAGGAATTAGGGGCAAAAATGGGGGGAAAACAAGGTTGTCCTGGTTAATGGACAAATACTTTAGTACAAAACATTATTTAAAGCAGTGTAAGGGAGATAAATCAAATACATCATTTGAATTACCTCCCTTACACTGATTTTAAATTATGTATAAAGTAATGGTTAATGTACAATTAAGACAATTTAAAACAGTGTGAGGGAGGTAATCCAAATACAACGTTTTGATTATTTCCCTTACACTGCTTTTAAATTATGTTAAAAGAAATGCATCTATATTTATTAAGGAAGACCAGTAAAAATATCTGCAAATGTTGCATCTTTTTTTTTTACCAAAAAATCCATATGAAAGATTGACACCATATTTTAAATTCTATTATAAAATAGATTAAGTTAGCACTATGGTAAATTTAAATGGGTAATTATGGTTGCAAACTCCATTGGAAATTTAATTTGAATTGAGATTATCACCATATCTTGAGGGAAAGATTTTTTTTGGGGAAAGGGGTGGGGGGGGGGGGGGGAGTAAAAAGAAATTGTGGGGTCAATTTTGTCTTATTTCAGATTTCAGAAGTTAAAAGAATTATTCTTCAAATATTATCTTTTTTTCAAATTTCAAATATTGAAAAATTTCAAGAAGTAATCTTTAATTGCACAGTATGGCGCATTAGATTTGTAAAATCTTTGACAACATGTATTTATTTGTTTATTTGTTATGCCGAATCTGACCGTGTATTTAGATTTTTAATTTTGGGTCCAGTTTTCAAATTGGTCTACATTAAGGTCCAAAGGGTCCAAAATTAAACTTAGTTTGATTTTAACAAAAATTGAATATATGGGGTTCTTTGATATGCTGAATCTAAACATGTATTTAGATTTTTGATTTTGGGCCCAGTTTTCAAGTTGGTCCAAATTGGGGTCCAAAATTAAACTTTGTTTGATTTCAACAAAAATTGAATATTTCGGGTTCTTTGATATGCTGAATCTAACCCTGTATTTAGATTTTTTATTTGTGGGCCCCGCTATCAAATTGGTTCATTTTGAGGTCAAAAGAGTCCAAAATTAAACTTTGTTTGATTTCATCAAATATTGAATTATTTGGGTTCTTTGATATGCCAAATCTAACAGTGTATTCAGATTTTTAATTTTGGGTCATGTTTTTTAAATTGGTCTACATGAAGGTCCAAAGGGTCCAAAATTAAACTTAGTTTGATTTTAACAAAAATGGAATTCTTGGGGTTCTTTGATATGCTGAATCTAAACAGGTGTTTAGATTTTTGATTATGGGCCCAGTTTTCAAGTTGGTCCAAGATGGGGTCCAAAATTATACTTTGTTTGATTTCAACAAAAATTGAATATATGGGGTTCTTTGATATGCTGAATCTAACCATGTATTTTGATTTTTGGGCCACATTATCAAATTTGTCCACATTGAGGTCAAAAGGGTCCAAAATTAAAGTTTGTCTGATTTAAAAAAAAATTGGATTCTTTGGATTCTTTGATATGCTGAATCTAACCATGTAGTTTTATTTTTGGGCCCCGTTATCAAATTGGTCCACATTGAGGTCAAAAGGGTCCAAAATTAAACTTTGTTTGATTTCATCAAAAATTGAATTCTTTGGATTCTTTGATATGCTGAATCTAACCATGTATTTAGATTTTGGATATTGGACCATTATAGGTAAATTAAAAATTTATAAGTTCTTAGACCAGATTCATTCTGTGTCAGAAACCTATGCTTTGTCAAATATTTAATCACAATTCAAATTCAGAGCTGTATCAAGCTTGAATGTTGTGTCCATACTTGCCCCAACTGTTCAAGGTTCGACTTCTGCAGTCGTATCAAGCTGCGCCCAGCGGAGCGTTTTATTATGTTGTATATTGGTATGACGTTGGCGTCGTTTTCCGAAGACACATTGGTTCCCGCACAATAACTTTAGTTTAAGTGCATGGATCTCTTTGAAATTTTACCATAAGGTTCAATACCACAAAAGGAAGGTTGGGATTGATTTTGGGGGTTATGGTACCAACAGTTAAAGAATTAGGGGCCAAAAATAAGCATTTTTGTAACTTCCAGACAATATCTTGTGTGTTAGTGTATGGATCACTCTAACATTGTACCACAAGGTTCCATATCACAAAGGGAATGCTGGGATTGATTTTGGGGGTAATTGCCTCAAAATTTTAGAAATTAGGGGACAAGAAAGGGGCAAAAAGACAAGCATTTTTCTAGTTTCATGACAATAACTTGTGTGTAAGTGTATGGATCTTTATGAAATTGTACTACAAGGTTCCATGTCACAAAGGGAAAGCTGGGTTTGAGTTTGGGGGTAATTGCCCTAAAAGTTTTGGAATTTGTGGCCAAAAAGGGGCAAAACAACAAGCATTTTTCTAGTTAATAACTTGTGTTCAAGTGTATGGATCTCTCTGAAATTGTACTGCTAGGTACCATACCACAAAGGGAAGGCTGGGATTGAGTTTGGGGTGATTAATCATTAGGGGGGTTTAAAATTGGGGGGGGGGGGATTTTTTCCCCCCTTTTTTTTCTTTAAAATTTTCCATTTTAAGTTGGTTATTTCTGATTTATATATAAAAGCAAATAATAATGATATGGTTTGATTTCATCAAAAATTGAAATATTGGGATTTTTTGATATGCTGAATCTAACCGTGTATTTAGATTCTTAATTTTTGGTCCCGTTTTCAAATTGGTCTACATTAAGGTCCAAAGGGTCCAAAATTAAACTAAGTTTGATTTTAACAAAACTTGAATTCTTGGGGTTCTTTGATATGTTGAATCTAATCATGTATTTAGATTTTTGGCCCAGTTTTCAAGTTGGTCTAAATTGGGGTCCAAAATTAAACTTTGTTTGATTTCAACAAAAATTGAATAAATGGGGTTCTTTGATATGCTGAATCTAACCATATATTTAGATTTGTTATTTGTGGGCCTCGTTATCAAATTGGTCCACATTGAGGTCAAAAGGGTCCAAAATTAAACTTTTTGTTTGATTTCATCAAAAATTGAATTCTTTGGATTCTTTGATATGCTGAATCTAACCATGTATTTAGATTTTGGATATTGGACCATAATTAGTAAATTAAAATTTTTTAAGTTCTTAGACCACATTCATTCTGTGTCAGAAACCTATGCTCTGTCAAATATTTAATCACAATCCAAATTCAGAGCTGTATCAAGCTTGAATGTTGTGTCCATACTTGCCCCAACTGTTCAGGGTTGGACCTCTGTGGTCGTATCAAGCTGCGCCAAGCGGAGCATTTTATTAATATTTGGGAAAACATTCATGAACTAATAGTTTATGCTTCATTTTCCTTGACCCCTTGGCTCCATCTCTTAAAAAGGGTCAGTCAAATGTGTTTGCATATCATTGATATGTAGCAAAGTATTTTTATTGGTATTAATATTGATTTTGTTATCAGTAAATTAAAATCAAACTAAATATTATGGTTATACAAATATGTAATTTCATGGATCTACAATTTTGTCGATACCTGTTTCTTGGCATTGCACAGGGTCATGTTTTTATTGGATGTTGGATGTGTACAGTTTGATAATATCGTCTTAGATGCATGACTGTTGTCGAGCCTGCAGCTTTTGTCGCAGAAAGCTCGACACGGGGATAGTGATATGGCGGTGGCACTAACTAATTTCTTTAAAGCTTTATATTTAAGAAGGTAGAATACCTGGATCCTTCATACTTTGTATATAGATGCCTTATGTTATGGAGTTTCAGTATGTCATATGTCCATTGACCTTTACCTCATTTTCATGGTTCAGTGACTACTTGAAAAAAAGTTAAGAAATTTTAGTATTCTTAATTTCTCTCTTATTATGAGTAAAATGATAACTTTGTTTGGTATGTCCATACCTTGCAAGTGTCTCAGACAGTTTTGACGATGACGTCATTTAATAGATCAGTGAACAAGGTTAAGTTTTGGTGGTCAAGTCCATATCTCAGATACTATAAGCACAAGATCAACTATATTTGGTGTATGGAATGATTGTAAGGTGTACATGTCCAACTGACAGGTGTCATCTGACCTTAACCTCATATTCATGGTTCATTGGTCAATGATCAGTTTTCCTGGTTTAGTTTGTTTCTTATATTTGCAATAGGTAGACTACATGTATATTTAAAGCATATTTGGTATATGGAATGATTGTAAGGTGAACATGTATTTCAAGTTTGGTTTATCTGACTTTTGACCTCATTTAATTGGATTATGTTATGTTTATGTGATAGTTGTAGTAAAGCTTAATAATTAGAACTATCAACATAATATCAATGGTTAGTAAAGAAGAAGAGACATTTCAATGTGCACTCTTGTATTTATTAGTTGTTATTGGCTTTGAACTAGCTGTCAGTAACTGCTAGTACTCTGAGATCTGTACTTAGTGTCTTTTTGGTTGTTGGGATGTACAAGTACACTGCCATGTTTACTTTATGTTTTTATACGCCCATTTGCGGGACGTCACATATTATGGTATACCGTTGTCCGTCTGTCCATCCGTCGTCAACATGTCGGACATTAACTCAAAAACGCTTTACCCAATTTGCATAAAACTTTGGTGATATGTTTATATCTATTGAAGTGAGCTCCCTTTCAATTTTTATAAATTTTAGATTTTATGTTTCTGAGTTATGGGGTTTTATTCATTAAAAAAAGGGGGATTTTCCAGTTTTCGGACAATATAAACTTAAGAATGCTTTCACCAACTTGCAAGAAATTGTGGTGAATTGTTTATATCTATTGACATGAGCTCCCTTCCGATTTTTATATTTTTAAGATTTTACGTTTCCAAGTTGCAGGGTTTTATTCATAAAAAAAGAGTGATTTTCCAGTTTTCAGACAAATAATCAAAAATGCTTTCAGTAGTTCTTAGGAAACTTGGTGAATTGTTTATATCTATTGATGTAAGCTTTGTTTAGAATTTTATAAATTTCACATTTTACATTTCTGAGTTATTGGGTTTTATTCATTAAAAAAGGGGGGATTTTCCAGTTTTGGGACAATAACTCAAAAATGCTGTCAGCAATTCTCATGAAACTTTGGTGAATTGTTTATATCTATTGATGTAAGCTCCTTTACATTTTAATAAATTTCTAATATGACACTGAGAATTAATTGAACTTTAATTGTTTATAGTCTGACAACAGATTTACTAAGTATTGCGCAACACTACAGTGTATTGCACAACAGCAAGAAATCTTTAATTGAATATAAATTCAATTCATATAACCAATTTCAAGTTCTTTGACTACATTTATTCAGAAACCTATAATATGTCCAATATTTAATACACTTCAAATTCAGACATGTATCAAGCTTGAATATTGTGTTCATTTTTGCCCCAACTGTTCAGGGTTGGACCTATGCAGGCGTATCCAGCTGCACTCAGCGAAGCAGTTTATTGTTAGAAGTATTTCTATTTGTATCCATCTAATGAATTCAGCCTTTTTTTCATGATTTTATAGTTTGTTCTTATATTGTACTGTTACACCACCGTCTAAGGTCAGGGGAGGGTGGGATCCCACTTACATGTTTAACCTTGCCACATTCTGTATGTATGTGCCTATTCAAAGTCAGGAGCCTGTAATTCAGTGGTTGTTGTTTGTTGCTGTGTTACATATTCGTATTTTTTCATTCATTCGTTTGTAGATTTATTAGGCATGGAGTTTTCTGGTCTGATTTGTCTTACAATTGTCATTTCAGGGTCTTTTATATTTGACTATGCGGTATGGGCTTTGCTCATTGTTGAAGGCCGTACAGTGGCATATAGTTGTTAATTTTTATATAGTATAACAGATTACTATAATTATGATAATTTGAATTTTATTGACTTTATTTTTAAGGTGAACATGAATGAAGCTAGAAATATTAAAATTAAAGGCCTGTTTCTCAAAAATACTATGTGAATATTTAAATTAAAAGGGAGGGGGGGGGGGTTTGTTTATTTCTTACAAAAGTATTCTGATTCCAAATTTGATGAAGAAAAAAATATTGTCAAGCAGAACAAAAATTTTGAATCCAGATTTCCCCATACCTTAAATTTAGAAAAAATAATAAAAATAATTAAATTGTTATTGTCGAAAAAAATATACCCCCCCTCCCCCCAACCCACCACTTTTGAAGTGACATGGTTACTCCCCTAGTGTAACCAGAAAAAGTAACTGTTATACTGTTGGGCTGTTTTAGCTCTTTGATTGGGTTGTTGTCTCTTTCACACATTCTCTGTATCATTCCCAATTTCATGACAATTTGCTTTTGTGTCATTGATATTAATGATCTGTGAAGTATGATTTCTCAAGAGGTTGTGGGTTTGTCTTTGATCTCATTTTGATTTTTACTGCATACTTGAAAAATTGATTTTGCAGCTTTAAATTTAATCATGTTGCACAGCATTAATGATTAGGGTTCAAGACTGGACTGGTTGACATTGAGTCAGCTAAATGTATGTGTATAAGGTAGGTTTAAAATTTTCAAGTTCTGATTGATAGGGATGGACATAGTCATAGGCATAGGTAAAGGAACAGAGATTCAGGGACTTACTGTCCAGCACTCTGTTGTCACTGATTTGGAGAGAGAAAAACCTGCACCATTTGTGCAATTCTACTATGCATTTAAACACTTAGGTTCAGTAATATTAACATGGACAGTCGACCTTCGGGCTTCCCATGGATAGAAGCAAGTGCCTGTGTTATGAACAGTTCCCAGATTATTTGTCTGCTTTTTTTTTTATTTGTTTTGTGTTTAAATTTCGTATTTCTTTTTATTTCTTTTGTTTAAAAGTATTTACCTGTAGGTTTCTGACTACATTTTTGTTTTTAGGTGGCATTTTTAGTTTGGAATAATTATAGTTCGATAAATTCAGTAATATTTATAGTTTCTTCTTTGTTTATGGTAGTCTATCGTCTGCTATAGAATATTTCTCTGGACTTACCTTATAAATGATGAAAAGATCCGAGTGGCCCCGAAAAATATGCAAATTGCCTGAACGTGAAACTCCACGGCAACACTTCCGGTAATAACAATGTCGGATTCCACCATTGAAAACAATCTAGGATAATGTGAAGGTCAGGATTATACAGTGCAAACACAATAAAAGGTAGGACAGTTGTGGATATTTGGAAAGGATTTTTATTCCGCTTATTGAAAAACGTCATCTCGAGTGAACGCGGCTGATATTTAAAAAAAATTCGACAAAAAACACGGTGCCAATTTTACATGACGGCGACTATAGCATATAATCCATGGTAAAATCAATATAAATTCAAGCCCCAATGAATAAAAGTATACACAATATCAGGATTACCACACATTTATATTTATACTACCAATATATCTTGTAATCTTCTGTACTATAATATATCATGTATGTTTGTCACCCGGAAACTGGTTTTACCAGCAAAATTTATAAAGTGTTTATGAGTTGATTCCAGGCAGAATCAGCAGTCTGTGCTACCCATTTAGAAACTTTTTTTTTATAAGCATATTTGCGGTAAATATCTTGCGGTATTGGATTTATTATCATTACCGGTGATTTTAATTTGCAAATGTCTCCATTCTTATCTCCAAGTCAAGCAGAATACTTCTCTTTCTACAAAAACTTTCGTCTGTTCAAAGCGGAAGTTCCAGAATTGTGAAATACGTCATAGTTTGTGAGGTCGACTGCAATCACGAGATTTTAGACGACACATTAACCAAATCAGAATTGAATTACTTGGTTTATCGGTGGTAAAATGGCACTCAGTGATGCAGACGTCCAGAAACAGGTAAAAAAATGTTACTTTTTTTGTGCTTATTTCAAGTGTACATTTCTATTCGTCGGAAAACAAAAAGTGGGACTGCTAAATCATAGATTGATTTTCACAAACTCTGTCTGAATAAAACAATACAATTTGTGAAACAGTCTGAGTCATTGAATATACCAGCATAGTGAGAAAGACTTTTTTTTCACCACTGAAATAGAAAAACTATACACTTTCAACCAGTACCTATAAGAGTGCAGGTAGGAACTAAGGAAGTATTTATCATAAAAATAAGAAGATGTGGTATGATTGCCAATGTCAATGAGACAACTCTCCACAAGAGACCAAATAACACAGAAATTAACAACTATAGGTTACCCTATGGCCTCCAACTTACATATCCTCGTATTATGGGTTTTCGTGCTATTTAGAATGCATTGTGACGTCATTGACATTGTCGTCAAATTTATGACTGCCCCAATTAAAAAAAAAAGGCATAAGGAATAAAAATAAAGATATATATGAATTGTAATACATAAATGTTTATGAATTTTATAATAATATATACTGTGAAATATTTAAAAACTAACCAGGGACGTTTCTCATATCTGTGAGTAATCAATTTATTCACTAATTGCGAGTGTCAATTTGGCTACTTGTGCTCGCATGCGGGGTCTCGCAGACGCTGGCAATATAATATTATTTTGATAGAAAGTATTTGAATTCAATTCAATTTATCACCTTAAATGAAAATGGATGATTATCATGATTATGGGCAGTATAAAACAATTATGTTGATTATGTTTTCAAGACTATTTTGTATGTATAATTATAATAAAAACATATATAACAGAATTTAGTACCTTCAACATCAATCAGCAGTAATTAGCATTTTTTTAATTGACAGTGATCTTTCACATGTACAATTCTTGCCAGATTTTTATAACACTTATATCATAGATAAATATCAGCAATGTCTCAAACAACATGAACAAGTTAGAAAATCAGTGTGGATCCGCTATTTTTACTATTTTTAAAAGAGTTATGCCCCTTAGAAATATTAATTATATGGAAAATTTTCATGCACTGAAGACTTAACAGGTTGGTGAAAATTATCCACATGGGTTATTATAAAGGTACATTTTAAATGTAGTAGTTATCAAAAGAAGCTAGTTCTTAGTTATCTGACTCTATGGTGATGGTGAGATTCCTTTTGTTCATTTGCTCATTTTTATGTTAATTTTCAGATTAAGCACATGGTTGCATTTATAGAACAAGAAGCAAATGAAAAAGCTGAAGAAATTGATGCCAAGGTAAAGTGTTTTCATAATTATCATTCACACATATTATGTTCAATGTAAGATGGATAAAAATACAGTGGATGTACATACATATTTTGTTAGAATTAACATGTTTTTATGCCCCCGCCGCTGCAGAGGGGGCATTAAGTTTTACCCTTGTCCGTCTGTACGTCCGTCCATACGTCCCAAAGCTGGTTTCCGTTCTCTAACTTTATTTTGCCTCAACCAAATGTTATGAAACTTATACACAATGCTTATTATTACAAAACACAGATCGAGTTTGAAAATGGGTGGCGTCACTTGTACCATTCTTGAGTTATGCCCCTTTATAAACAAAAATTGCTGAATTTTTCGTTTCCGTTCTCTAACTTTAGTTTGCCTCAACCAAATGTTATGAAACTTATACACAATGCTTATTACCACATAATACAGATCAAGTTTGAAATTGGGTGGCATCACTTTTACTGTTCTTGAGTTATGCCCCTTTACATAAGCATAAAAATTGCTGAATTTTTCGTTTCCGTTCTCTAACTTAGTTTGCTTCAACCAAATGTTATGAAACTTATACACAATGCTTATTACCACAGAATACAGATCAAGTTTGAAATTGGGTGGTGTCACTTTTATTTTTTTATACCTTGCAATTGGTATTCAACTTTAAAGACAGGTTCTGTCTAGTGAAATTTTACATGATCAAAGATCAGATACAGTGCAGTATGTGGACCAAAGTTATATTCTTTTAACAAACTATATGTGTAATATTCTTTATTATTTTACACAAACACAAATTTTCAGTTCATTTTAATCTCATTTTTGTCTTGCCTGCAACAAAAGGTATCAATATCCATCGGGTGTGGCATGTACACTATTTGTATAAAGCTTTATATTTCATAAGGTAGAAGACCTGGATGCTTCATACCTTGTATGCAGATTCCTTATGTTGCGAAGTTTCCATCTGTCATGTCCATTTTCCTTGACCTCTTTTTCTTGTTTCAGCAACTGCTTGAAAAAAAAATAGTTTTTTTTGTCAAGTGAATTTCTCACTTATTATGAGTAATAAGATAACTATATTTGGTATACGAGTTCCTTGCAACGCCTACATGTCCGTCAGACAGGGTTCACCTGATGTAGACCTCATTTCATGGATCAGTGATCAAGGTTAAAGTAACATGATTGGGTATGTTTCTCAGATACTATAATAAATTTAGTGTTTGGAATGTGTACATGTTGGTCTAGCCAGTATCATCTGACCTTCACCTCATTTTCATGGTTCATTGTTCAATGTTTGGTTTTTGGTCTGTTTTTCAAACATTAATTGCAATAGGTCAGCTATATTTGGTGTATGGAATTGTTGTAAGTTGTAATGTCTGTCTGGCAGGCATTATCTGACCTTGACCTCATTTTCATGGTTCATTGGTCAATGATATGTTTTCATAATTTTGTCAGTTTATCAGATACTATAAGCATGATAAGCAACAAGTCAACTATATTTGGTGTATGGAATGATTGTAAGGTGTACATAACTGTCTAGACTTGTTCATCTGACCATGAAATCATTATCATAGAACATTGATAATGTTAAATTTATGTGATACTCATGTTACAGACTTTCAACATAAATTACATGATAAATAAAACAGGCGAGACATTTCAGTGTGTGTACTCTTGTTGTAAAATATTCTCCCTTTAATAATGCATGGTTAGAATTATTAATAGTTTATATTAATAATTTTCCAAGCATTTTTATGCCCCACCTAGGGGCATTATGTTTTTCGGTCTGTGTCTGTCGGTCCTTCCGTCCGTCTGTCCCGCTTCAGGTTAAAATTTTTGGTCAAGGTAGTTTTTGATATAGTTGAAGTCCAATCAACTTGAAACTTTGTATACATGTTCCCTATGATATGATCTTTCTAATTTCAATGCCAAATTAGAGTTTTTACCCCAATTTCATGGTCCAATGAACATAGAAAATGATAGTGCGAATGGGGCATCTGTGTACTATGGACACATTCCTGTTTTTTAATTATTGTTATCAAGAATTCAGATTATATTTTCTACACCATGTACACTGTGGATTCATTTATTTTTGAGGGTTCCAATTTTTGTTGATTGAGGAAAAATCATATTTTCATGAATATTTGATTTCATGGTTTTGTCAAAGTTTGTAAATATATATATATATATATACAAGTCTGTAGAAAATTTATTCTTAGTTGAACATTTCAATTCCTTGTTCACCTACATGACCTATACCAAAGAAATCCATAAAAATTAGTATCTCACAAATAATGTAGTTAAAAAAACATTATGTTTCAGTACCGACCGTGCAAGACCCTCATGGGTAATCAATGACGTTATATATACACCCACTAGTAATAGTATGTTACAGTCCTCATACATGTTTCTTTAGACAAAGTTAGCGACAGTAAATACGTTTTTTTATTTGACTTAGAATACAGAAAAACTTGAAAGTTGGTAAAAAAGTTCTAATTTTTATGTTTATGTTTAACATGCATATGTGTTTTTGAATTTTATAATGTGTTTATAGGCTGAGGAAGAATTTAATATAGAAAAAGGAAGACTTGTACAACAGCACAGAGTAAAGATTATGGAATATTATGAAAAGAAGGAAAAACAAGTAGAATTACAAAAGAAAATGTAGGTGGTACATGTATTTATTTTAAATAGCTGATCATCTTGAATTGTCTATTTATAAAGATTCATACTATAAGTAAAGTTGCTAACATCTACATCATTTGGTCTCTGGTGGATAGTTGTCTCATTGGCAACATCTCCTTATTTATATACAATAGATAAGCAATCAGTAAGATAAAAGAGTTTTGCTCAAAACTAAATATTAAAATAACATAGAGCATCGTTTAAAGAAATAAAAAATATCTAGCAAAATTTAGACTAAAATCTTATTTATAAAATATAAAAATAACTGTCACCTGGCGACATTGGATTAAATGCACATATGTACATGTGACCGTTTATTTAGGAAACAAATTGCTGCAGAATGTGCTTATTTATATTCACAATTATCAGTAAATTGTGTGTTCTACAAGGATCACCAGTCCTTCACCTTTCATCTGATACCTTAATTACTAGAATATATGCTACATAGTTTAAGATTTACACCTGTGCGTAGGAACTATTTTGTTTTAAATATGTACTACTTTCCAGTATGTTCTTTTTCGACCAGGCCCGATTGGGTGGTATTACACCTTACAAAGTCTATCTAAATTATTTTTGCAAAGAATTACGCTTAAGCCGGTGCTAGGTGCCGTCTTAAACTTGCAGTGAGGTGAGAGTTTTTTTGCTCCGTGTTTAGGTCTCACTGTGACTTTGAGATGAAGAACAGCAATTAAAGCGCTGTTCCTTTGCTTTTTGTGTGTTTTATTGTTGTGCATTTACTGATTTTGTGTCATGGATGGATACCCCATATCCTTTGTTTTTCTATTTTATTTACCACATGACAGAAATAACACAAACAAATCAGTATAGAATTGTAGAGTATCTTGTACAATGATTTATTTTCAGTCAAAACTCCAACATGTTGAATCAGTCAAGATTAAAGATTCTGAAGGCAAGAGAAGATCAGTTAAAGGTAAATTTTCAGTGAATTTGTATGTTAAATTTTAATTAATAGCCAATCATTTGCATATTGAAAATCAAATGTGGCATTTACCACATAAAAACATGTAGAAGAAGTTCTATACATTCTGCATAAATTATGTCTTCAAGATCCAAAGGAGTACTAAAATGTTTCTTTTAAAACTGTTGAAGTCTTCATAAAAGTTACAACTTCTATTTTTTTATGACCGACAAAGCAACTTGTAATCATAACAACATAACTGCATTTGTACATCAATAGTCCTTCAAGAAATTTGTCCATTAGTGGGTTTACTTTTAAAATAAACATTAGTCCATGCCTTTTACTATGATTTGTAGGAATGAAAGATGTTCTTATGCAGAAAAGCAAATGTATTTAACTTAAAGAATGAAATAAAAAAAACGAAATTTTGAGTGATGACATGAAATCACTAGTCCCAAAGCAATAGAATTGTATCTTTTTTGTTCCTCTTTTGAAATGACACAGTGAGGTCTTCAACTCTAAGCAAAATCTCACACCTTACTGCAAGTTCCGGTTGGTCCCTAGCAATTGTTTTAGCAGAATTCTTTTCCTTGAAATCAATCAAGTAACCTTAATACATTGATACACACAGATGTGTGATATAGTCAACAAAAGAATGTAACAGGCAAAGAACACAAACATGGTTTGCTTTAATTCTCTTTTAGGAACTATTAGAAGAAGCCAGAACTAAACTACACAATATTACAAAAGATAAAGCTAGATACAGGAAATTATTGGAAGGTCTGATCACTCAGGTAAATTTACATCGAAATCGGTTAGAATGTCTAATCACTCAGGTAAATTTACATCTACATTGTATAAAAAGTATATAGCTAGATACAGGTAATTGTTAGGTCTGATCACTCAGGTAAACTTACATCTACATCTACATTGTATAACAAGGATAAACCTAGATGAAGGTAATTATTAAATGGTCTGATCATTCAGTTAAACTTACATCTACATTGTATAAAAAGAAATAGGCAAATTTCCCAAAGAAATGATACACATTTTTGTTGATTGTATTTATCTTTACTAAAATTATAATATCCTCACTCATAATAAAATTATTACTGAAGAGACTTCATAGGCAATTTTCAATAACTGTTTAAAAAATCTTGGAAATATTTGCTCAAGTTTGTCATTTGTTTGTATAATCAGTAGAAGAAAATCAATACTGAAAAGATATTTTTTTCTTTCAAAAATGAATTTTAAACAAGTATTTTAAATTCTGGTGAATAGGGTATTACAGGCTTGTTTAAGGTGGGTACCAAAGGTATGCATAGCGTCTTTGTTAAACATTGACTTTAAAAGAATAATCAAGACACAGCACTTAATAGGATTATTATGTATATATTGTGAAGTAAATGGTCCTAAGAAAGGTTGTTCTTATATTTCTTTTAATTATTTTCCAAGATTTATGGAAGTCAAACAGATGTTATACTTTTAGATAACGACAGAGCTGTGCATTTAATGGCCCTAAAGTGCGAGAAATTAGGACTTGTTAGTAGACACTTTTAGAACTTTTTTAACAGGGCTAATTTGTCAAGTTTTTAAAAATTATGGGAAAGGATTATGAAATAAGTTAGAAGTAAGAAACATATACTAATGTATCTATAAAATGAGATACAACACATGTAAATTTAAAATTGACTCCACTCCGTCCGTTTAGACCCTAGATTACACTTATTTTAAAACTTTAAATCATAATACAAAATTCACGAAACAATATGAAAGACGATGAAACTTCTATTTCGATAACAAACAAACATATAATACCTTACCTTTTGATTATAATCCAAAATTAATAAGATCAACACAAACACTATATCCTTCAATCATGTCAGGTTACGATTATTTGATCACACTGAACACACACAAGATTTTTCTAAACGAGTAAAATATGTGTCAGGTAGATTGTATAAGGATGGAAAAGTAAAGGTCAAATCCAGAACAAAAAATACGTAATTACCAATTTAGATGATTTGCATTTATATATGTTTGTATTAAAGTATGTAATTAACTAAAAAAAAAGTAAAACTTATCTTTAAGACACCCTGTTCTTAAAGATATTAATATATCAGGGTACCTTGTTTGTGAAAGCTGTAGCAATAAGGTAATTGTTACAGCTTTAGACCAATAAATCAATTATCATACATAGTCCAAAAAAAAAAAGAAACGTATACTATTGTCTCGCTCTTTCTATCATGAAAATACACGAAGGTTTATGACAGTCATGCTATATTTTACTATGTGCATATATGTGATTGTTAAATATACAAGTACATAAATAAAAAGTGTTTAGCATGACTTCTATAAGTATAAACCTCATATTTCTTCTCTGCAAAATTGAAAAACAATACTAAGACATTATTTTTTGGAGAATTCTGATTAATCATTTCACTCTTATGTTCTGTAAATTCAGAAAATTTGTGCAAGCATTTATTATTGCCATTGTACATGTTCATGATATGGTTCATGATGTTGAACAATGTAAAAAAATGTGAGATTCGTTATTGCGATATCAGGAAATGCTACATACAAATAACACTTTAAAATGTCATCATTGTCCCAATAATAAAAACATCAAAATGTCTAAAATTTACAGTATTCCAATGTAACCACAATACTTTAAGCATGGTATGGAAACCTCACTCATATGTATTTTTCATATCTCAAACTTAATGGATTTGTTGTTATTTTTCAGGGTCTTTTCCAGCTGTTAGAGGGGAAAGTACAAATTATGTGTAAACCAGAAGATACCAGTGCTATACAGGTTTGTCATCTCATTAAAAACCATAGATTTTGTAGTAATTTGCAGTTTTCATTTAGATTTTATGAATGGCACAATTTACTTAACAAGGGATTAAAATATATATATAATAACAAATTGTCAAGTTATTTTTATCAAATGTACTTTAAGTTGAATGGCTGCACTGATTTCTCTTAGTATCAGAAAATGTTCAGTATATAGACTTTAGTGTGTTTGGGAAATATATCAATATAAATATAAAGAAAACATTGCCTAAATACTATTACCGTAATAGTTCTCTATATAGCAGGCTGCACATCCTATTTGTAATCTTATTTTCCACGTATTGATGGATTTTGCCAGATGAGGTTTAGACGTTAAAATGAAAAATTAACTGACAACTGATAAGATGTCTTAATACTGAAGTCTTTCATTGTTATTTTATTAAGTGCCACTGAACATTAGGCGAACAACTATCAATCATATTTTGTTTAATGAAGTCATGTGACAATGAATTCTCTTATAATGCTTGAACTGACTTAGGTATCATCAAGCCAGGTACAAATATCTGTATTTACATAGAATTTATACAGCATTGTATTCAAAGTGAATCTTGTACTATATGTTATTGCTTAAATTAATATCTTATAGGAATTACTGCCATCAGTAACTAAGAAATACAAAGATGCTACAAAGAAAAATGTTGTAGTGACAATTGATCAAGAAAATAGACTAGGTCCAGATATGTAAGTATGAACCAACATAAAGAATACAATTTTATTCAGAACTTGTTGGCAAGATTCAATTCAACAGAAGGAATCAAAAAGAGGGTCCTGCTATTTCTGTATGTAAATAAGATTTAAAACAATATAGAGTTTTTTTTTCAAATTAAAATATCAGGTTGGGGTATTATTTGGGATATTAATTTGATTATCACTTTCTTTACTTCCGTGATCAAGTTAATTGGTTGCTATTTAAATTGCATGCAAATGTCACCTGCCCAAACTTATTCCCTTGCACATGATTTTGTTAGAACTAGAAAAACACTTTTAAACAAAACAAATAAATTTTAAATTAGGATAAAATTAGCAGAAATAAAGAAGTCTTAACATGAAGCCTTAAATTACATCTTTATTAATTGGAAATTGATAAAGATCCTTTTTCCATCATCAGACTTTAAACAGACTTATTATGGAATTACTTATCTGGTAGAAAAATATTGTGCATTTGCTTGCTGTTGTCTACAGGTGCAGTGATATTTTTTGTCAAGGTCATTTATCTAAGATGGATTAAATTATATTTTACTTCCAATTGTGAAAGATAAATATCTTCTATAAGTAACAATAGCGATTGTAGTGATTGAATACATCATTCACTTTTTTTGGCCAATTGTTTAATTCAAATTCCATCTATTTACAGATCTGGTGGTGTTGTATTACTGGCAGTTAACAATAAATTGAGAGTAGAGAATACATTAGAAACCAGATTAGATTTAATTAGTCAACAGGTAAATAGTAATACTGTAAGGTGAACATTTCATATTTTAAAGTTTTAGTTTTGTGATACAATAAGAGACAACAGTTCTTTATAAATGTTTAAAACTGGGAAGTCTTTTGATTATACTAACCAAGAGAAAAATCCTGAGTGATTCACAAACTCCAAACTGAGCAAGAATGGGTCAGTTGACAAGGCAAGGGTCTCCTGATATGCTTTCATCACCACAATGTAGGTTATTTTTAGAAATGGTTCTATGAAGGATATTTGTAACAAGAAAAGGATACAAAACCAACCAATTAAAAACAAAAGGAAAAGGAAAATAAGGAATATGTATACAGAGGACAATATAGACAAGACGAGATGTACTAAAATTGTAAATATAAAACATTTAGTAAAATAAAAACTCTGGGCAAAACGCTGTCATACCAAGTGATATCAAATACTTTAACATTTCCTTCTTGTCAGGAATATATGTATAATTATCTGTGTTTCAATACCATTTTCTCTTCTGGTGTTCTAATAAGTAAAACCATCTTAGACCAAAGACTGTGAAATTATTGACCAATACAATAGCCTGATAATAGCAATGCTGGAGATACAGTCCATATTGGTTTTCTACTGATTTTTGTTGCTTGTTGAATGAAATGGCCTGTATTTCTAATTAACAACATTGTATTTTCAGATGGTACCAGAACTAAGGAGCATTCTCTTTGGAAAGAATCCAAACAGGAGGTTTATGGATTAATGATACAGATCTTACTAAACATTCCATGACTTTATCTTAGGCTAGATTGAGTAATGAACATTAGTATTATCACTTCTACAGGCAAATTTCTGGGTACCATTAAGCTTTGTACCATTAGACTAATATCCTGTAAACTAGTATTTATAGTATCAACTGTCTTAATTTAAAAATCTGTTGGCACTTAAGATTTTTGTATAAGGGGGTCTTGTTTTTCTTAAAAGATCCTTATAGATTTTTCGAAGTTGTTGTCTAGTCATTGAGGGGAAATTAAATTATGTCCCCAAAAAAATATGAATACGCCAACTGAATTACCCAGAAGCGTATTTGTATTCTAACATACAAATGCCAGTAGCAAAAGTATAGTTTTAGATTAGGGGGCTAAATTTAAATGATTTTTGATTTACCAGAAGTTTAAGACATTTTTATGTATTAGGTTCACAATGATGTGAAATTCAATACATATTACAATTTTAGATGTTGGTACATTGTAACACGAGTGAGAGAAGAAATTTTGAAGATGTTTAAAAGAAAACTAATGTCATCTTCTCGGAACATTTTATTCGGAATTTATCTTTGTTGCAATCATTATTCTAGTCAAATTGCAATAGAAACAAAAAGGCTTAGAGCCTTAAGAGTATCTACTTTATCATTAGCATGTTACATATTATATTTTGATTTTAACAAATAAACAGGATGTGGACAAAGTCTTAGCACTATGGATAAAGTGTCAAAATATTAAGTAGCTGAATTTGTAGTGACTAATAATTTACACTGTTTAAGACGTATAGTGAAGTATGTTAAGTTATATGTAATCAAGTTTATCTAGATATTTTCATTTAATCATGTGATCATTTCTCTGGTAGAAAAGTTAATTGTTTATTGTCTGTATGTCTAATAAATGTAAAAAAGTTAAGTGTTTTATAATTTTTTATGCCCCCGCCGTAGCGGTGGTGGCATTAAGTTTTACCCTTGTCCGTACGTACGTCCGTACGTCCCAAAATTGGTTTCCGTTCTCTAACTTGAGTTTGCCTCAACCAAATGTGATGAAACTTATACACAATGCTTATTACCACAAAACACAGGTCAAGTTTGAATTTTGGTGGCGTCACTTTAACCGTTCTAGAGTTATGCCCTTTATAATTTCACATGCATTGCAGAGTGCAATCTGATTGAATTACAAAACCTGTGTCCATGCTTTCATTTCAAGGATCTGACAACACTCAATTCTACTTTCTGTTATGGTAATTATTACATTAGCCAATAAAATGTCAGTCTTCAATTTTTATACGACCGGAAAAAAAAATGTGGGGTCGGTCGTATAATGGTATGACGTTGACGTCGTTGTACTCGTCGTCCGAAGACACATTGGTTTTCGCCCAATAACTTTAGTTTAAGTGAATGGATCTCTATGAAATTTTACCATAAGGTTCAATACCACAAAAGGAAGGTTGGGATTGATTTTGGGGGTTATGGTACCAACAGTTAAGGAATTAGGGGCCGAAAATAAGCATTTTTCTAGTTTCCAGACAATAACTTGTGGAACGGTGTATGGATCTCTCTGAAATTATACCACAAGTTTCCATACCACAAAGGGATGGTAAGGATTTGCTTTGGGGGGGTTATGGCTCAAAATGTTTAGAATTAGGGGCAAAAAGGGGGGAAAAACAAGGGTGTCCTGGTTAATGGACAAATACTTTAGTACAAAACATAATTTAAAGCAGTGTAAGGGAGGTAAATCAAATACATCATTTGAATTACCTCCCTTACACTCCTTTTAAATTATGTATAAAGTAATGGTTAATGAACAATTAAAACAATTTAAAAGCAGTGTAAGGGAGGTAATCCAAATACAACGTTTAGACTAGTATCTAAAAAGCTATTATAGATAGTAACTTAAATAAGCAAAAGTGATCAGCAAGACAAGATCTACAAATAAATTCTCAATCTTGAAATCGTCTGACGGCCCCTTATTGGAGTTATTACCCTTTGATAATGATTTTAACTATTTATTTTTTTCGGTTTTACCTGATATCTAAAAAACTATAGTAGATAGATAGAAACTTAAATAAGCAAAAATTATCAGCAAGACTTGGTCTACATATAAGTCAAATAGCCAAAATCATCAGTTGACTCCTTTTAGGAGTACTTCCTCTTTAATGACGATTTTTACCAATATTTTACGTTTTGCCAACTATCTTGAAAACTATAAAAGATAGATAGACACTTCTAATATCAAAAATGATCAGCAAGACAAGATCAACAAATAAGTCAAATTTTGCTGAAATTGTTGGTTTACTCTTTATAGGAGTGATTGCCTTAATTTTTTTTACCATTTTTGTGTTTTTAGCAAAAACTAAAGAATATAGAGAGAAACTGTAAACAGAAAAAATTATCAGCAATACAAGAATAACAAAAAAATGATTTTTGTCATGAATTCTATTCTAGTCTACAATGTTTGAGAGCATCCATTGTTGAAGATGCTCATAGAACTAGGTGAGTAACACGAGCCTCTAGTTTAGCAACTATCTTGGCATGCTCGCCTTAAGGGATCAACCCCCAGCTGAGTAAAACGAAATAATTTGCTGCTTCTCCACTAAGCAGGCCCTATTTAGGAGCAAGACTGGTTGTACCTGAGACAGAATCACGTCTAGGTATGGTGACATGTCTTCATGCAGATTTTTATCAAGCCTGTCGCAGAATGGGAGACATATGGATAGTGAGCTGGGAGCAGCAGCAGCGTTAACTTACTTCTTAAAAGCTTAATATTTCAGATGGTAGAAGACTTGGATACTTCATACTTTGTATATAGATGCCTTATGTTATGAAGTTTTCATCTGTCATATGTCCATTGTCCATTGTCCATGACCTCATTTTCTGGGTTCAGTGACTACTTGAAACAAAAGTTCTGATATTTGTAATGTTCATTTCTCTCTTGTTATGAGTAATAGGATAACTATATTTGGTATGTGCATACCTTGCAAGGTCCTCATACCTGTCAGACAGGATCATGGATCGGTGAACAAGGTTAAGTTTTTGTGGTCAAGTCCATATCTTAGATACTATAAGCAGTAGGTCTACAATATTTGGTGTATTGAATGATTGTAAGGTGTACATGTCCAACTGGCAGGTGTCATCTGACCTTGACCTCATTTTCATGGTTCACTGGTTAAAGTTAAGTTTTTTGTGTTTTGGTCTGTTTTTCTAATACTGTATGCAATATGTTAACTATATTTGGTGTATGGAAATATTTTATGATGTACATGTCAGTCTGGCAGGTTTATTTGACCTTGACCTCATTTTCACGGTTCATTGCTTAATGTTATTTTTTTGTGTTTTGGTCTGATTTTCTTTAACTTTAAGTAATGGGTCAATTATATTTGGTGTATGGAATGATTGTAAAGTGTTTATGTCTGTCTGGCAGGTATCATCTGACCTTGACCACATTGTCATGGTTCATTGGTCAACGTTGTTTGTTTCTTAGAAACTATATGCAATAGGTCAACTATATGTGATGCATGGAATGATTGTAAGGTGTACATGTCTGTCTGGCAGGGTTCACCTGACCTTCACCTCACTTTCATGGTTCATTGGTCAATAATAAGTTTTCAGGGTTTGATCTGTTTCTAGTATAATATAGCAATAAGTCAACTATATTTGGTGTATGGAATGATTGTAAGATGTACATGTATTTCTGATTTGGTTTATTTGACCTTGACCTCATTTTCTTGGATCATGTTAAATTTATGTGATACTTGTAGTAAATCTTTATATTTAGGACTGTCAACATAAAATTAATTGTCAACAAAGCAGGTGAGATATTTCAGTTTGTGCACTCTTGTTACCTTATGGATCAGCACGTTAAAAATCTCGCTCATCAAGTCAAACTAGTACAAAGCAGGATATCACATAAAAATGTTCTCAACATTTATGAAAATATCACTTTATCTGTTTAAAATTCACTTGTATGCACATTGTAAACATAACATAAAAAGCACAATACTTTATGTGTCAAATTTTAAGCACCACAATGATAAAATGGTCTAACATTTATTTTATACAATAATATAAGTATCAAAACATTATCCTGGTGGCCATTCCATTTGTCGTCCTCCCATTATATGGAGATGAAGATGGTAAACTGACTGAGATCCATCTGGTCCATTGTTAATTACTGAAAAAGATAATTAAATCAATTTAAGAAAACAAGCTGTGTGCTTTATTGAGTTGTGTAAAGTAAAGAATTGATTTTTTTATTGTTTGTCTGTTGGGCTTTAAAATGCAAATTCTAATGCCATTGTTTTGTATCAATGATTCTGATTGGATGACAATCAGCATAAAATTCTCTATCTACCTGTCTGTAACTAAGGGAAGCCGACATTTTGCATTCCAGAATGTATTGACATGTAATTTCTCCAATAATAATCAAACAATTCACATTTTGCACCTAAAAATCTTCTTTTTATCAAACTTTATTACATTCTGAGGCAGACAAGAAGCCAGAAAAAATGTGGTATTGATGTTTGACACTGTAAGCATACCTATGACATCACCTAGTTTAGGTGCCAAAGAAAATACGAAAGAAGAAAATTTGTTTAATGAAAATTTTACATCAAAATAATGACTAACATTGAATGATTTGCTTATTTTGCATTAGAATAGAGATAACTGTATTGTACTGGAAGCTTTGCAGATGTCCATCGGTAGTTTTACTGTCGCAAATATTTGTTTACCTTGCAACTTGTAGTTATCTCTTAATTATCCATCTCTGATACCTGTATCACCCGGCTAAACTTTAAGTTTGATATTATATATAATTTCAAATGTGTTTGACCTATTTTAAATAACATTGATCTGGATTGGCCACTGATGGCATAGTGTTAGACCAATGTAGATAAGATGGACACAAATCCATAAAGTTATTTACAAATTAATAGACCACAGAAATATTTGTACTATTATACCTATTCTGTATCCATTATCCAATTTTTCTTGTTCTGCAACTTTCTTTGCTACCAAAAGTAAGTGGCCTAAAAGCTGTAAAATTCATTAATATCATTTACAAGTACTCGCTAATCAATAAAATAAGATTGAGAATGGAAATGGGGAATGTGTCAAAGAGACAACAACCCGACCATAGAGCAGACAACAGCCGAAGGCCACCAATGGGTCTTCAATGCAGCGAGAAACTCCCGCACCCGGAGGCGTCCTTCAGCTGGCCCCTAAACAAATATGTATACTAGTTCAGTGATAATGGACGTCATACTAAACTCCAAATTATACACAAGAAACTAAAATTAAAAATGATACAAGACTAACAAAGGCCAGAGGCTCCTGACTTGGGACAGGTGCAAAAAAGCGGCAGGGTTAAACATGTTTTTTGAGATCTCAACCCTCCCCTTATACCTCTAGCCAATGTAGAAAAACAAAAGTACAACAGTACGCACAGTAAAACTCAGTTTAAGAGAAGTCTGAGTCCGATGTCAGAATAGGAAACAAAAGAAAATAAAAAAAATGACAATCATACATAAATAACAACAGACTACTAGCAGTTACTGACATGCCAGCTCCAGACCTCAATTAAACTGATTGTAAGATTATGTCTTCATCATATGAATATCAGGCATATTTCAGCCATTATAAAGTATGCCTACACTAAATACTGTACACATTTACTATATGTCTGTCTATTTCTAAGATGGATTGTTTGTACTGCATGAAAATATTGTTACTTATAACTATAGTATAAATAAAAACAAGCAGAATAGTATATTATTAAAATAAACTTGCATGTAATTTATGCATTTATAATTATTGGCAATTGGGACATAATATCCTTTATTATATACTTAGTAGTAAATACAGAAAAATTGTATGTGTAATACAATCATTGGCAAGCGTGCTGTATCAGTCACCCATGATGATATCGATATCAGCACGGTTGCAAAGGCTTTATCACACCTTTAATCTGTATGACGTCACGTCATTGATTGCAGTCACTGTTGCAAAGGCTTTATCAAACCCCTAATCTGTATGACGTCATATCAAACCTATAATCTGTATGATGTCATTTCAAACCTCCTTATCTGTATGACGTCATGTCACATAAAAAACATCTATGTGAGGTATATTTATATAATAAAGTGTATATGATATGGCTTTTTCAATATCACACACCGTATCAACCCTCAACCAATATAATCCCTCGAGCAGAGCTCTTGGGATTATATTGGTGTCTCGGGTTGATACAGATGTGATATTGAAAAAGCCATATGATATTCTCTATGTATTAAACTGTCATGTGCTGATACTGAGGAAACAAACAATACAAAATGTTGTGTTTTAGTAAATAAAGGAGTAATGGAGGTATGGCCTGTTTATATAATTAGTAAACAAAGGAGAAGGCTTGTATAGTCTGTTTATTTAACATAGATTGATTGATTGTTTGTGTTTAACACTACTTTCAGCACTCTTGGCTATATAGGGGTGGCCTGTTTGTATTTGTGAAGGAAGCTGAAATACCCTGATAGAACCATGATCTTAAGCTGGAAAACTGGCATTCCTAGTCAATTAAGATAGAAGTTAAACACACCTGCCATGATTGGGGTAAGAAGTGACACTACCTCAGTGTTGATTGCTGTAGATATACTACCTAGATTAATTCGGCCACATGGCCCCTAGTTAACTAAGAAGTAGATGTGTTATGGCAGGATTAGAAAATTCAACATTGGTTTTGCTGTTCTATCAATCCAGGAAACTCAGAAAAAAATATCTTATTGAAGAATTAAAGCCTGATTTATGACATCACAAATAATATCATTTTAAACTGTTATTATAGAAAAAAAGTAAAGAATAAATCATTTGTACATTTTTTATGAGCTTCATAGATGGGATGTATTATGGTAAACAGTTTTCTGTCTGTCCACAAGTTGTGCAATAGCTAGAGAATCCTTTGTATGGAATATTTGTATAGACAGTAGAAAGCTCTATTTCCATTTAAAAAAAATTCCATTTAAAGATTTAAAGCAATTTTACACAAATCATACACTAGCTGAGTATGCTTGGATCAATTTACTTGAATCTAAATTTAAGGATGTATTCTTCTGATGTTTCAGTCTCGTTGAAATCTCCTTTCGGGAATTATTTCCAAAATATGTGATACAAGTGGAAAATATTAATGAATTAAAAAAAAAACATAGTTAAACTAAATTTTGTGAAAAAATTGTGTACTTACAATAAGTAGTTCTTGAGTAATAAAATGTTCAAATTTTATAACCAATCCGGTCAGTGTCATCAGCCAAAATGTTGAGAAAATGGTTGAGGAGTACAAAGAAATGATTTTACCAAAACATGTACATCCCATATAATTTTTTTCTTTTCAAAATTCTTAGATATGTTTTTTTTTCAATCATTTATAACAAAGAAGTTGAAATAATATGCTTTTTGTTCTAAAAAAAAAAGAGAAAAATCCCACATTTACAAAACTGACAGCATGGTCAATTTGACACTAAAAAGCAACAAAATGTTATAAAACTTTCTAATATTAACACCAACCTATAGTTTTTTTTAATTTAAATTTATTCAGATTGGTCCATTTCATCTTTAGTGAAAGTATGCAAAAAAGTTTAATTGTGAAACTGTGATTTTTTTCATGATAATAGCCCAAAAATAGGTAAAAATTGATGAAAAATGGGAAAATCATTAAAAATGGGTACTATCAAATGGCTGTAGCAAAAAAAGAAGTGCACCACCATATGATTTTTCTTTCCTACAGTCATATAAACCCAAAAATCAGGTTAAGAAAAAAAGTTTAATTCTAGAAATTTTTTGTTCCTCAGAGGTGTACATCCTTAAGTATCAACAACATATAATTTTTTAAGAAAAATCTATGGATTTGAAATTGAAGTTTATTGATATTAAGACAAATTTGGGCATGTGATATTAAGACAAATTTAGGAATGTTTTTCACCCATGTTATGTGCTTTCTGTACAAATGTTCACCCATTTTGAAAAACTCAATCAATAATATACATGATATATCAGAGAATAAAAAATATAAATGCATTATCTTTTCGATATCAAGTTGTATGAAAAACTTTACCTGTCACATAGCCCATTTACTGAAACTTGACCTTAAGCAATTATTGAAAAAATACTACCATTATGTTATAAAAAGTCTGATGAATTTCATGACCTGTGAATGTTATCAACAGTTTTCTCCCTTAGTTGCCATAAGGTTTGTATTTTATTTATTGATGGATTCTGGTTTCCTCTAACCAGATGTATTTGTTTGCATTGAAATATAACTCTGAAGTGAGAAGTTGATCTTAATTGTATCCATACCTTCTCATCAGTGTCTGTAGCATCATCTATACCAGTTAATGGTTTCCTTGGAATCACTAAGAAATGGACAGGTGCTTGTGGACTGACATCTCTAAAGGCTATACACTGTAATGACATGGAATGCTGGCATCAAAATCAAGACTGATATATGTAACATTAATAATAAATACTGATTAAGAATCCAAGAGTTATTTCCCATTTTCAAATTAAAACACAAAAAAATCAGAGTTAGTACTTACTTCCCATTCACAATTAAAACAATATAAATACTTGTCTGATTTTGACAAATGAATGCTGAGCTCTAGCATCGTCTAGGTTTCATTGTTGTTATTTTTTTGTCTGTGAAGTTGGGATGCAGTTTCACTGATGTATACCAACATATCTTATTCAGATATTTTAGAACCATTTCATTCTTATATGAGGGTAGGAATGGGGTACCCCACATAACGAATGACGGTAAAATATTAGTTAAAATAACGTTAACGATAAACATTTTACTCCATTTGACACTAACAGTAGCTACAAAATGAGATTTAACGAATGATGATAAAAAATTAGGACTCATTTGACACTAACCGTAGCGAGAAACGGAGGTTTGACGCTTGATGATAAAGGGTATTCCTACCCTCTTATATTTAAATCCATTTACACTACAACAATATATAACAGAAGCCATAAAAAGATACGACAGAGTTTACCTCAGTATCTTCATATAAAATGTCAGCAGGAATAGATTTGTCTAGGATTTTACTGAAGATTGTAGGTTCCCTTGATTTGGTGGCAGCCTGGGCCTTTTTCACTTCGTCATTACAACTGACAGGACTTGTAAACAAATTCTGAAAATAGTTACATAATGGAAAACAAAGGACATGGTGTATCAATTAATGTAAGTTGCTACAACCACATGACAATATCAAAAGCACAGGAATAGAATTTCTATAGCTATTCTTCATCTCAAAGTCAAAGTGAGAGCTAAGTCTACCATGGTGCAAAACCTCTCAGCTCACTGCAAGTTCAAGACACCTAGAACCGGTTTGGAATGATTTGGTTTTTGCTAGATGCTGACCAGGTTACAGCTGCTGAGTTTAATCAACAATTTATAAATTATATCTGGCAAAAAATTTAACTAAAACTGTCATTATAAATTGCCTGACAATAGCACTGTAAAATACATTTTTTTTTTACTTTAAAATTTAAATTGTGATTTCTCAAAATTCGAGCAATTGAAATATGTTTAAAAAGGATACATGTTATTTGCTTACTAAGTTTAGCTACATTTATTTAAAATATGAAAACATTTAATTAATACATTTTAATAATGCATATAAAATTTCATCAAAAGTCTGAAATACTGTCTTATTATGCATATATGCCTTAACAGAATATTTGACAATTTCTAAAATGAAAATAATGTGTCTGTAAAGCATGAATGTGTCTGCCAACATGTGAATAAACTAATTCAGAGGAACTAAATTTACATATCTAAACTCTGTTCAATATTTGCAAATAAGACAAATGACAGCTCTTAATAAAATGAATATAGAATTGACTCACAAAAAAGTTTTTCACACATCTATGGTTTAAAGTAATAAGTGAGCTACCATTTGATTTTTATGGGGGGGGGGCTAGGATGAAAAATTTTGTCCAGCATTTTTTTTAGTTGTAATCTCTGTCCTGCCTTTTTACTATTTACTCTATTCGGTCCTGCCTTTTTTTTTATTAGTTTATCCTGTCTTTTTTTTTACATAAATTGTCATCCTGCCTTTTTTATTTTTGCAAAGTTGCTCATCCTGCCTTTAAATTTTTTTTAACTCAAACTCCTGTCCTGCTTTATTTTCAAATTTCATTCTAGCCCCTCCCCCCCCCCCCCCCCCCCCCCCCCCAATAAAAATCAAATGGTACCTCCATAAATGTTAATGCAGTACAATCAAATAAGAGGAACTATACCTGTGATCCAGCCACTAAAAGTCTTGATGTTGTACTTGCTGTCAGTAGGTACTTAATAGCTACTGGAATAAAGGTGATTCTAGATACAGCTCTTGTTAGAGTAATCAACATACTGTGTAACACTACTCAATTCTACAAACATAAATGTAGAGAAATTGTTTACATTCTGAAAAAAAAGTTGGTTTAAAATTGTAAAAAGTAAGGTTTGATTTGATTTATCTTTCACTGACAACGACTGACATAGCCTTTGTTATGATTGGTGGGCCTGGTTTTTAACAGACCATTGGCATTTAGAACCAAGTATACAACCTGTACTCCTGTTCTTGGTGACTTGTTTAATATATTCATTTGAGGCTGATTATCGCATCATCATGAAATGCCATATCGCACTAACATTTATATAACATGGGACAATTAACAGAGAGATTTGTACAAAATGTACAAGGGATTTTTAAGAATGATGAAATGAAGCTAGCATTATTCTTTAACTTTATGTCATGTATGTTCTTCTATCATGATCATGTCTATATAGATGATGTTTGCTCAATGCATAATTTAGTTTAGTGACTGAGGTATATTGCATCTTCACATTGAAATTCAAATAAACATGATAAATGATACCACAGATACTGTTAGGTTTGCTTTATACATTGACCTAGCTAAATCATAAATTGGTTTGTGGAATAACTTGATGCCAGATTTGAAAATGTGCAACTTAGTTTTCCATTTGTCATAGAAAATTGAAGAGAACATTAGTCGTTTAGATAATTGATACCAATGACATGGAAACCACACGTTACTTTCTGTTGATCCAGTTAAGATTTTATAGTTTTTATAAATATTAAGGGTGGAACTTGAATTATAGTGATGGCACTGACTTTACTTTATATATTATTAATTTTTTCAATAAACTTTTCAGAAACATTGGATTCTTCCTAATGATTTTTTACCAAAATTTTAGTTTCATCAATTCAAAGATATACAATGTAATCAGTATATTTATATTGGTGTTTACACTGGTTTCCATGTTTTTTGTACAAACAGATCTAGAATGATCTCCAAAATCATTGTCACAAAAAGAATGAGGATGCAGCATGTAAACATACAGGGAAAAATTGATGGCTGACAGTGCAAGAGTGGATTACACAATTATTAAAAGGGAGGGTGCTGTGGTATACCTGGAAGAAGTGGATGGCACTCACATTTTCACAGTTTTTATGGGATTTAAATAAAATTTTGAGTCTGCAGATTGGATACCCCTTTCTTCAATCAACATGATCAAGGATATATGTTAGTTATTCATCCTTGCTTCAACAAGATAAATACACTATAGTAAATAAATGCATAATGCTTTAGCTGTTATAGATTTCATCCTAACAATGACTGCTTGTCAGTAAAAAGCAATTTTGCCAGCAAAGGAAATCAAAAGTCTAATGTCTGTATTTTTGAATTTCAGTTGAACTGGACATCAAAGTTTCTTTTAATAAAAACCATGCTTTACATTGTTTTTTTTTTTCTTTATATTCAAAGTCATGTTGACTATATGGCAATTTTCATCCTGCATTTTCCAAGTGATTTCAGAGCCAAAAGAAAATGATTTTAAATATCAACCAGAAATACTAGAAATACAGATAAACTATAACACGGTGTAGAATGGTAACGGACTTATCGGGTTTTTGTCGGCGTTTCCGCACTAATCGGGTTCGATAACGGACTTATCGTGTTTTGTTTCCAGACAGTGTGACACAAAATGAGCCAAATAGACGAAAAGAAGTCGTTAGTGTTTATGTTTATATGATCATGGAAGGCATCGATGATCTAAGTTTGCAAAATTTTTCATTTTGCTTCGATACCACTCTTGGCTTTTTCAAAGAGCTCCACACTAAACAGGACAACCGGCCGAACACAGCTACTATTGGTGTGGTTTCCGTTCAAATACACAGTATATTAGAATGTGAACTTTTTGTGCTCCTTTATTTCATGCACAATACATATTAGAACCACTAGTGTGCATTCAATATATTAAAGCTTTTTCAAAATTGCTTGGCAGCTGACTAATCGGGTTTCCCTAAAATGACGTGTTTTTTGGCAAGGAACTGTTGGTGTTTATTGAGCAAAGGACTTTTTGTGTTTTTATTGTTTTAACAGGGTAAAAAATGATGTTTTCGTATTTTTTGTTTGTTTGGGAAATGAAAAATAAAAGATTTTAAAAACCCCATTTGACATCTTGTGCTAGAATATACAAGTCTGGAACTTATCACGGACAAGTGTTTTTTTCAATCTTGATTTTTACATTATGATAGAAAATAAAGGGACATTGAGTAAAAGTACACCGGTATGGGGTAATATCATATGCAATGCCAAACAAAACACAAATGGTCAAGGAATAAGGCTTTTATTTCTGCTCTTTCCCAGATTGACATGTGCAGGTCTATTGATGGATGTTTCGAAAAGAATAATAGAAAAGACAGGTTAATATTAATGTCTCTTGTTTAAATACAAGGCCAAGGGCAAGGATGTTAAAAAACAATCAGCAACATGCAATTCAATTTTAGCCTATTTTACGTTATATGATTAATATATCTAAATATATATATTCATACCAAGTCTTCTTTCAACGTATTCATAATGATGCATGTATGAGTGAAGCTTTATGTTTCAGTCATGAAAAACAATTGTTGATGGAGCCGGTGAATAACTGTGACAACCTAAATTATTAACCCATTTAGTTTTAGATGCATGATTGTTTTATTAGTTGTTAGTGGCTTTGAACTAGTTGTCAGTTAACTGCGAGTACTCGCAGATCTATTCCTAGTGTCTTTTTGTTGTTGGGATGTACAAGTACCCGGCCACATCCACTTGTATTTTTGGCCATCTGATGAGTTAAGCCTTTTTCAACTGATTTTTAATAGTTCATTCTTATGTTGGACTGTTCTACCACTGTCCCAGGTTAGGGGGAGGGTTGGGATCCCGCTAACCGTGATGTTTAACCCCGCTACATTATGTATGTATGTGCCTGCCCCAAGTCAGGAGCCTGTAATTCAGTGGTTGTCGTTTGTTTATGTGTTACACATTTGATTTTCGTTCATTTTTTTATATAAATAAGGCCGTTAAAAAGTTCTCGTTTGAATTGTTTTACATTGTCATTTCGGGGCCTTTTATAGCTGACTATGCTCATTGTTGAAGACTGTACCATAATTATGACGTCTTGAAAGGCTATTTATTATATTTTTTTCTTTCTTTGACTCCTTACATCATCGCAGAAGGGCGTCAAGGCAAAAATTTAGAATTGCCTTCCCAGACGTCATAATTATATGGACTAGAAACCTTAAATTCCTGCTATGAGGACGAGATACTGATAGAATCCCACACATTTGTTTGTGGATTAATAAAATATATCATTGCGTGATGTGTGATTAATATATAAAGTAAGAGGTGATTAACCCAGGCGGAGTAAACACATAGACTGACTGAGAAGATAGGAGTCTCCATATTCATTTGCGCACAAAAAGTCCGGTGCTAATAACACAAAAAGTCCGGTTCCACTAATTTTTCAAATTAACCATCATTTAAGACCTTAATAGTGCATGAAACAGTTCCGAAAGGTAAAATGTCTACATTTAATGAATAATAACCAAAAATTTACTTGGAAAAGAAAACAGCATGCTTAAAACACGCTTCAATTAGACATCTTTCCTTGAAAAATGTTTTTTTTCAAGTTTGGGTACCACGTTGGTGGAAACAATTTGAAATAAATCGTAGCTTCCCATGAATATATGATTAGCTAGCCAGCAAAATAAATAATTTCCCCATTCCGTGACATCAAGCTTATTTGGAAATACAAATAAATTTCAATTGTAAGCCATAATTTCAACTATATTCTTACAGAATTAAGTTTAACATCCATATGAAATTGAATGCTATGTGTGCAAGATTAATCAAAATATTTGGCAAAATCACCAGATTTTATATAAATAATAAATTTTGAGATTTTGCTACAAATTTGACCACACAGTTCGGATCAGCCATCAATACGCCAGTTCTCAGATACGGTAGTCATGGTAGTTAGTTATATCTGTCATTTGACTTTCATCACCACGTGACAAAAATGTAGGCATCCTCACTTCCAACACATGTTGAGCTAATGGGTGAAAAAGTTTGATGCTATATATATACTGCACGAAATATTCAAGAAATTAAAATCTAATTAGTTGGTTATCCTCACTTCAGTCGTACGGGACATTGAGATTACTTACCTACGGAACATAAATTAAATCATTACTAGACTACCCTGGAGAATGACGATCCTGGAGATGCTTCAAACTTTAATAGATTAAGGGATACAGGCGCATCTTTTATCTGGTAAATGACATCATAAGAGTGTGTAATTGACGATCTTTTCTGGTGAAAGACATGATTCCAGAAATAGCCTATCGTGTCAATAATATGAATGGCACAGTATATACTTGAATAGAAAAAACAGGAAACTTACCTTCATTTGACCTTAGGTCTCATTAACATTATTAATAGGAATGCAGTGCATGCCACTTCAAAGGAAAAATGCACCAACCAGGACAAGAATGTACAACTAAAAATATACTTCCTTGACCAAGGCATTCCACAATTTTACATATCAGCTGCTGTACTTCCAAGGAGATTCCATAGCAAATCATGAACAGCATATTCCATATCTATATAGTCATGATAGTCGCTCTTTTATAAATAAGTCTAAATTGAAAACAACGTTTAAACCTATGATTGAGTTGGATAAAAACCGCAATTTTTATACGTGTGCATGCAAAACAAATTTCTTGGTAGAGGGGTCTAAATATAGCACAAACAACATTTTCCAAAAGACCAAAATAGTATTTTCGAACAAAACACATTTGACTAACAGGTCGAACAACGGATGTTCTTAAACTTTGCTGACTATAAAACAGAGTAATGAAGGTTTGATGGCTAGCCTTCATTGCTCAAATTTGATGACTTTATGGTCATAGTATTGTCTATTGAAGAACCAGGTCAGACATGTCAGATCAGCAAACCAATTTTCACATGATACACAATGACAACCAGAATAAATATGCACATAATGATGTTACGTGTAAGATAGGTAGGTATACATATTTTCGAACAACAAAATTAACCATAGACTATAACAAACAGTTTTAAATATATGCCCACTTACACTAGTAGTACTTTAGTTATATACTTCAGGGGAGATAATTTGACAAACACCGGAAGTAGCTTTTTTACGTACACAGGAAGTGGTCATATCAATAACACAGATCATTGTCCTAAAACTTTACCCATCGCAATATGACAATATATTTAATATTCGACTATTACTTAACAGACATCAGGGAGAGATAATGCCAAGAAATGACATTTCAGTCTCAGTCAACCCGATTTGCGGACTATTTCGTCATATGTGGCTTGGATGTGAAGTCTGGTTTGGAACCAGATCAACTGTCTGGTAATAGATGATTTTGTCTACTTTTTATGAAAACTTTCTGCAGGAAATAAAAAAAAAAATGATTTAGCAATAATAAACGAAGTCTTAAGACCCCCTATTGTCCCTTGTAATAGTGTTAGTGTGATATATGGCATTCATTCATCATTGACAATTGTTTGTTTTCATCTCATGTAACCCTATTGCTAATTATATTTAGTTGACAGTTGTCACCTGCGTAAGATAAGAGAAGATATTTTTTTATTAACCAATCATGGTGCCCTAAATTTGAGAAATACAATCAAAATGAATTATTACACAATAAAGCTCAGGAAATGTGTATGTGACCTTAGCACAATTGACAAATTTCTCTTTCGTGCATTTCCCGTACATTTTCAATGTCTGACACAATACTTTATGTTCTTATGCAGTGGTCTCGTTAGCCCAAAATAGAAGGGCGCCGCACCCTGGGTGCCCTCAGCCGCGCCCTTCTGCCCTGACGCCTTTTCCCAAAAAACCCTTGTGCCGTTTTGGCAATGTACTGGTAAAACTGCTTTTTGTCTCATCGATTTCTAATCACAAAGTTAAATTACATATATGACACCTGGTGATTGCCCCCAGGTTAATCATGTCATTAAAATCAATTACAGTTGATTAGACTTCAAAGGTGTTAATAACTAGGTAATTTAATTAAGACAATGCACCTTGTCAAATTGAATATAAATTGATGAATGTGTCGGCGAGTGTTTTAAGCTTGGGTGGGCATTTTCGATCTCCAAGTCCAAATGGAAGAGTGTAAAAATGAAGACTTTCATGACTTTAGTATAGAATTTAAGTCATCAAAATACAACTATGCTTTCACAGAAACGCCGTCCATCTCAACTTCATCGTAAACGTGTTGGAAATTAATTTTGGAGTTACTTCCCCTGTTTTAGGTTATTACAAATTTGTTCTCCTAAAATATTATCTATCTTTGAAAATAGGAATAAAGTACCAATTAAATACAAAATTATATACATGATATAAGAATGTTACCTTAAAGGGATACTTCGCAAAAAAATGAAAAATTGATATTATGTTGCTTATGTATAAAAAAACCACAAATTCATAAATATTAAAGTTTAATTCTGCTAGATAAGAGATCACCATCGATTTTAAATTTAGAGTATCACTTCTCCGCGTGCTGCCATTTTGACATCATCCCTGAACAGAAACCACGATATATCTATAAACCACAAAGGACCAAAACAAGCAGTAGCCTAACGTAGCCGTAATTGAGTGTCGATATCTTGTCAAGCGTACGGTTGTTTTACCCGACAAGGAAAGCCTTAACAGTTTCCCGGGTCACAAAAAAAGATTATAATAGACATGGTTGTGCATGCAACCTTTCCTAACTAACTTGATACGGAAAATGTAATTATATATAATTTTTTTTAATAACTAGTACTATGGTCTGTCGTTTTAAAACTGTTTTTTTTTAACTAAGTTTTTGAAACAAGAAATTTTAATGGAAATTAATTAAAAAGTTCAAAGTGATAAATTAAGTGTTCCGTGTAAAAATGTTTTCGAAAATCTAGTGTGTTCATAATTCATTTATGTAATAATCTTATTTAAATAAATTCGGATCTTCCCTTATCTGATCACCAGCATGGCTAAAAGAATTGTTCCCAGAGGTATTGTGAGTTGACACGTCCAGGTATTCAAGCGATTTCCTGTCGGGCTTCAAAACTCTTATTACACAATTACATAAAGCAAGTTCGTGCATCACTTCACCTCTGAGGGTATTGAGAAGTGTACACGGCCGATAACTTGTAACTTTCCATTTTGAAACTATCAGGTGAATATACATCTTTGTCTTGCGTGTCCGATAGTGATATGCTAGTCTTTACTACCATAGATATAATAGCCATTATATATATGACTAAACTCATACGCTTGTTTATAAATAACATTTATGGTGTAAAGAATATTTATGAAAATCTAAATAATTCCATAAAAAGATTTGATAAAATAAAAATATATTTACATATTTTCCAAACGTAAATTGGGGAAAATGTAAGTAATTACTCGTTGTCAATAATTATGGACATTTTGAAACGTACAAATATTGATTTAACAAAATGTACGAACTTGTCGATCATTGGATTATACGCCTAGATAGAAGGTTACGGAACTATAGATAGTCGCAATTTAGAATATATACTATACCGGTAGTACCTCATGTCAATTTTCCTGTTCCGACTTGCATGTAATATACGTGCACTAATGATCCCCAAAAAGCTTATTTGAAGAAATATAGAAAGTTCACTCCGAATAGACTGATAGTAGATGTATTAACGTCTGGTCAGCTAGATGGTTGATTAATTTATTTAGTTAGCTTAAAAGGGAGGGGGTATAAACCATTCCTAATATTGCACTTATGCATAAAATATTAAATGAGAGTAATATAAGAGAAAATATAAATACGAAAAGTCGCATATCTGGTAAAAAAAAGTCTCACTGGCAACTTTAGAATTTCACGTACAATTGTCATTCTTAATCGAAATAACGGACAGTCATTAAAATACATGCATGTACACTTTGATAAAAAGAGGTGCTGCAGTTGCATATTATTCATCATAAATTTATTTCAAGTATATACTTTCCTGTCATTCTTATAAGTTAACGCAGAGTCATGTAACTATACATCTCTAGTTAACGACAATCAACCATATAAATATATGAATCTGATGTGACTTACCGTTCATCTCTTTCTTTTTTCTTCTTTTTTTTTTTTTTTTTTTTTTTGATTTGGGCAGGTACACAAACATTGTAATGTTAGATATACTGTTCCCATGTTGGGAGGGGGCGGTGGTTGGAGGTGAAGTATATGGAAAGTTATAAAATAAAAACGTTGTATTTATGAATTTACATGAAGAATTCTGATCTAGGGCGTAGGTTTCTTTTTTTTTTAAGTTCAGTGATTTAAATTGAGAGAAAAAAATCTAGTCAGAATTTAAATCGTACCGGCAATTTCCACCTAAGACTCCTCTAAAATCATGAATGGTCATGCTTCACAATCATCAGAATTTTCTTTGCGGTACATATTACATGTATGTGGTTAGGTGACGTCCCATGAGGTCTTACGTATACAGGTTCACATTTATAATGGTTTCTGATATAACAAGGTTTTATGACATTCACACTTCTGCATGTACTGTATACCAAATTCTTATCTTATTTTCAGACCAAACAAGGATGTGAATATTTTCCAGGAAAAATATTGAGTATCAAAGTATCAAATTAATTTCGGGATTTTTTTCTTTCTTGGTATTAAATCACAGAAACTTAAAGAATATACTGCTTGTCCGCTTTAGGTGTATTCTTGTCAGTTAAGACTGACATATATGTCTCTGGTATATAGTGGGTTTATGAATGAATGATAAGTCTTGCAAAGGTACAAGATATTATAAAACACATTGAAAATTGATTCCGCCGGTCTGCCTCCATTCAAAAAAGGAAAGTTGACGTTAGATTGATTCTGTTATTTTTTTTAAACATCGTTGGTCAAATAGCTAAAGTATGTATACGTTGTGAGATTTTAAATATTTTAATAAGGGCATTCCCGATTAGGTAAATGTAGATCGATGTGGACGGACCAAGCTTTATTAATCATGTAACCGCGATAATTTTCTCTAAACATTGAAATATTCAAGGTTAATACCCATGATAATTTGAAAAAGTAAGTACAGTGTTTGGTTTATACGCTCGTTTTCGTGGGCCATTTTTATTTTATAAAATTATTTAATTGAAAGTAATTCAGAATTTCGATGTTACAACAAAATACTCACCTATCTATTTTAAAATTAAGCTTACGCAAAATATAAAAGATATACATGTATATAACGGCGATTCAGGTATTTTGCCACCATATTCCTCCCCAAATAATTAATATTTTTATCATGCATACGAAATGTTGTTCACACCTGTAACGGTGAACCGTGTTGGCTAAAATTCACTGAGTGAAGATCAAAAGAATAGAATTACAGAATGCTAATCTTTTAATTACCTTGAATTTAACCACGCATTCAACAGGTAGTCACTAAGTGTCTCAGTACAATACACATTGTATTTACACAGTACTAGTGGAAAATGTTTGCTAGACTGAAGTAAAAGCCTTCAGGTGAGAATACAAACATGCATTTGTAAAACAATATCAGTTATATATGTTTGTTCAAAATATCTGTCGGAAAAAAAATTCATAAAAATATATTCTATTGTATGATTTACTTTTATTACTATAATCATATCAGAAATCCTTTAAATATAAATCGTACATTTTAATTTTGAAAGTTGCACGGCTGATCACTTTACTTTCTTAATTATTAGTTGGTTAATAGCTACGCCAAAAGTCGTCGATGCGCTTTAAATCGCGGTATTAGATAATTAACGAACAAGACTTACAATGAGATTTATTCACTCCCGGCATGCAAAAAGACTTAAACTACGTCACATAAGTCAGGAAGTTGGAATAAATTAAATTATTAATTCCCAATTTTCTTCTTTATAAGTAATCATAACGAGATAAAACTTGGTAAATATGTTTTTTATGGTATTATGAACATAACAAGATGAAAAGTAAAAAATCGCGAATTTTCCCTTTAAAGATCAAAACTGTCTTTGAACATACCAAAAAAAAAATATTGCAATTCATTTTTGATAATCATACTTTTATCAATCCATGTTCTATCTAGACATTGTCAATTTAGATTATAATTATATCTGGTGAAAGTTGTTAAGCTGTTGTCCTACAAAAATTGAGTTAGGACTAGCTTAACTATCATGACATTAGTTAATTGGATGAAGTTATACTAAATAATTCATTGACAGGAACAATGAAAAAAGATGAGAGGGCCAAATTCTAGCTGAAAATTTTAAATGAGACATCTCTAAAATATGAGATGTTTAGTTTATGCTGTTTTTTTTTTTGGAGGAGGAGGGGGTTATAGTTATAGTTATTTTGACTCTTTTGGTTAATAGTGATGTGATGTATGAACCTGTATTGCCATGTATTATGAACATGTAGTATGAATGACTTTTCTAATGCAAATTTTATAGAATAAATAATCAAAACAACAACTTATTATCTTTATTGTCAACATATACAGTAAAAAAAACAATGTGAACTCGTGATACACACAGAAACGTAGACAAAAAAAATGAACAGTGCCTTTTCCTATCATAAAAAAAGTGCCCTGCCCTCCACTGGCACCCTGCCCCTTTCAATTTCTAGCTGGAGCACTGTTATGTTATCATGGTCATAGTAAAGAAAGAGTGACATTTTCTTCATTGTCCTGTCAGTAAATAGATTACACAGTTTTCTGTATCTGTTTTGTTGCACATTATATTGCATAGTATTGTTTTGACATCTGTTGTTTCCAGGGAGGTTAATCATGTCATAAGAGTTAATATCTATAGATAAGTCACTTATAAGGTGTTAATAATATTTGGTAATTAAATACCATTTTACCATTTGTTATTGTCTTATAAAAGTTAAATCATCATAAGTATTATGAATTAAAAATTGACCGTAGTGTCTTCATAAAGTGTTAAGCATGGATGAAAGGACTATCAAAAGAATAACAGCACGTTTCATAAGAATTCTGTGTTGACAGCAGCACATGTGGTATGATTTGATGAATTTTTTTTAGAAAATGAAAGAACACTTGTTGATTGTACTGCTGACACTGATTAATATTGCACAATTCTTGATTGACTTCATATGATCACTTTCCTTCATTTTATCCTCATTTTAACCTGTTATATATAATAATTTTGCTTATTACAAAAATGTATAATCAAAGCACAGATATTTTCAAGAAAGTAAAAATTCTAATTGAGTAAAATTTTGGGAAATCATCAAATGTATGCTAGACCTGATAACTGATAATTATATATATAAAAACTGAGTTATTAACAATTTAATTTTGGAAATTATTTCAAATCAAGGAAATTATATCTCCCTCTCAAAAAGCTCTGATTCCTTGTCTGACTTTGGTTATACTTTTTGTCATTTTTGGCTTATAAGCTCTTCATAATTTTAATTAGCTTTGGTTTTTAAAATATTTTGGCTGCGAGCATCACTGAAGAGACATTTATTGTGGAAATGCACATCTGGTGCAGAAAAATTGGTACCGTTAATGTTAATTTATTTCTAAAACAATCAATGAAAATATGATTACCTTGTAATATACATTACTACAAATACTCCTGAAAGTTTTTTGTATTTGAAAAACATAAAGAAATTTAATATCACAACAGTCTCAACAAACATGTATCACAATGTTGATTTTGGAAACACAGTTGGCTCTGTGTAATGTCACAAATTTCTTTGAACTGATCATGTTGACCATGAAGTTAAAAGAAATTTGCTGGGTTTCCTACATTTTTATCTGAGGAGGAATAGAGTCTGACAAGTATAAAACAAATAAGTCAAACTATGGATCAGATGTAAATTTTTTCAATTGATTTTCAAAATTAGTGTCATATTATCATATCTATAGTCAATGATAGTAGGGTATATATATACATATGTATGCTGGCAACATATGGAAGAAAACCCAATTTGATGCAGAAATAAAGTTTCCTGTCCCTTTCAGGTTGAATTTCTAGCTGGAGCACTGAATGAAATTATACTACACTTGTTTTTTTGCATGTACATATAATTACCATGATCATCTGAAAATGAAAACTTTTTCAATATTGAGAATACTCTAAAATATAAAAATAAATGCACAAAGTAACAAACCCATAAGAACATTTTTCAAGACATGAAAACAGCTTAACAATTGTTGAAATGGAAGTTACATGTTTAAGTTTTAAATGGGATTACTGTACATTCATGTATTGGTCAGTTATTTTCAGTCTTATCAGATTGTAATAATGTATTGTTTTTCAGTTCCCTTAGCTTTATGATAGAACTCAAATTTTGAGATTTTTTTTGTTTTTTTTTGTTGTTGTCATTAGCCCAAACCTCATAAGACAGGTCAGAAAATAACAAATATCAGGGTTTGAAATTGGCAGGAGCCCACTCGCCAATGGCCCCTTACATTTAGTGTGGGCTACTATAATTCCTGCTTTTCTTGTATAGAACTATTTTATTGTCTACCAAAATTTAAGCTGTGGGCTACCATGCCAAAATTTTAACTTCAAACCCTGAATATCATATTTTACTATATTGAGTGACATACTTGAATTGATATATATGGAGGAAGGAATATAAAAAGTTTTTTTTAATATTTTTAGGTGAGCATTTGCAATGTGCTCCTTTAGATCGTCCTTTTAAGTCAAAGGTATTGGATCATTATCCTGAATCAGTGCCATGGAATGCATTCGACAAAGTAGCTGTTGGGATGGTAATTATACAATTAAACATAATAGTTCATGATACATGTACATACTAATACATTTTGCAATAAATACATTTTTGAAAATGATTAATGTGTACAAAAGTAGTTTTTATTGCTAAGGGGTTGAGCTAGCTTGATTGAAATCAGTATTAGTACAACTTAAGTCCCGTGTTCCTGACATTTATTTAAAGAACTGCCAAGCTGATATTTGATCATATCTTTTTTTAACAGAAGTATATTGCAATACATATAGTAAGTTTACACCATCAGTCATCTGACATTTGGTATTTGTGTCATGTACTAAGTATTCAACTAAACCAAACTTAACCAAACATCCTGATCAGTTCAACATTGTTCAAGGAAGTCAGACAAACAGTATATCTTAGCAAATGTCCACATATATATATAGATTATCGTTGGTCATCATCAACGAGATTGATTTTCTCGCTTGAGTCGGTACGACCAATGATAATCTGTTTATCACTATTTTACCTATGACCAAGATGACGACGTTGTCAATTTCATGTCAATTTCATTAGCAACGCCACGTGCCCCCTTAGTTTCTAGCGATAATTTTTGATATCACTCGACTCCGCTGAGAAGGAAATTATCAGTCAGCAAGATCAAAGGAAAATTTCGTAAAATAGCGATAAATATATATATTCCACGCACTGGTATTCATATATCCAGTACAAGAAAATTTGAGAAAATTTGTAAAGATTTTTTTAATGAATACTTGTTCATGTAATTAACTTTTGTTTCATTTCAAGTAATTAAGTTGCTTAACATGTTTTATATAGTTTATGTTCTTGTCTGTTTTACTTTTAGCTCAGTTTTCCATTTATGTTTTTTTCTTTTTTACTTTTAGCTCAGTTTTCCATTTATGTTTTTGTCTGTTTTACTTTTAGCTCAGTTTTCCATTTATGTTTTTGTCTGTTTTACTTTTAGCTCAGTTTTCCATTTATGTTTTTGTCTGTTTTACTTTTAGCTCAGTTTTCCAAGAGGTTTATCCTTTTGTATACAGAAAGCTGACAGACAGCCAGAATTTCATTCATTTATCATCACTAGAGAAGATGGAACAAGAACATATGGGTCGGCATTTATTTATTATGAGGAAGTTACAGATAAAAAAATCTTGGCTGCCATGCAGACATTACAACATATGTTCTTGGCAGAGGTTGAAACAGATGTGTCAGAAACTCTACATATTGAACAAGTAGGAGGAAATCTTAGATTTAGTCCCCATACAGTAAAGAAAAGGACAATTGACGATTCGAAAATTTACAAATCAAACAAGGACAGACTGTATGTCACAAAATGTTTATGTTTAATTACTCAGCAACCATTTGTTCAACCAACTCAGCAATTTTTACAACAGTTATACAGTGCTGTTTCAAATCCAAAAGAAATAGAGTATTCACTAGAATCGTATATTTACAATGTTTTATATGAAGTACCATTACCGCCACCTGGGCGCAGTATGAAGTTTTATGGTATAAAGTCACCAATATTTTGTCAGCGTCCAAGTAAGTAGTAGAGAATTGATAAGAAGTAGTGGAATCGTAAACGATAATCAACGAGCGACTTTAGTCATACTTCCATGAAATAAGAAATGTTGATTTTGTTATTTATGGATAAGTGAAAATACTAAAGAAGTACATGTGTAAAGGGCATTTATCTTAACAAAACAAAATGCTGTAGAATTTGACTTTTGAGATATGAATTGTTTGTCATTTCATCCTCAAATTAATTATTTGCATTTTAAGAAATAACTTGAAAATATAGATGTACATTGTACTTTTGTTTCAAGTACATATACATTTATACTTTTTACTTAACCATGTTAACATGATAAAAGTTGAACTCTATACTTATATTTATATCCCCTTTATCACCATACATCATGTACATACTGTATAAATACATTACATTGTTCATTTCTTGGGGAAAGTGCATGGTTTGCATGCATATTCATAATTTGATTAAGACTGAAAAGATTTACAGTAAAGCATGAAAATGTGTTTAAGTTCATTTAATTTTTATAAGACAGAAGGATAAATATGCAGCATCTTCATGTATGATACATGTATATTAGAGTAATACAGTACATGCAGTATAAGTTATGAAAAATTCATACTTTCCTAAAATATATAAAATCAGCTCTTTTGGATTACATTATGTTAAAGCAACTTCAAGAATCTCTTGTCAAGAGGAATTTATACAACCTTTTATTATCTGTTACACCTTTCAAATCATATAATTGTGAGTAAATATTTATATATTAGCTTCTATGAGTTGGATACAAAGCTCTAACTATGTGAACTTTACTAGATGTAGCTGCAGAACCGTAGCTCTTAGGTCCTTATGATATTTTTTTACCATAGAGCTACCAATTTTTCCTATGGTCTGCAAATTGTCAAAATATATCATAAGGACCTAAGAGATCAATGGTTCCGTAGATATACTAGATGATGACCTATCAGAACACAACCTCACCTTTTAGCTGACTACAGAATGATTATTTAAAATTTCCATCACACTGAGTGAAATTCAAAGCTTTCTTATCATGCTTATATTTTGTACAAATTTTCATTTAGGTTTTTATCATTACTTGTTTGCATTTATAATCATTGAAATACATTTATGAACTGGTCTTTTTCATTTGAAAAGTGTAAGAAAAAAAAACAACCGACAGAATGTGGCATGTACATATACAAATTATGAATTAGAATTATAAAACTTTGGAATGCTGTATGAAGTAGATATTATATTAAGATATTTCATTGCATGTTTACAGTGGACTGGCGAGAAGTTAAAGGTTTGTTTGTACACTTGGGTGTTTGTGCTTTGGATGTTGTGGCAAGCTTTGTCAACAGATATAGGAACAATAATACTTAATTTAGTGGGGAAATTTCAATGCTAGTTAATTAAAAGTCATCATTTTTTGAATGATTTTTTTTCGTATGTACAATTTTTAATAACTGCCTAACTGATCAAAAGTACAATTAATTACATTAATATTATTTAATAAATTATTGTTACTTGACCTTCATATACTTCTCTTTTGCTTCAGTTTGTAAGTCCTATTTTTTATAAAACAATTAAAAAATGTGTATTTCCTTCCACTATTTGTTCAAACATGCTAAAAATAATCAGTCAAATGTGATCAACCCATGGAAATAAAAAGAAAGAAGAAATAAGTAAAGTTTGTTGTACATTTATATTAGATAGAAGACGAGATGCAAATAGCAACAATAAATAAAATGATAACAACTTAGTGTTATGTTGTCACTACTCAATTTTACTGCACAGAGATTAGAAAGACCTAATTTCTCTTTAATAGTCATGATAGTTAGACAATATGAATAAGTTAGTGCATAATATATATATATTATTAGATATCTAAATATGTTCCACTATTCCAACAAAAATTAACACAGAGTGGAATCTGGGGAAAATAGATTCAGATAAAAACCTCTGTATAATATGATATGCTTTATTTAGGACACCTTTATTGTTTAATGAAGCCTTCATACTTATATCAGGTATGGTGTTGGGATTTTCATTGCAGCAATGCCTCTCACAAGTTTTCTTTAAGTGAAATATTTTTTGTTCAATTGAATCCATAATTTATCAAGTGTATTTAGATACAATTTTGCACACACAAAATAGCAGAAGCATATTATTTTCTTCTAAACCAAAAAGACATATCTTGTCATAGTCTTTTTAATGTTTTTTTATATACAAATGTACATGTACCATGTATTTTATTTATGCTACATTATAAAAATACCAATTTCCCATTCAAGTAAAACTAATATTTTACATGTCAAATAAATCATGTATTTTTACTCTTCTTGGTGTTGTATACAACACTAGGTATTGTCAAGATGTTGTCAACAGAGTTGCATCAAAATGAAGTTAGAATACACAGAAATTGATACAGTTTCTTTCTACTTAATTTACCTTAAAACTCAATGTGATAAACATGATAAATAGAATAACTAATCGTAACTAATTTAAATATCATCCATTAGACATGTTAGGAAATTAATGTGTTGTTAAGTCACCGGTTGAAATTTTTATGATTTCCTTTCTTTGATTAGTTATTCCATAATTATTACATTTTGTTGCAATGCAAATTATTCAAGTATCACTTTGGGCACTATAAGTAAGATATGCGAAAATAATCTTTATTCACATATTTATCATCGTTCTTGTATTTTTTTATTTCTCTGTCAATATATGATTAATAAAATAAATGACCAACTGATTTGACCATTACATCCCTGTAGAATTAGGCTAAATAAGAATATTTTAATAACTATGAAATGTGTATTTCAGGTGTAAGTGAGCTGCCATTGTTTGACTTCTGTCTATCACAGCTGTTTGAATACCTCGACATAAGAGACATCGTTCAGCTGTTTACAACATTACTGTTAGAACATCAAGTTTTATTTTATTCTTCTGGTAAGATACAAATGAAATGATGTTTTATAAATATGTTGATATATAACTAAAACATTTATTGAAAGTTGGGCATACAAAAATTTTGAGGAAAATGTATATATATTAATCTCTGTTATAAAGGCTATATTTTTAAGATGCAAGCCATTCCTATCTGATATTGCCCTGACAGCCTTTTTTATGACTTGCTTGGCCCATTGGACTTCAGTCAGAGCACAGCCCTTATAAAAAATATGGAAACTGCAGACCCATACTTTGAGCAGCAAGTTTCAATGATTTTCAAGTAGAGAAATCATATACCATTGGATTCCTTATTCATTTATATACATGGATCTGTACTTTTTATTATACTCCCGCTTTAAAAAAGTGGGGGTGTACTGTTTTGCACCTGTCTGTCCGTCCATCAGTCCCATGAATATTTTTCATCGCAGCTTTCTCAGGAACTACATCATAAGGATTTCTGAAATTTGGTTTTAGGGTTTATATAAGTCAGCTATACCATGTGATGCTTTTTCAGATTCATCACTCAACAACTTCCTGTTTACCGAAATATTTGGGCGGGGGTATCATCAGTGAGCAGAACCTCGCAGTTTCACTTGTTATTCATGAATTAAAGGATATATGGGTTAAACATCAGAGAGATTTCAAGCTAAAAAATATAAACAAAAGACATCTAGAAGCCAACATACAGTCTTCAACAATAGACAATTTTATGGATGATTTACTTTTACTCACAATTTATCATGGAAAGTCAAATTATGTATCGTTTTCAAGAGTTCTATATATTACACCTGATGGAATGGAAGTCTTCACCTGATTTTTTTTACATGATAGCAGTGGCAGATTCAGAGCTTTTCATAAGGGGGGGGGGGGCTCCAGTCATGCTTCAGTGATTCCCTAAATAATCAACCAAATTCTTCTCACAAAAGGGGGGGGGGCCCTCCCTGGAACTGCTTATGGATAGTACACATTGTACTATTGTACCTATGTAATCATTATTTTTATTCATGTATACACATTGTTTTATCAGTGATCTGGAAGGATTTTTTCTCTATGGGCCCAGGGCCCCCCAAAAATAAATTCAATGGGCCATTTTGTCAAATGAGTGGGCCATTCGTTTACAATAAAAAAAGTGTATATTAATTATTTCACTGTACTTTCAAGTATGATTCTAATTAATATCATGGATATTGTTCCTGTGATTTTGTAATTTCAATTTCAATGAATATACAATAACTTCTTCCAAACCGGGCAATATTTATGATAACCTTTATTTACAATGTTAAAACTGGTACTGTTCCCTTGTTCATGTTCATGTTTTTTTTACATTAAATGTGGGTCTTCGTCGATACCATACTTATTCCAGACGTTCCGTATTAGAGGACGTTTCTGGCATTTCCTCTGCACTTGTATTATTATTACTTCATCATGATGACAAGAATAACAGTAGAGAGCAATGTTTATTGATAAGACACAACAACAATCGCTGAAGGCATGTTTACAAAATGTCAAAACGAGCCAAAGACCAAAAAAATTGACAAGGACAGTTAAGCCCCATTTATGGAGACAAATACTATGCTATTCATAAAAAGGCTTTTGGATTTTTCAATCGAAATAATAGCAAGCTTACTTAAAAGATTATATATATATAATTAGAGAAGAATTCTCGCCTGTACTAGCCAATTTTCACAAATTTAAAGTTGTTTATAAAAAATTATATCATGAATGATGGTTAATTACGTTTTTTGGGTAATCAGTCATACCGCATGTTGCTATTATTACCATAGGAAAACACCCGAGACGTCCCAAAAATATATAGGTGCTCCTATCATTGGAGTAAACACTACACAGTTGTGTACTCACACATGGCGGCACGAAATACGATCGGAAATCCATTTGACAATATCTCAACGTTTCAAAACGAAGTGAAAAATATCATGCGCCACGCGGGCTCTTACATTTGTCACTCTATGCGCCATTTCTGGTCGATAAGCGCAATTGGCGCAAGGCGCACGTCCTTCCCGATCACTGTTTTATCCTGTACACACTGTGTTATCATGTACACATTGTTTTATCCTGTACACATAGTTTAATTTGTAGTTATAGTTAATGTATATTTTTTTTCTCAGATTACCAGAAATTAATGTTAGTAGCAGAATGTATGATGACTTTGATATTCCCGTTTCAATGGCAGCACGTTTACGTACCTATACTGCCAGCATCACTCACCCATTTCTTAGATGCCCCAGTACCGTTTGTGATGGGGTTACACCATGGTAAAGAAAGCAGATCAGAACTCACATTACCTAGTGAAGTAAGTATAAATGTATATATAAAGATAAATAAAAAGAGATGTGGAGTAGCCATCAATGCATCAGCAATCCAACATCAAAAAAACTAAGAGAGATCTTTTAGAGCAGCACACTGTCTCAATAATAAACAGGTGTCTATGCATTGTGTACATGTATGTCTAGTATAACTGATGTGTTTTAGGTCAGCAACTATTTTTGTTATGCCCCAGCCGTAGCGGAGGGGGCATTAAGTTTTACCCTTGTCCGTCTGTACGCCCCAAAGTTGGTTTCCATTCTCTAACTTAAGTTTGCCTCAACCAAATGTTATAAAACTTGTATACAATGCTTATTACCACAAAACACAGATCAAGTTTGAATTTTGGTGGCGTTACTTTAACCGTTCTAGAGTTATGCCCCTTTACAAATGGAAAATTGCTGAATTTTTCCTTTCCATTCTCTAACTTTAGTTTGCCTCAACCAAATGTTATGAAACTTATACACAATGCTGATTACCACAAAATACAGATCAAGTTGGAATTTTGGTGGTGTCACTTGAACTGTTCTAGAGTTATGCCTGTTTACAATTTTCGTTTCTGTTTTCTAACTTTAAGTTTGCCTCAACCAAATGTTATGAAACTTATACACAATACTTATTACCACAAAACTTAGATCAAGTACAAATTTTGGTAGCGTCACTTGTACCGTTCTTCAGTTATGTCCCTTTATAACTTTATGTGATATGCAAGCGGGGGCATCATGGACACATTCCCCATTTATTTTAATTACAACTAAAGTCATGGAAGCGAGACACACCGATCATTTCTTTTTCTGTATTTTACTGAGTTTGTTTTTTTGCCTTTAATATTCACCTATAAATGCTTACATCCACTTAATTTGAACTTTGGTGGATAGTTATCTCATTGGAAATCATACCTCACCTCAATGAAAAGTAAGACACTGAGTTCTGCAGTACCCTTTTCCCATTTTGGAGTTATTTTCCTTTTCAAGTCAGCATTTGTAGACTGGAATTAGCCAGCTTTATACTATCACAGGATATATAAACTTTGGTCAAAATTATCAATTTAAGCAAGAAAGCTTGCAATGAAAATAGTTCCTTTATTTTCTGGTATCTGTTGAGTTAACTTTAAAAAAATCTGATTCACAACTGGTTTGTAGGTTTCACATTATCAACTCATAGAGATCTGATCTTTTGATGATTGAGGGACATTGAGTATGCTATTAAGTATTACATGCTATATTAAATGAATATTTCCTGAGTATTCTTTTGAGTTTCACAGATGTTTTTTTTTTTGTATTGAGATATGAATAGCAGAATTGTTTGCTACATGTGTACATGAGAAATATATCAGCAGAAATAATAAATTTGAGTCTGAAAATAGACTTTGGTCAGATTTCTCAATTCAGGCAAGAAGATAGATCCTTTATTTTCTGGTATCTGTTGATTTAACTCTTAGAAAATGTGATTTCTGGTTTTATTCTTTACTTCAAAAATGAGTAAAACATGTAAAATAAGCGAATAACTCCAATTATGTCATGAGTTTTTTATTAACATTTTGAAATGATTTATTTTTTTTCTTTTAAATACACTTTGATATGTTTTGTTGATATTGTTAATATTCTTTTTCAGGCCAATATGTGTTTCGTTAATATTCTGTTTCAGGCCAATATGTGTTTCGTTAATATTCTGTTTCAGGCCAATACATTGTATGTGTTTTGTTTGATATTGTTAATATTCTGTTTCAGGCCAATAAGTATTTTGTTGATATTGTTAATATTCTGTTTCAGGCCAATATGCATGATATGTGTCTTGTTGATATTGTTAATATTCTGTTGCAGGCCAATATGTGTTTCTTGATATTGTTAATATTCTGTTTCAGGCCAATATGTATTTTGTTGATATTGTTAATATTCTGTTTCAGGCCAATATGTGTTTTGTTTGATATTGTTAATAATCTGTTTCAGGCCAATAAGTATTTTGTTGATATTGTTAATATTCTGTTTCAGGCCAATATGCATGATATGTGTCTTGTTGATATTGTTAATATTCTGTTGCAGGCCAATATGTGTTTCTTGATATTGTTAATATTCTGTTTCAGGCCAATATGTATTTTGTTGATATTGTTAATATTCTGTTTCAGGCCAATATGTGTTTTGTTTGATATTGTTAATATTCTGTTTCAGGCCAATAAGTATTTTGTTGATATTGTTAATATTCTGTTTCAGGCCAACTTGTTTTGTTGATATTGTTAATATTCTGTTTCAGGCCTATATGTGTTTTGTTGATATTATTAATATTCTGTTTCAGGCCAATATGTATTTTGTTGATATTGTTAATATTCTGTTTCAGGCCAATATGTGTCTTGTTGATATTGTTAATATTCTGTTGCAGGCCAATATGTGTTTCGTTGATATTCTGTTTCAGGCCAATATGTATTTTGTTGATATTGTTAATATTCTGTTTCAGGCCAATATGTGTTTTGTTGATATTATTAATATTCTGTTTCAGGCCAATATGTATTTTGTTGATATTGTTAATATTCTGTTTCAGTCCAACATGTGTTTTGTTGATATTGTTGATATTCTGTTTCAGGCCAACATGTAGTTTGTTTGATATTGTTAATATTCTGTTTCAGTCCAATATGTGTTTTGTTTGATATTGTTAATATTCTGTTTCAGGCCAATATGTGTTTTGTTTGATATTGTTAATATTCTGTTTCAGGCCAATATGTGTTTTGTTTGATATTGTTGATATTCTGTTTCAGGCCAATATGTGTTTTGTTTGATATTGTTAATACTCTGTTTCAGGCCAACATGTGTTTTGTTGATATTGTTAATATTCTGTTTCAGGCCAACATGTGTTTTGTTGATATTGTTAATATACTGTTTCAGGCCAATAAGTATTTTGTTGATATTGTTAATATTCTGTTTCAGGCCAATAAGTATTTTGTTGATATTGTTAATATTCTGTTTCAGGCCAATATGTATTTTGTTGATATTGTTAATTTTTGTTTCAGGCCAATATGTGTTTTGTTGATATTGATGCCAGGACAGTTGAAGTTCCAGAAGATTTACCAAACTTCCCTCACTCACAGGAATTAATTGGTGAACTTATCAAAGTCAAAAACAAATTTCAACATACCAACAAAAAGTCTGCAAACATGACCACCCGAAAGTCTTTCGCAAACCTCGACAATTTTGACAGTTCATTCAAAGACTCGAGATTAAGCAACCAGAGTTGTCCAGATCTTCAAAACAAACTAGATATTCTACAACAAAATGAAGCTTTTAATAGAATCTCTGAGCTTGCCAAAAAAACAGGTGTCTGGAACACTATTGATGAATTTTCTGATAAAACAAAAGAGATTTCTACTCAAAATGAAGACAATGATCCAAGTTCTATGAGTGAACAAGAAATTACTCAACTTAACTATAACAACACTGTTAGAGAAATCTTTTTGAATCATTTTTTACACATATTTAGTTCATATGACACATTTGTTATTCCCCCAAATCAGGATATGGAATCATGGTTAACAAATCGAGAGTCCATGCAGAACTTTGATAAAGCATCTTTTCTAAGTGACCAGCCCGAGGCTTATCTCCCCTTTTTATCATATTTCACTGAGACACAGATGTTTGCTACATTCATTGACAATAAAATTTTATCACTATGGGAAGACCCAGAACCCAGTTTACGGATATTTGATGGAAGGTTAAAATTGATGAAGGAGCAAGTAGGAGAGCATGTCAGACATACCTATGCACCATGTAATACTATTGAGGATACAGGTAATTATTGAATAATTAGGAGAACGCTTCAGAAATACCTATGCACCATGTAATGCTATTGAGGATACAGGTAATTATTGAATAATTAGGAGAACTTGTCAGACATACCTATACACCATGTAATACTATTGAGGATACAGGTAATTATTAAATAATTAGGAGAACATGTCAGACATACCTATACACCATGTAATACTATTGAGGATACAGGTAATTATTAAATAATTAGGAGAACTTGTCAGACATACCTATACACCATGTAATACTATTGAGGATACTGGTAATTATTAAATAATTAGGAGAACATGTCAGACATACCTATACACCATGTAACACTATTGAGGATACAGGTAATTATTAAATATTTCAATGTTAAAAATCGCTTGAAGACAATTTATTATTTTGATACTTATTCATAAAGGTATAAACCTATAGTCATTGAAATCACTCATAAATAATCAGCTGTGAATAATATTATTCCTTCAATGTAGCAAAACTTACTAAAAAAAGAACAAAAGGCAGTTTCCGTATGCATTATATATAGAATAATGGCATTTTTTTTTTGATACTGACTTTATCAGCAAGAATATCACACAAGCCCCCAAGGGGCTGATGAAGTCAGTATCATAAAATAAAATGCCATAATTCTTTTTATTGACAAGTTGTCTCAACGAAATGGGTTTTTGGTTGAAAATATGAAATAAAATGAATTACAGTAAATTCAGAAATTATTGCGTGCATTTATTATTGCAATTTTTGAAGAATGGACAAATATGCAGGACTAATTATTGCAATTTCAGGAAAATCTGCCTTATCAGATATCTGAATGTGAGTTCTAAGTAATGCAAAACTCACCTAGTCGCATTATTCGCAATAATAAAAACCTTGCAATAATTTCTGAATTTACAGTAGTTAGTAAAAGTTCTTTTACATGTACAACACATTGTGATAGTTGTTCATTTGTATGAATGAAGATGGTGCATTTCAGTGATAAATTGACGCAGATTGATGTGAGCACATGACGTTGCTCACTGATACATGATGTTTTTGCCTAATATTTTCAAGTATCAAGTCCTGTCCATTATCTTAACAAATATTAGGCAGTAAGATCAAAGGAAACATGTACAAATAGTGGATAATAAGGAATATTGCACACTTGTTTCTGGTTATATTCCACAGGGAATGTTTCTATACAATAATAATAATCATGTTTTTGTTTCAGAGAATCTGTTGAAGAAGAGAGTGATTTATGTTGATCATGTTTCCCCCAAACCCCACAGTCTGGAGGGATTAACCATATCTACAACTATAGAACCTGGATATTTTCCACATTTAAATGATAAAGTTCTCAATACAGAGCCAGTTTTCAAGTAAGAATTACAAAAAAATCATGAATATGCTGATCTTGTTCAATGTGAAATTTTTTTGTATCTTCCAGTCTTTTTGGGTTTGAACACAATATTGTGTGTTCTGATATGTGGTGTATTTGATATGTAAGCATTTGTCATTGTTTTAAGGTAAAATTACAAATTACAGTCATTTATATATCAGATATAGCATCTTTCAGTCCATATCAGAACCTCAGTCGAAACCCTCAGTCCATATCAAAACCTCAGTCAAATCCCTCAGTGCAATATCAAAGTCATTTGATGATACAGATATGAATGGAAATCCCTAATCAAAGTCTACGTTAAAGAATTAAACAGTCAACAATTTATTTGATATGTGTAAAAAAAAATAATCATTATTAGTTGTATACATTTGTTAACACCATTTATTGTGTAAGGTGTTACTTGTCAATGGATTAACCATTCTTAAACATCATAACATTTGTGTTCAATGCAAATTCAGTATTTGTATCTGTTGCTTCTTTTTCTATGCTAAAATGGATGTTTATTCTATGTAGGGCCAAATCTAGAGAGGGAGCAAAATGGAGAAAAAGAGACAGACAACTTCAACACTCAGAACATTTAAAGATGAACCCGGAACAGAGAGAGGTAATCAAAATGTATTTTCACAGTAAGAATGAAAAACAGTACTGTAAATACACAAGGAAAAAAATGTACAGGTTTTTCCCAAATTTGAGGAGCCAAAGATATCATCTCTTAAGGGTGGTAGCCTAAGGTAAATTTTCAAAATGGACAATTTTAGATTATAAACTGACACCAACCATAAAATTAATTCAGAAAAGTTGCAAAGTTTTTAGAAAAATACATTTTATTAAGAAATGTTGGTGGTTTTGATACATGATTTTTTTTGCATTAAATTTAACTACCTATATATTGTAAAAAATATTTTAGGTTTTTATGTTCAGATGATATTGAAAAGATTTGTTTCACTTATGGTAAATTGTTTCATAGTTACATCAGCTTCAAATTAACCATAATGCTGAATTCTCAACTACAGCTATTTTACAAATGCTTCTTTTCAAAAACATTTAAATATTCATAGAACAAAAACTCTAAATTTAAATATTTAAATTAAAATCAGTGAATTCTAATTTTGGAAAATATGTTGGATTAAACTGAATTTAAACAATGTTTTGGTACCATGAATTTGTAGCTCAAATTGTTGTGAAAACATGCTTTAGCAATACATGTACATAGGTTGTGTAGGTATATACATTGTCTAAGATTTTTCATACTTTAATAAAAGATTATTCTATATGTGTAAAATATGTACCATAGGTTGTTGAAAAACATGCTAAGCTCTGGCTAGTGAGTAGATTTTGATTATTTAGCTCCAGAATGGTTCATCTTCTCATTTTCACAAACATAAGACTTAGCCAGGGAATGCCTTTAAATTCCTTACATTATATAGCCATGTTCTGAACTTTTTCTATATGATCTTGAAGAACATAGAATTACTATGAAATTTTCAAACAATGTAATATTCACTAACTTGTTTTTAAAATCTCTGAAGGCACATTTTTTACTTCCACATTTTTCCATTTTGTATTTGTTATTGTTAACTGTTGTGCAGTTTACTTTTTTTGCAAATATGCTGTCATTGCAAAATAGTGGAAGTAAAACTTCTCAAATACATCAAGGTTTATTATATTTCAATACATTAGAAGAAGCAATGATGATACTTTTTTAAATCTATTTCCTTAACATTGCACAATAGAAGAACCAGTCTGGAGTACCAAACAGCACTTTTACTTGATGTCCTGTGCTTACATCTCTGATTTTCACAATGTACTGAATTCATTCATTGTTTGTTAAGCAGAGCAAGTTTCTTTGTAAACAGAATTGCTTAAGGAGCTTTCATATTTCATGTACACTCACACACTTCAAGAGGAAGTTTTACAATAACCTTTATAAACCCACATCAGATTGGGGAGGTTACTTATAATCAGTGTCCAACATTACTCCTCAACATACGGATATTCAACTTTACAACTGCTGCAAACCATATGTAAATATATAAGCCCTACAGTCAGGCTTTGGGCCTACAGTTAAAATTTCACTTTTAACACTGCTTATGATATTGGCAAAAATGGACTAGAATTGAATGGTTTTACACTAGTAATTTTTGGGGCCCTATATAGCTTGCTGTTCAGTGTGAGCCAAGGCTCTGTGTTGCAGACCGTACTTTGACCTATAATGGTTTACTTTTATAAATTTTGACTTGGATGAAGAATTGTCTCATTGGCACTCATACCACATCTTCTTATATCTATAAAAAGATGCAAATACGACAGACAAATTTGTTCAAAAAAGATACATTATATTATAATGTGAACTCAAATAGGATATTTATCCATATATTATTACAGCAGTTAAAACCTTACCCAATATATCATCGGCTCTCTGGATGTAAAAAAACATTCCTATAATCTTAAGTAACCATTATACATTAATGCAAACACACTATGCCATAAAATGGAATCTTGATGATCATAATGTGATATTTTAAACTCTTTTCCATCTTGTCTTATTTCTTTCTTATCTTTTTTGTCTTTTCCCTATCATTTCACCATTTTTATATATCATTGGTAAGTTCACTAGTTGTATCGTTGTTAGATATAGAAAACTGTTGTCACAGTGTGTAAATATTTCCCCTCTATACTATGGAGTTGAAGAAAGGAACTCTGTTGTATAAATGCTATATTAGCAATTATTTTTGTACGTTTAAAGAATGAACATGTTGTTTGAACATAAGAATTGTATCACATGTAGTTGCTGTTTTAGTATGCCTTTATAGGTTCATTATTAAATAAAGACTGATGTTTTAATCATGTACTTACTATTGTGCAAAAAAGGAGAAACATAGTTCTATGGTGGGGGGGGGGGGGGGGGGGGAATGGTGTCAATGCTTTGCTGCTGCCTTCTACAAAAAGAACAGTTGCTATGCATGAGCAGACATATATAAGCATTGACTTGCTTGGCTTACATTATAACATGAAAAAGTTATAAACTTACCCAAAACAATATGCATTGTTTTGTGTTTGTATATGCAGATTATCAAATAACTATTTATGAAAACTTATTGATGTAATTTCTTCAAAATACTGTCTTACTTTCCTTCATGCTTCAAATTGATTGAACTTTATGTATAAAAAATAAACGATTAAAGATACCAGAGTTGTAATTTGGAATACCAAATATGCATTCCTTCTACATAAGACTGATCAGTGGCACTCAAATCAGAACAGTTGGACGATCAAATCACATACTGAGTTGAAGAAAAATTAAAAATCAAAAACTCTGAAAGATTGTGCCAAATACAGCATTGGTAATCTATTCATGGGGTAGAAAAACTTGCATGTCTTGAAGAATTCATCATTTTATAAACATTATATTTACAGAAAGTGAACATATCAATGCTATTTCATGTCAACACAAAAGTGCTATCTACGGGTCTGGTGATACCTCTTTCAAACCACATGTTTTATCAGATGTACAGTTGAAAATTAGTTCCCAATACTAGGCTTCTTATTACAGGCTTATTCACACTGATTAGTTACTCATTTCATATTTCCAAAAATAATATTGAAAAGCCAAAAAATTGCAATAATTTGTGAAAAGCATATTACTTCTATATTAAAATATTTGATCTTGTAACAATGTTCGTCTTTGTAAATGAAAACTTCTAATGGAACACCCAAATTCATTATAAAGCTGGATGAAATAGCCATGAAACCATATTTCCATACTTTAAATGTATGGTGCCAGGAGAAAGGGAATTAAGGCCCATATTTGGCCCAAGAAAATTGAATTGTTGAGAACTACTTCAAATTTGTTCATAACAAATGTATAGGCAAATATATCAAATCAAAAAATATTAATGAAATTGTTCCTCCATAATAGATTGGCCTCAGCAAAATTATGTTTGAAACTTGAAAATTTTCACTAAATTTGGGGCCAATTGTTTCTGCCTTATAGCCACTTCTCATTTGTACAGGTGTAGATTTTTAGAGATTTCGTCATAATATATTTAAGACTACATTCTAGTAAAATTTTAATTTAAACGATTGTAATCTATTTATAGAAATATCTACAGGAAGCTAGAAGTAAAAGCATGAGACAACCAAAGTTATCTGATATGTCGGCTTCAGCCATGATACAGACCAACTGGAAATTTGTAGAAACTTTACTACAGGAGGGGAAAACAAAGGTACATACAACATTATTATTTGTTTATTTATATGATACATCAACACCAGAAATAATTTGGAAGCATGATTTTGCATTCATTTAACAAGCCAAAAAAATGTAGTAGTCATAGAGTGAAGTAAGGAAGGTAACCAAGTTTGAGATTTATATAAACATGCTAAATGAGAAAAAACATTTTTCCTGAACAACAAGATGTTCCATGATCGCTTGTTGTTAAGCAGAAAAGTAAAAATATCTTTTGTACGAAATATGTTGATTATCTGATTTATGGTGTAGTCTTCACTCATACCAGACAAAAAGAATGTTTAGAATATGAGCCATGACTCTAAAAGAATAAAGTTTTATGGGCTGATATAATATTAATTCACTGTCATAAGCAAATTTAAAGCATTGTTCACATATTCCAGGATTGTTCTGAATATCCATGAATATTTGCCACTGGACATTAAGCAAACAACAATCAATCTCATTTACCATGCAGATTGAATTTTTTTGACAAAACAGGATGTGAAGTGTAGAGATATGTCACAATATCATGATCATGTGTTAGGTGTTACATTTTTTCACTTTAAAGAGAATGTCAGTAGACATTATAGGACATAATACAATAGAACTAGGTCACTGTGATCTACATCATTTCTCTTTTCACTGTGATAGTACTGTAAATTCAGAAATTATTGCGAGGTTTTTATTATTGCGAAAAATGCGACAGAGTTGTAAACGCAATAATTTAAACTCGCATTTTGAAATATTTTACATGAATAAAACAGGATTTTTCTCAAAATCGTAAAAATTAAAATCACATTTAAGTCTAAAATGACAAAATCGCAATAATAAATGCACGCAATAATTTCTGAATTTACAGTATTCATTTATTTCAGACTTAGAAAATGCTGGTAGATAATATTTGAAATGAAGCTTTTGAACTATGTCATTATGACCTCCATCATATCATTATTTATTCACTGACAATCATTTTCTCAGACAAGAAGAATGTTGGTAGATAAGATGAGATATGAAGCTATAGAATTAGGTCATTGTGACTTCCATTATATCACTTTAAGCCACAATATAGCCTTTTAGCTGATACAGCCCAAAGCAAACACCAATCAATCAATCAATCAAACCGTTCTATCACTATTCACTGACAATGTTCATTTTTTCAGACAAAAAGAATGTTGGTAGATAAGATGGGACATGAAGCTATAGAATTAGGTCACGGTGAGGTTAACATCACGGGTGTGGAAGAAAACACATTGATAGCCAGTCTATGTGATCTGTTAGAGAGAATCTGGTCTCATGGATTACAGTCCAAAAAGGTGACCATTGTGTAAATTAAATCATAAACTAAAGTGGTGTTTCACAAGAAATAACATTTTTAAACGTCCGTTTACGGGACGTATTATGGTATACCGCTGACCGTCTGTCTGTCCGTCTGTCGGTCCGTCGTCAACATGTCGGACATTAATTCAAAAATGGTTTAACCAATATGCATGAAACTTTGGTGAATTGTTTATATCTATTGTCCTGAGCTCCCTTTCGTTTTTTATAAATTTCAGATTTACCATTTCCAAGTTTTAGGGTTTTATTCATTAAAAAAGGGGTGATTTTCCAGTTTTCGGACAATAACTCAAAAACAATTTCACCAATTTGCATGAAACTTTTGTGAATTGTTCATATCTATTGACGTGAGCTCCCTTTTGTTTTATATAAATTTCGGATGTACCGTTTCCAAGTTTTGGGGTTTTATTCATTAAAAAAGGGTGATTTTCCAGTTTTCAGACAATAACTCAAACACAATTTCACCAATTTGCGAGAAACTTTGGTGAATTGTTTATTTCTATCGACATGAGCTCCCTTTTGATTTTTATAAATTTCTGAATATATATTTATGGGGTTTTATTCATTACAAAAAGGGGGATTTTCCAGTTTTCGGACAATAACTCAAAAATGCTTTCAGCATTTTTTATGGGACTTTGGTAAATTGTTTATATCTATTTTTGTAAGCTCCCTTTTGATTTTTATAAATTTTCGATTTTACATTTCAGAGTTATAAGATTTTATTTGTTTATAGTCTGACAACAGATTTACTAAGTATTGCGCAACAGCACAGTGTATTGCACAACAGCAAGAAATCTTTCATATAACCAATTTCAAGTTCTTTGACTACATTTATTCAGAAACCTATAATATATCAAATATTTAATTACAATCCAAATTCAGACCTGTATCAACTTGAATATTGTGTCCATTTTTGCCCCAACTGTTCAGGGTTGGACCTCTGCGGGCGTATCCAGCTGCGCTCAGCGAAGCAGTTTATTCATGAAGGCTTGATATTTGAATAGTAATTTACATTCTATTTAAAATAAATTGATATAGTGTAAATATTTCACTCGATCTACTGATAACAGCTAACCAGCTACTCTTTGTTTCTTCTATTAGTGTAATGACCAACATTGATTCATACAAATGTAAAGAAAAGTACATAAAGTTTCTATGTCCAAAGTTAATATTGTGATTTTACTAAAATGTTGTTTCAGGGGAAGTCTGCTTTATGGTCCCATCTTAGAAGTTTTCTAGAATTAGAGGAATGTAAACAAGGCAACAGATATTTGGATCCTAATTCTTTGTCTCCTGGTAAGTTAGCTAGTATAGTACAAACCAAAACAACATATAACGGAGGAACCATCAATTTGTACTATATTCAGATAAGGTACCTGTGTTGAATATGGTAGGCTTTATAAGAAAAAAAACAGAAATGTTCAAAAATTCTGAGGAAATTAGTTTTTACTTTTTCTTTCTTATTCTGTGATCGTCGGATTTTGAATGTGACCTGCTTTTTAATGATATCCTTCCGCCTAAAAGATAAAGGCATGTCTGTTTCTCTGACTGTCTATACATACACTTTTTGAATTCTTAGACTCTAGATAATAAACTATTACTAGACCAAATCTGTGTGTAGTTACACAATGTAAATACTTTTTCATTTTAATGTTTTAATCATTCAACATTTATGGTTCAACTGTGATTCTGCTGCAATATGCTAATTATTACCTTAGCATAATAGCTCGGACAGGGAAATCTTAATCTTTTAATTTTAATTCTAGTTTAATTTTATTTAAGAAATGCTGTTATTTAAAACTGTCATTGTCATGATTGTCAACATACCTTTTTGATAAAACAGTCTACCATAAAAGCGTTTTCTTTATTTTTGGTTGAACATGACTTTTTTATTTATTTTTGGTTGAACATGACTTTTTTATTTATTTTTGATTGAACATGACTTTCTCAAACACTTTTATGTTATTATGTAGATCTACATATATGTTTAAAAAATTGTACTTTTTGATGTTGTTTTCCAAAATCATTCATCAAAAAAAAAAAAAAAAAGAAGGTATTTTCATATGTCTGCAAAACTTATGCTTAAACTCTAAACAAGAAATACTGATTAAACAATATTGATATGTAATCTAGTCAACGTATATGTATTGTGTATGTGTATGATTATTTATAACAGAGACAAAACCTAAGAATGACCTATCGACTTCTGTCATGGAAATATATATGTCAATTTGTAGTAAGTAGTATATGCATGTGCCATGTATTTATTTCTCCATTACAGTATGCAAATATTTCATAATTATGTATCCTATATCTATATTATTATAGTTATGTAATGGCCACATTTCATAGAATTGGACAATTTGTTTGGCTTCATATAGAAACCCAAAACTTAATGTTAAAAATCTGTGATGAAATGTCAGTACTGTCCAAGTTCTAGGTTTGTCAGAATATCATTGAATTCAATTCTGACTATTACTTTTTAAGATATTAAGCGTATAATATAATTGGTGTATTATTCAGCAGCTGTATAGAATACCTAGGGGACAAAGATACAGTCTGTTGTTAAATAGATTACTATTTTTGTTTACCTTAGTTCAGAGGGAAATATATTGATGAAGTGAATAACTTCCCCCCTTAACCTTGATCAGGAAATATGTTTACACTATCATGGAATTGCAAAAAATAGCTCAAAGATTTACAGATAAAACAGATGGAAATAGTGAAATAAAAGTTCATGTTCAAGTGAATGTAATGAATCAGCAGTGGAATGTAATTTAAGCAATTTAGTACTTATAAATACTAATTACTTACTAATTTCCTATAACGATTGACATTTTTTTCTATTTTGAAATAGAAGGATTTGTGAATACTAAAAAGAAAAGACTAATTCAGGATAATGATAGAATTATTACAAGTGCAGTTCCATTGTTTTGGGTTTTGTTAAGTGAATGTAGGGATTTTTTGGTCCATACACCATATTACTTTTTTTCCATTTGAAAAAGAAATAATTACAATGATTAGTTCTTAGATTTAACATAGAACTTTATTTTCACAATTGACTATTGAGAAGTGTTATCAATGCTGTCTGTATTAACAGTGTAACATAGAAAACTAACAGTAATTGACAAGATATTTATGCTTCTATTTCTGCTATTTATTATTAGCTATGGCTTGGTGTGTACTGAGAAAACAGAACAAGAGTATGTCTTCCATGTCCATGCTTACAATTGTCAAATGTAGTATTAGGGACTCATTCATACAAACTTACACAGCTAGGAAAAGGGGAATCATTTATTAAAATTTAAATTGAAAGTCTGAATTGATGTGTTATGATTTGAAAATAACTTCAATATTCCAACAAATAAGTAGCTTCTATTGAATAAAATATACTACTGTAGACATCAGAGTCCAAACTTAGTTGAAACTTTCTGATAGACATAGTATTTTAGATCCTTTTGAAATTATCAAATTTACATGTAGACAAAAGGATTTTCTGATTACAAATAGTAAATTTAATTAAATTTTATTCCTTAGCATGTGTGAGTTTTGTATGGGTGAGAATAACGGCATGTTCGTATCTGTATGCATGTTGGTACATACAGAATAATTTTCTTTACAATGAAAATTAAGTTTTATGGGAATTTTTTAAAGCTGTATGCATGTTCAAAGGTGTCTTCTGTTTATATTTTTGATTAATGGTCTGACCATTTTTCCTTGTCAGTCTATACTTGGTTTCGTTTATGAATGAACAATATTTTTGGGGGTTTTCATGTTTATTTTTTAAGGAACTTTATGGATGGTCTTACTTAAGCTTTACATGTATTTTAAGTTTATTCCAATTTGAATGTGGTTATTTTTTTCCCATGCTCGAATATAACACAGTGCAGGTGTAATCTTTTATTTTTTGTAATTGGTTGTAAAAACAATGTACATATGAAATTTATTTGTGAAATGCAGGAATAATCTGAACTTTCTTTAATAACATAAATTTAACATTTTGTTGAAGATTATCTTTCATTGCTTCAAGAACAATCTGATATAAATACAGATACTATATCCACGCTTTCGTTACAAGGCTCTAAAAGTGCTCTGTTCTACTTTCTGTTTTAAAAAGACAGGGTCCTTTGGTTTTGTTGTACAGATACACAAATTCAAGAATTTGAAGGCTGATATTTCATTGGCTGATCAAATAATTGCTAATGCAAATAGTAGAATGAAGTGTTGTCAGGTCATTGCAGGCGAAGTGTGGACACAGGAACTGTATTTCAATTAAATTGTTTTATGAATAACAATTACCTTATATAATCAGAATTAACAGATGGACTTTTTGTTATATTAAATCATCTCATTTTATGCATGCTAGGAATTAATTTAATAAATTGATGTCTTACTAACTGAGGAATGCTGTAACAGGAATGCAGTTTCGGATATTTTCAGATGTAGCAAATTTGGCCTTGGATGATTTTCATCTTAAACCAATGGAAAAGAAAGGTCACAAGAGAAAAGGAAGTTCTGGCAGGATAGAGTTACCTAAACTAACACCACTTCCTACTTCTATAACTCATGATTTAAGGCAAGTAAATGATAAAGAGAAGGAAGTTCTGGCAGGATAGAGTTACTTAAAACTAACTCCACTTCCTACTTTTATAACTCATGATTTAAGGTAAGTAAAAAATAAAGAAAAGAAAGTTATAGCAGGATAGAGTTACCTAAACTTACACCACTTCCTACTTTTATAACTCATGATTTAAGGTAAGTAGATAATAAAGAAAAGGAAGTTCTGGCAGGATAGAGTTACCTAAACTAACTCCACTTCCTACTTTTATAACTCATGATTTAAGGTAAGTAGATAATAAAGAAAAGGAAGTTCTTGCAGGATAGAGTTACCTACACCAGGAACGTATATATTGACGGGACTTGACACTACTTAATTGTAGCCAATTTTATTGTCGTGTTATAGGTAATAAAGATACGATACGGAAACGTACATGTGTTAAAAACGTACTCGCTATTATCCAAATAATTTCTGGTAATATCAATAAAATGTCATTCAAACTAGTTTTACAGTGATGCCAGTGTATCAAACTTGTATTCTGTTACTTCAAATTTGTTATAATCGCATTCATTTTATCACACAATGGTAGAGAATGCAAACAGGGTAATAAAAAAATGGCGCCGATTGCATTCCCAAATTCAAAAACATTATAAAACACTTCACATGAAATAAATCACACTTATTTTGGTCGTTTTATATGACAAAATATGTCTACTTAAATATAAAACTTGGATTTATTTACGATTAGAATTATGTGGTTACTTTATTGAGCAGTTCCGATAGTTTTTCAGTCAGACGCCAACAAAATCCATAAATCACGCGAAGTCTCGAGGAGTCCGAGATTTTATCAATTTTATACTGAAAAGCCTATCAGATTCATTTCCCGTTAGATATACTGTTCCCAGCCTACACTAACACCACTTCCTAATTCCATTACTCATGATTTAAGGCAAGTAAATAATAAAGAAAAGGAAGTTCTGGCAGGATAGAGTTACCTAAACTAACACCACTTCCAACTTTTATAACTCATGATTTAAGGCAAGTAAATAATAAAGAAAAGGAAGTTCTGGCAGGATAGAGTTGCCTACACTAACACTACTTCCTACTTCTATAACTCATGATTTAAGGCAAGTAAATAATAAAGAAAAGGAAGTTCTGGCAGGATAGAGTTACCTACACTAACACCACTTCCTACTTCCATAACTCATGATTTAAGGTAAGTACACAAAAACTTAACTTTTCTGAGTCTCTTTTTTTGTGGTCAGGCTTATGCTTATTTTAGTTTTATCAAAATCTATGCAGAAATTCATTAATATTGGTAATTTTACCCATTAAATTTGCTTATAATTTCACTTTGAGATCATACTTGAATTTTTTGGAGTTAAATGACCAGATGTTAATATCATATTTGCAATGAAAAGGAATTAAGAATGCATTTTTTGCAATTTTAGGACCAAATAATAGATTTTATCTTATGTTATATCAAACTGGTTACAAGTAAACTCAGAAGAAAAAAATATATAGATTTGCAATTTTATCACTAGGAAATTGAGACTATTCTGCAAATTTTGAACTTATAAATATAAATAAAAGGAAATGCAGGTAAGTATTAAAGAGCTAGCTACCCAGCAACATGAAAAAAACTAGAACAGTTTGTATAAATAAAATTATAAACAATAGACAAATAACTTCTGTATATGTCAAGTTGTAAATCGCCTTAGGGTATCAACAACTTCTTTAAAAAATTTAGCAGAGACAACCAAAGATTTACCATCCACACAAATCCATCAAGAAATGATATGAATTTTTCCAAGCAAAACGGTAAAAATCAAAAGTTATTCTAAATACACTAGGTGTAAAAGATCCTGTCTTAATTCTTATTGTATATGGCTATAATTATTTTGTAGGAAGGTTATCCAGATGTCAGACATTCGTACAGATGTAGGACAATCCAGAGCTTTTGTACGACTGTCTTTAGAAAAGAAGGTCCTAGCAACTCATTTAAAGACTCTACTGTCTGATGCTGACTTACTCAGGTATGGACAATGTTGTGCAATTATAGGCTTTTTGTAATAGTCTCTAACTCAGGCTTAATGAATAAAAATGATGTGGGCTTTTAGTATTTGAGGGAGTAAACAAGACAATTACCCCTGTTTCAGAAAAAAAAGCTAGAGGTTATCGAAGGAAATCACCTGGAAAGCACTTTACACATTACTAGTACGTGAAATAAATCTACAAATATTTATTTTCAAAGCAAACATAGATAAACAAGAAAATTTCTCTGTATAATAATATTGTATATGATATATGAATATGGTGCCTTCTGCCACTGATTATTGTTTATCCATTTATTCTATTACAGAACTTTATACAAGAGATATGCCTTCCTGCGATGTGAAGATGAAAGAGAACAGTTTATTTACCATCTGCTATCATTGAATGCTGTGGACTATTTCTGTTATACCAATTCTTATCCTAAAACTGGTAAAAATTACTGATATACCAAATCTTATTTTAAAACTGGTAAAATAATTTATATACCAAATCTTATCTTAAAACTGGTAAAATTATACCAATATTGCTATACCAGTCCTCATCTTTAAAATTGTTGAATTATTGCTGAACAAATTCTTATTATAAAATTACTTATGCAATACTAATTAAGTACTACATTAAAACTAGTTAGCTTGTTGATGTACCATTTCTCATTCTAAAACTATTAAATTTACTGACTTAGCAAATGTATCCTTTAATTGATCAATTTACTGTTATACATGTTTTAAACTATTATTATATTACAGTTTAGTGACATCAGGATTCTATTTATAACTTAAAGAGGTAGTAATCTATTTTTATGCCCCACCTACGATAGTAGAGGGGCATTATGTTTTTCGGTCTTCGTCTGTTTGTTCCTTCGTTCATCCGTCCGTCTGTCCTGCTTCAGGTTTAAGTTTTTGGTCAAGGTAGTTTTTGAAGAACTTGAAACTTAGTGCACATGTTCCCTATGATATGATATTTCTAATTGTAATGCCAAATTAGAGTTTTAACTCCAATCTCACAGTCCACTGAACATAGAAAATGATAGTGTGAGTGGGGCATCTGTGTACTATGGACACATTCTTGTTTTCTGTAATCTTCAAACAACAGATAACTAAACTATATAATTGTAAAGAATAATGATCTATTTATGAAAATGAAGGTTTTGTTTGGTAAAACTAAAATCACAAAAAGTCCCAAGTTTTAGCCTCTTATACAGAAATAATTGATATGTATTGTCTGTTCATATACAGAAATAATTGATATGTATTGTCTGTTATATATTTTTTACAGTTGTGCCGTACAAAGTAATGATTTATCCTAGTCCAAAGTTTGGTTGTTCTACAACAAGTGCCAATCCTTGGGTGTGTATAGCAGGACAGTTAGGAGAGACTGGACCTATAGAGATGCCTAAAGGATTTCTAGAGTTTAATGTTGAGGTGAGAGTTATAAAGGAAATAGTATTTATATGATTTCTAAATATTTATGTTTTACATTTGTGATTTTTTTTATAAGAATAAGTGTTCATAAACACATTCTCCTTCAAATATTGCCACCATCAGTACTACAGAAAATTGTCTTAACAAATTCAATGAAAAATACTATAAAGGACATTAATGCTCTTTATTTAAGGAGGTTAAGTAGGGTTTATTTGTTTTGGGATGGACATTTTTGACATTCAATATGGATTCCATGTATGCAAGTGTGCAATACAGAACCACTTGTTCAATAGTTTGCCGAAAATTAGAAAGCAATTATCAAAGCACCTTTTACTTCTTTGTTTTTCTCCACAGGCATTTCTCTACTACAATTTACATTTTAAAGAGTAGTCTCCAACTATTTAAAAATTTGTGTTGTTGTAATATGCATGAAATATTTACCTGGTGATGGGACATCAGTGTCCGAGTGGTTTAAGTAGTCCAACTACTGTATCACTAGCCTGTCAACACTGAAGTTGTGAATTCAAATCCTGCATGTGGCAGGTGCGCTAAACTCAAATCTTAATTGACTAGGATTGTCAGTTTTCCTACCGAAGGTCAATGGTTCTCTCCAGGCATTCTGGCTTCCTCAAACAATAAAATTGGCCACCATGAAAAAGCACAATAGTGCTGAAAGTGGCATTAAACACCAATCAATCAATCAATTTGAATGTTATGCAACCACAATATGACATTCAACAATCAATGATACAGAGAATAGAAATTGATGATTTCATTATAAACATTTCAGCATAAAAACTTGGGTGTATTAACAACATTAAGGATAGGTCACGACAACGGTGGGATAACACCTAGATGGCTGGTAGAATATGTTCTTGTTAGGAATGAACTGACTGGTCATACATACAGGTTAGTATTACATTCTAGTAAATATGAAGTGAGGGATATAGGGTGAATGTACATGAGACAACAATCTCATAAAATATTGATGGTGGTGTTACCAAAGGAAAGGAGGGGGTATTGAAATCAATATTAACCCCCACAATTTTGGTTTATTGACTTTGAAATATTTGTATGTTTTGCATGCTTGAGAATTAAGAACATAATATATGCCTTTGATATTTAGTCAGTTTTAGGAGTACTTGAGAGATACTATTAAGCTTAATTACATTAAACTTTCATATTTAAATTTGATGCATGCAGGAGATATATATCTCTGTGATAACAGTTTAGATGTTTTATTCATATGCAACAAACATGATCTTCATTTGAAATACATAGTATTAGCATTAATTTAATTAAAATTCTTATGTTTTTGGTTTAAGACAAAAATGTTTTAAAACCCCTTCACATTTATGTTCTTGCATATAACGTCACAGTACCCCAATTGCTCTGAGTACCCAAATTGCACACATTTAGCAAAAATAGAAGTGGAAATCTTACAAGTTTTCTTAAAAGATTAAACAAAATTTGCATTTTTATGATTTGACATTAAGCATGTCTTTATAGCTAAATATATTTGAATATACATAAAACGTTCACAGTATATATCAACAGATTTTAAAAGTATTCACTGGAAAAAGCAATTTGGGTACTCCTCATTACATAATCATGGATCGTTATGAGGTCGGTACAAACCCATTCTTCTGTGATTTGATATGGATTCAAAATTGAATTGGTGGAACTATATAGTAAATAGGGATACATCTACAAATAAACACAGAATGGAAAATTTTGTCTGGATGATAAATAAACGTAGGTGAAAAAACTGTCAAAATAGGTGCAATTTAGGTACCATCACGTTACCTAATGTTATCAGTACATAAATATTTGATATATTGATTACAGGTTTAACTGTGGTAGATGGTTAGGTAAAGGAGTTGATGATGGAAGCACTGAAAGATTACTGGTGGCTGAGTTATTGTCACGTAATATGGATATATATGGTAGGTATTGTTTCATGAGGAAAATATGTATAAACACGAGAGAATGTGATATATAGTCATACAAGTCTAACAACCGACTACTCCGAGAGAATAAAGGCAGACAACAAAGAACAACACATGGTCCAGATAGCTGGATTTGGTACAAGCAAACATGAAGTCAGGTTTACCTTTTAACCTGTGTGCATGATAAGTGATTAATAATATTCTAAGGAATAAAAACATATAATATATAGAAAGTCACATTATCAGGCTTTATTAAAATATTTTCAAAAAAATAAAACACAAATCTTTTTATTGTATGAAATATAATTTGTTGAATTGAGTTATGAAGAAATATTTGTCAGGGGTTGAGAATGTGAAATATAGGAACCTCTATTTCAGATTTATATAATTTTGTAAGTTGTCAAACTGTTGTATCTTACATATTTCTTTCAATTAAAATCTTTTAGATTTAGATTTGGCTGTGCATTACTCATCTCCTCCTAGATTGGGTTCTCCTAAGTCACCAAAGAGGAACACAGAACAAAGTAAGTTTTACGTATTCATTTTTGTTCTGTAGTTAGTGACCACTTCGGTGTTAGGGCTATTCCATTAAAAAGGAGGTACTAGGGTCGGAAGGCAATTTTTAAGTACCCCCATGACCAAGAGGAATGTACAATGTATCTTAACACCAACCAACAGCATGTCGTTTCATAATAATACAAGAACCAACTGGAATATATCTAACTTATTTTATTCTAATTTACCACAACCAAAGGAATTGTTATTTAAACATTATAGTTGCTGGACAATTTAGAGGGGGTGGACAGGGTTAAAGGAATGAGGGGGAGGGAAGAAATGAGATCAAACTTCATTGTGTTTTAAATCTTAAATATGAAAAATATAATTTGGTCACCAGGGTTTGAAACATTTCAAATCTTTTAAAAATCACTGATGAAAATTAGAACTATGGTCTATAGAACTGCAAATGGATTGTTTTGTTAACTTAATATATGTTGGCCACGTTTGCTTCCAATTGGCTTTTTTGGCTCAGAGATGTTTGAAAAAAGTTTACGATGACGCAGACAAAGGATACGAAGAATCAACAAGTGAAACTGCGAGCTACTGCTCACTGATGATACCCCCACCCAAATATGCATTTGGAATATTTAAATAGTTATTTTTAAAATGATGTAAGTGTTCAGTAAACAGGAAGTTTTTGAAGTGACTTCTCTTTTTGAAACTGATGGGTAGAAGTGGTGAGATTTGGAAGAGAAGTGCTCACTCAAGGAGCTACAATGATGATATAAAGAGCTATTTGTATCTCTTTTTTTATATTGTTCAATTCATAACAGTTCAAATTCAAAGCTGTTTGAATGTATCATATCTAGTTGTACTATTATATTAGTTCCTCTGTAAAAATAAAGTAAGAAACTTCCAGATTTTTACTGGCCCTTCAAAATTGAGAAGAAATTACCTCTTGGAATTGTAGATATATGTATACTCTATAAAAACATCTACATGTAATATCAACATTTATTAATGATAAAGAAAATTACTGTCACATTTCATTGGATTTTGACATGAAAATTTGTGAACTAAAAGTTATTTTGAGTTTCTGTATAAAATATTTCATGCTTTTTCTTTCTTTTCCATATATCTTTTGGTTTTCAATTCTAGTGTTTATATTTCATCATCATAGATGTATTTTGTCACCTGCCTGGAATTATTATTTTTTATTGTATTTGATTGGCAAACCCGGAATTACCCTTATCCGACACCAGAATCTGATCTGGTATTGTAATCGTCTTCATTTCCGGTTTATGGCACCCATTGTTTTTCAATGTTGTTTTTGTCAGTCAGATACGATTTTACTTGTATTTACACATTACTTGTTGGCGATTTTCAGTATAAAGCTAGCGGTTGAACAAAATAAGCATCGCTGCCGGGCCTAGCTCGTAACCAAAACGAAAGTCCGATTGCAATAGTGGAAGGTCGCGGACCTCGGACCACCTCTAATTTGAACCTCCAAATATTATTTTCAATAGAATTTGACATCTTTCGCCATGTGCTTGTCATTAAAAAGATTTAACTCTTGCACTTCCAGAACTGGTACCATAGGTAGAATACAACGTTGCGCCTGCCGCTGCGTTAGTCGCAGGAACAGTTATGTTTTCCAAAATATCACGATAAGAGCAGGAGACAAAAACAATCGGTTATATAAGTCCTTGCACAAACAAATAATAATAAATAAGGGAAAATAACACAATGAAACCGACAGTCACGAAAACTGACTGTCAAAGAAGACCAACAACCAACAATACTTACTTTCTCTAAACACCAAGGGCCACTGGCCGTGAACGCTTCAACAGATCAACAACCAACGGGATTTTTTATAATTTCCGTCCGACCCTGGTACATTCTTTTTAATGGAATATATATAGCCCTTAACATGTATATCAATTATATGGTCATTTTTATATTTAAAAAATTTACTGTTTGCAAAAATATGAATTATTCTATATACTAAATATTTTCTTATCCCAGGCAGATAACCTAGCTGTATTTGGCACAACTTTTTGGAATTTTGGGGCATCAATGCTCTTCATCTTTAGGCCTGGCACCTTTGATAACTATTAGCTTGTCCTAATGTTCTATTGTATTGTTTATTTGTGTGTTTCTCTGTCCTGTATGTTCTTCCATTTATTTGTATTGTAGTCCTGTCATGTAATGTTGTCATTTTAGTGTTATATTTAACATTGCCATTGAAGCGGGAGGTTTGGCTAGCCACAAAACCAGGTTCAACCCACCATTTTTTCTTAAAATGTCCAGTACCAAGTCAGGAAAATGGCTATTGTTATCTTATAGTTCGTTTCTGTGTAAGTTGCATTTTTGTCGAGCCTTCGACTTTAGTCGAAAAAGCGAGACATAGCGATCCTACATTCCGTTGGCGGCGGCGGCGTCCACAAATATTCACTCTGTGGTTAAAGTTTTTGAAATTTTAATAACTTTCTTAAACTATCCTGGATTTCTACCAAACTTGGACAGAAGCTTGTTTATGATCATAAGATAGTATCCAGAAGTAAATTTTGTAAAAATAAAATTCCATTTTTTCCGTATTTTACCTATAAATGGACTTAGTTTTTCTGCCGGGAAATATTACATTCACTCTGTGGTTAAAGTTTTTAAAATTTTAATAACTTTCTTAAACTATCCTGGGTTTGTACCAAACTTGGACAGAAGCTTGTTTATGATCATAAGATAGTATCCAGAAGTAAATTTTGTAAAAAAATAAATACATTTTTTCCGTATTATACTTTTAAATGGACTTAGATTTTCTGCCATGAAACAACACATTCACATTGTGGTTAAAGTTTTTAAAATTTTAATAACTTTCTTATACTATTTTGGATTTGTACCAAACTTGGACAGAAGCTTGTTTATGATCAAATGCTAGTATCTAGAAGGAAATTTTGTTTTCTTCCAGTTAACATTACATTCAGTCTGCAGTTAAAGTTTTTAAACATTAATTAGATTCATAAACTATCCTGGATTTTTACCAAACTTGGACAGAAGCTTCTTACAATCAAAAGATAGTATCAAGAGGAATATTTTTATTGATTTACTTCCTCATTTTTGTTGAGCCTGCGATTAACAGAAAAAGTAGGCGAGACACTGGGTTCCGCGGAACCCTTACAAATTTTACTCATATATGGACTTAGTTTTTCTGCCAGTTAACATAACATTCACTCTGTGGTTAAAGTTTTTCAAATTTTAATAACTTTCCTAAACTATCCTGGATTTGTACCACACTTGGACAGAAGCTTGTTTCTGATCATAAGATAGTATTCAAAAGTAAATTTTGTTAAAAAAAAAATCCTGTTTATCTGTATTTCACTTATAAATGGACTTAGTTTTTCTGCCAGTTAATATTATACATTCACTCTGTGGTTAAAGCTTTCAAAATTTTAATAACTTTCTTAAACTATCCTGGATTTATACCACACTTGGACAGAAGCTTCTTTATGATCAAAAGCTAGTATCTAGAAGGAAATTTTGTAAAAATTTATTTCCTGTTTTTCCGTATATTACTTATAGCTGGACTTAGTTTTATTCCAGTTAACATTACGTACAGTCTGCAGTTAAAGTTTTTAAAACATTTATTAGATTCATAAACCTTCTTGGATTTTTACCAAACTTGAACAGAACTTCTAACAATCAAAAGATAGTATAGCTAGAGGAAAAATTTTTAATAATTTTTTCCCCATTTTTGTTGAGCCTGCGACTAACAGCAAAAGTACGCGAGACACTGGGTTCCGCGGAACCCTTACAAATTTTAGTGTTTCTGTTGTGTCTTTGTTCTCCTCTTATATTTGATGTGTTTCCCTCAGTTTTAGTTTGTAACCCGGATTTGTTTTTTCTCAATCGATTTATGAATTTTAAACAGTGGTATACTACTTTTGCCTTTATTTATATGTACATTGCATATGAAATATATTAAGATTTAAATAGGAGCATTACTAAAATTGAAATAATGTGATGGAAAGATATGCTGTTGTTGATTGCAAAGATATTTACAATTATTTTCCTGGTTTGTTCTTTACTTGGATTTACTTCACTTTAGAAATATACTTGTGACAAACAGATATTTTTTGTTTTCAAAATAGAATTAACAAATCCTTGTAGATTATTTAAATCCACAAATTTCGAGGGCATTTGAATTATCCACAAGAAAGCTGAAAATAAAATTAATTAACTGCTTATTGTAAAAAAGAAATAAATAAGAAATTATACCAATTTGCTAGATGTACATAACTTTGGCATTGCAATGATTTAATAGTTGTTTTCTTCCTACCAGGTTTAAAAATTCCACAAATTCAAGAGGCACTGGGCCATGCTGTCAATAATCTTGTTAAACATTACTATAAACCAGAAAAGGAGGTTAGTGCACAAACTTTATAATTTTACTTATATAAAAAAGATTCAGACTAGCTGAACAACACATGTTCATATACCTACCCTAGGTCAAGAACCATACAACTTTTTTTATGCCCCTGCCATGGTGGAGGGGGCATTAAGTGTTACCCTTGTCCATCCTAAAATTAGTTTCCGTTCTCTAACTTTGGTTTGTCTCAACCAAATGTTATGAAACTTATACATAATGCTTATTACCATAAAACACAGATCAATTTTGAATTTGGGTTGCTTCACTTTTACCTTTCTTGAGTTATGCCCCTTTATAAATGAATTTTTCATTTCCATTCTCAAACTTTAGTTTGCCTCAACCAAATGTTATGAAACTTATACACAATTCTTATAACCATGAAACATAGACCAAGTTCGAATTTGGGTGGCATCACTTTTACAGTTCTCTAGTTATGTCCCTTTATAACGTCATATGCAAGCAGGAGCATCATCTGTGTCCCATGGACACATTCTGTATTTATTTTGTCCCATCTTACTGGTTTCTTTTTTTAAGTATGGAATTTGATGTTGATGTCAGATCTTTTTTTATGTTTAATTTTAACTTGTAGACTTTGTACAATTTTTATACCGACATATTTTATGCAATTTTGGGACATTGAATAGCAGTCTTGTTGACACATTTTTCAACTTTTAAGTATCTAGAAAGTCATATCTCCTCCTGTATACAAACACATACTATGTATAGTAGAATCACTTGTTTTCAAGCTAGCAAATCAAATACCTGTGTTAACAGTATTATCAGAAAATAAAATGGAAAAACAAGATGTATAACAAAAGTTCAGCAAGCAAGTAGATTGTATGCTGATCTATGAATGGTATTGAAATTAACTTTTGTAAGGCTGAATGATTAGAAAAGCAATATTAAAGCACTCATAAGATAATTAGAATAATCACTTGTATGGTTGTTGTTTTGCCTGTAATAGATCTCACTTAATGGGAAACATAGTCTCTAATAGTGGAGGTAGCAAAGTAGTTAGTTGATTGAGCAAAACTTTATATTACATAAAGAAGAAAAGCTAGTTCACAGATCTTTTGTTTATAAAACTTTGTGTTCTGGAGTTTCTCTTTGCTGTCTGTGGGTTATTCTAATTAACTTGATCTACATAACATGACATGAGTCATCTGACTTGGAAGTCATTTTCACAGAATTTTGATGTTTCTGCATGTCTGCTCCTACTTTGAATATACATGTGTTTTTCAGAGAGGAAGTCTGACATTTTTGCTGTGTGGTGAACGTGGACTGGTTCACTGTTTAGAGCTGGTATTTAATTATGGCTTCAGATCCTCAAGGTTGTTCCGTAATAAGATGTTTGTCTGGGATTTTCTTGGTAAGTATGTTCTTTTACAAATGAAATATAACCTTTAAACACTAGTATATTTAAGATGTCATGTCCAAATACTCTATAAAAACTGACAAAAAAGGAAAATGAGCAGTAACAATTTTACAGCCTTCTAGAAGATGAGTTCTCTTTATCATGTAGGACAGACACAGTTTGTGTTCTACAGCTGTTGAAGGTTTCATCAATATCTGTTTAACTGTTTAGGAGTAGTTACAAATCTATACTGGGAATAATAAAAATACTTTTAATTTTCATGAATTGTGGTAAAAAGTGGCATATTCTATGTATTAATTATTAAATTTTTGTAGATTTAAAGAGGTTTAAGTATTTTAACAAAATACAATTTTTGTGTTAAACCAATGAAATCAAGTGTCCACCAAAATAATTTTTTTTCACAATCCAAGAAAATTGGTATCAACAAAATAAATGAATACAAAGTACCTGTTCCATATTGAAAACTTACAACTTTTTCAAGATAAAGAAATGCATTGGTAAAGTGGTTCTTGAATTAAATGCCTTGAAAGTTTAAATATAACATGACAGTTTTCATAATTATGAAATGAAAAAAACTGTTTGTTTACTATTATCATTGTAAAATATTACATTTTTATAGAGAAAGTGAAATCCCATGTAGAATGTGTTATGTCAGGGCAAGTGAGAAGAGCAACTAACAACAATCCATTTATATTATGTGATCTGATCGATAAAATCAACGCCTCAGCAGAAACTATTGGGAAGGATGGAAAGTTTCAAGTATTTGTCTGTGTAGGGATTAGGTATGTATTATTTTACACAGGCCCTCTCTCATAAGGCAGCTCCTCTTATATAAGGCATACTTTATTGTTCATTATAGTAGTAATATCTTTGTAAATTAACGTCTTACAAGAGACCATATCTATAATTCGGCCACATTTTCTCTGCTGAAGGGGTGGCATTCTGAGAAGGAAACTATTTGTTGCATTATTTGCACAAGAAAATCATTGCCTTGACAGAAACAATCAGAATAGAAAGAGAATTTGTAGATTGAATGACATTGATACTTAGATGTACATTGTATAAGGAATTTTTATGTAAGTCTCTAAAACACTGATGTAGAGTGTTTCTGATGGCAAATATCTTCACATCAATTTTTCTTCATCTATTTCAGTTTTCTTATTTTCTTGAAAAGTCATTATACATGTATGTGGATTTTTTTAGTTTGTAGTTTCAGAAACTAGATTTTAATATGCCTTCTGTTGGCAATTGTTTGTTATGATTAACCATGAATCTAAAAACAAATTAATAGCAATTCAATTAAAATACGTTTATTCTGTTTTTTCAGAGACCATACGTTACAGAAACTGATGCCAATAATTGCCAATACTCCAATCACGGCACAGTTGTACGAGGAGTCATCATTCCTACGTAATTCTAGTCATATAAAGTATCTAGTTCACATACTCAGCACATTGGACGAGTTTACAATCACTTTAGAGTCCTCATTACTTCGAGGGATTAATATCTGATTTTAATACATTGTTAGTTTGTTTAAATTGTTGTGATAAGATTTGTGTTTGTGAATGTATATATCTAAAAATCAAATTTTTGTGATTTTTTTATGTAAAATAATATATTCAAATGGTTCTAGCCTAGGTGTTCTTTGGCACCTGGATATTTATTGCTTGCCATTGGAGAAAAATTATTGCATAATCAAGATTCGTTTTCATTTTTTACCTTCAATGCCCTTTTAAACAAGAAAAAAAAAATATTTTACAACTCTTTTAATTTTATTTATAGTACTGTGATACTTGGACTAATGTTTGTATAAAAGATATGTTACAATATGCTGGACATGTTGGTTTTATAATTTACTTGTATCATCTGAAAAAGCCAAAGTGTATGATTAATGCATAATATTTGGATAAATGGGATACTTATATAAAAGTAATCTAATTGGTTGTATAGCTATGGTATGACACATTATCTAGGTCTTCCTATGTTTTAAAGTATATGAGTATATGAGTATATTGGGGTGATACCACCAGTTTATGATAGCCCATCTTTAATAGTGGAGTTGAAAATAATTATTAATTGTTTGTTCAGACTGGGCCTGGATTTGTGGTTCTATACCTTATGCCATTGAACACATATGATTTGGGGGATTTCCATAACAAAACTTCTATTCAAATTTTGGAGATTGAAATATCAATTTAGGCACATTATTTTTCAGTGAAATAAAATATTTTAATGATTGAATATTGTAGATTAATTTATTTTCGTGGGTACCAATTTTTCGTGGAGTGAGGAAACATTGTTTTTTCATGGATATTTTATTTCATGGTTTTGGCAAAGTCTGCACATAAGCCGATAGAAAATGTGTACATTGTTGTACATTTGAATTTCGTGGTTCACCTATGTCCACGAAATCCACAAAATTTGTATCCCACGTATAATAATGAATTCACAGTAACAGTTTAGCTTCAAATGAAAGTTTAGCTTAAATTAAGTTAGACTATGAATGCATGAATACAACACATTCTGGTGCTCATTTTAAAAATTTTAACTAGCTTTTTATTGCATAAAGGAAAATAAACTTTCCTCAAAGAAGATACAATACAAATTTTTACTTTCAGTTTCAATTTTGAAGAAAAATTACAATAAACACATTATAAATTGTTTCTACAATGAATTAAGAATTCAAAGAAATACAATGTAATGCCCTTATCAACTGAAATATCAGTCTTTTATACAGAGCTATTTGTTTTACAATATTGTAGTAATGTTTTTGGTTATGTACTTCTTACTCCTAAAACCTGATGCAATGTTATTGTTTTTGGTGGTATTACCCCTTTTAAAGAGAACATATAACATTGGTCACAGAAAGTTTTCAGAAGTATTAAATTCTGTGATAATAACACAGGGTAGAAAATAAAGTTGAGCATATTTAATGTATGTATGTTATGTTTATATTTTTTATGTGTTGTGACTTTTATATGGTGCATTGTGTAAATATTGTGCTTGATAATCTACAAAACCGTGAATTGTTTTCCATGTAGCAGTTATGTTGTGCTTATTAACATCACATAGTTTCAGTATTGTTATAGAGTCTGGTCAAAGCTGATATAAAATATGTTAATATTTTACTCATATACAATAGCTGTTTTCACAAGTTGTTTAAGACTTATACGTTATCTCTTGTCTCAAAATTATTTTTCTCACCACCAATTTATATTGCAGAGTCTTCAAGCTATAATGTAAAATATTAATTTTGAGTCAGTCACTTGCATATAATACAGAAAAATTTGTTTAGATGAAGTGCTTCTTTGTAAGTAATTGCGCCATTCATTTCATAGCTTTTTTTTCAAATTTTAATTAACCTTTAAGTTCAATTAAATAAGCTTTACCATACTTTTGCTTCTTGCCAATGTTTATGCCTGACCATAATTTTATCCACTATAGCTTGGTGTATATTCAGCTTTCTCTTTTTATAAATTGATTTATTGAACACAAGTAATATTAAGTCCATTTTTGTTGGATTTGATAAGTCATTGTAAAATTTATTTATTATAAAATCCCCCACTTTGTAAAGAAGGAACATGCACAATGATCAATTTGTCCATTTGTTAGTTCATTCCTTCGTCTGCTAGTCTTTTATACAAGCAAATCCTTCAAAATCAAGGATTGGATTTCACTGAAACTTATGATAGGCTAAGTGCCTCTTGACTTTTTATGCTCTCTACTTTATTTTTCATACTAAATGTTTTGTTTTTTTGTGATTTCTAAAAGCAGATATGCTTTGCCATTTCTACATACTAAGTGTTGAGGGTCAATATATATCGACAACTCTCACAAAACCAGTTACTGGATTTAAATAAACCTTTTAGAAAATATTCAATACCTAGTTATGGCTTTTTAACATTTCCAATTTTAATTTTATTCTGAATGATTTTGAGGTTTCCCATAGTAAAACACAGACTCAGTTTTATGTGTTCAAATGGAATAAGAGGAGGTTTGAATTTGCTAGCTCACTACCATTTTTTAGCTTCTTTTTATTTTTTACCTTATATGACAAGTTAACACAAATTCTTATTGCAATATCTTTTGATTTGGTTATAATATGATTGAAGATGTTTAAACTTGTATTAACATTGTCAGTTGTCTAGAAGTTTTATCTGTTAATATTCAAAGTTCACTTAGTTCTGGACTTTATTGTGTTCTGTTATTCGTGCAATAATTTCCACTCATGCTTTTCCAATGAAAACATCAATGTTGATTTGCCATCTTCGAAAGAAGATCAACTGGCCATGTTTATTGCAATCATTTCTATAATCTTACATAAAGTTTTCAAAATAAAACACATATATTTTTGTATGAATGTGACAAAATTTTAATCCTAAATTAGTCTCGATAACAGTATTATCTTTTAATGGCATGTTAAGTGAGTGGTGTTTAATTCATCGTGCTGCGGCGTCCTCCAACAATGAAAACTGGTCACAATAATAAAGCCAATAGTGTTGGAAGTGGCATTAAAGATCAATCAATCATCAACACAAATTTAGATAAAAGAATAACAAATTAATCTTATGCACCATATGAACAATTCAGTAGAAAAAAATAGTTCAGAATGGATAAAACAGAAATTGACAGACTCAGTTTGGATATATTACGGTAATTTCCTTTTTTTCCAAATGAAATATAAAGTCTTCAGATACAGTTATATCTTCATATTTTTTGAAAGAAGGCTTGAAAGTATATGCATTTTTTTTTTTTTTTTCAGTAGCAATTTAACCTTTTGTGTATGAGAATATAAGATTCAGTCCTGTCAATAACATGATTGTAATTTTTATCAGTATAGAAAATTGTTTGTGCCAAATTTGACATTGTTAACTTTAATATAGTAAATTTGTGTACTTTGTTTTTTATGTCCATAAATATATAATGGTATATGTACGGAAATGCAACAGTTCAAGAAATGTAAATGAACTACACAAGATTTTTTATGTTATGACCTTTTTCTTTATGTACTGTCAAATATATGCATTTGTAAGGGGGAACTCAAATCTTATAACTGTTCAAAGTATCCTCCTTTAACCAGAAAAAAAATCAATATTGCATCAATGATAGTTAAGTAGCTAGTTAAGAATTCACTTGTAGGTGTAAGGACAAAAGGAAGGAATTTCATAATTTTAACTGATATAAGGATAACATTTCATTTTCCTAGAATATATTTCCTGTATATTTTTTTTTATTTTGTTCTTTTACATGACATTTTCACAACTGCTCAATTTTGTTAATTTTTTTTTACCTTTGTTGTATTTTATGCAAACAGATTACTTAGATTTTCATATTCTAGTTATCGTTCAGTTTTGTTAAACACAATTTTACTGCAGGCAAATACAACAGTAAAAGTTGTCTGTAAACACAAAATTCAAAAAAAAAGTTTTAATTGGCCTTTGAATAAAAATGTGCACACCCACTCAGTTGCAATATTATTACACTATTTAATGACAGTAATTGGTAAATGAATTACCAAGAAATGTTAGGGCTTATCATTTTGAAGAAATGAGGTTGTATAAAACGGTTTCTTAAGATCAAGGTATCTATGCTTTTAAAACAACAATATATTGAAGTTACAGGACACACATGAATAATACAATTTATACCTTCCTTGTTGATTTAAAATCAAAATTTGTTTATTTTGATCTCCTTAGTTCTTAGAACATTTAAAATAAAAATGTAGATACCAATCTCTTTGTTTTGTCTATCTAATCATAATAATCTCAATGGTCTTACAGATGCATGCTAGCTTAAAGTGTGGGAAATTGATGGTTTGATCCTCAGATGGGTTATACCAAATACTTTAAAACTAGTATTTGATGCTTCTCTGTCAAATGTCAAGCTCACAGAATTTTTTACCAGGACCAAAGACTTGTCATCTTGTACAGTAAAAATAATGTGTCTGAGTATGATGATATGCAGTCCTGTGGTACAAAACTGGTATCTTAACACAGAATATATGTTATGTTCCTTTTATTAGGGCCCTCCCAATTATTCGGTGGTAGGTTTATAGTAATCGTCTGTCCATCACAAATAGTTTCTGATCTTTTACTTTAAAATCCCTTCCAGTTCAGGGATCAAACTTGGCATGATTACACACCACTATTAGAAGGTGTGTCATGTTCCTTAAAGAAAACGGTAAGTTGATGATCATGGTCAAAAAGTTAGTTGAACTTAGTGTGCATATATGTGTATGTTGAATAACCCTGATTGAAACACAATTTCCCTATTTACATGCTGTGGGGCCCTCATCACAATCCTCTATTTTGTGTTTAAGAATCAATCATTTTTTCTATTTACTTTTTACATTCACTGAACATTTTTGTGATGTACAACACATAAATAGGTTTTAGACTAACTGTTGTATAAAACTTCATCAAAATAAGAGGTTTACCAGATATACCATGGTATAAGGACAAAGAAATTTAAACAAATGTATAGTAAATGTAAGTGTCAACATATTACTGTGTTTGGCATAGTAATACATAAGGGATAAATTTTTACAAGCTATAGTAATTCTCTTGTAACAGTTATTTGTTGGACTTTTTTTGGGGGGGATGGATCATGCAAAAGTGTGAATGTTTGGCTCCTTATAGGTTTTAATTCACACACACAAAAACTGCAACAATTTCAAATAAAAAGTTTTTTTTTTGTTATTGATGCCAATAAGTCCCATGGTATCCTATTCAATCTGTATTGAATCTGTTGAGAGAACAGATAATAGCGTAAAATAGAATTGAATGAAGGCATCAATGTCTGCTAAAGAATTACAGTTGTTCACATATCTCACAAGTCAATCACTAGATTTGTTTCATTTTACCCATTATCCATAGACACAGAATGCCAATGCCAGTATACACCATTGTTCTCCCTGTATTTTCATATAGCAAAATTTGAAATATTACAGTTTCCCCTAAATCATAGTCCATATTTATAATACATTCTGTTATACAACATGTTATAATAGTGCCAAGGATATCACATATAGTGAAATATCCTGAAACATGCATGAAATATTTGCTACTGAATTTTAAGCAAACAACAATCAATTAATACAATATATATTAAAATGGTATCATGGTGTTATTAGGCCCTGGGCAGAAAACTATAAATCAATACTGACCTGCTTTATACTAATGAACATCAATGCGAAAATAGGTATATGCTGCTACTTCACTGAGCAAGCTGTATATAGGAATAAGAGCAGATTGGTCAACTCAGAATCATAATACTGCGTTCAAACAGGGTGAAAAGGTTTGTCACCTTGTGAACCAGCACAATTAAGTGCAATTACTATTCGCCACTGCACGTTAATCACCAATTCATACATACATCCATCCTTGGCCATTATCTCACTTAAATTTATTCACAAGTTACTTGACTCTGGTGATTTACTGCTTAAGCTTGACTTGTACGAACTATTGTCCATCCGAAATTTGTGACAGTATGTTGAACTTCATATGTTTATCTTTAGTTGTTGAATCGCTGTTTTCCTTGGAGTTCGGTATTTTTGTTATTTTACTTTTTTCATTAATACTCCCCCCCCCCCCCCCCCCTCAGTCTAGTACATATATTAAGAATGCTGGAATGATACATTAAATTTGTGTTTGGTCCGATATGAAGGTGCACATGAAAAATACTGCAAAAAATTGGATATTGGTAGATATGACTAAGATAAAACTGGCAACGCAGAATCATACATAATACAACTCTTGCCGAAGACAAATCTTAACAAGTTGATTGAATAATGTGTGTCACATGTCATATTAAATGTTTTACCGCTATTCATTTGCATATAAATTCAGAAAGTGCTCTGTGACCCTTTCAAAAAAGACAAAACAAGAATAAAACATTACCGAGAAACAATTTTTTCTGAACAGCTCACTCCTCGTAAAGAAAGCAAACTCACTCAATGTTTTGTGGCAAAAAACCTTTATTGTCTAATGTTTTTTAATTAATTCATTATTTAGTATGTGATACCGTTAGGTTTTCTTTCAACAAAACCTTACACACAACAGATGCTATTTATAATTCTCAAACCACTCAAAGATCGCAATTTTGATGCATCTGGGACTAATAAATGCACGTTCATGGTACATGTTAATCTGTTAGTCACATGATGCATATAGGTATATCATAGGCCAACTGCCTGGAAGCTAAATTACTGTTAGAACTCTTCAAAGATACCAGGCTTATAATTCAGTACGACAGACGCGCGCAAAGTGTACAATGTTCGCATACAATACAAATGATTATCCTAACAGCAGCTGTAATAACTACAACTAATAAGGAGCCTGAAATGTGGGTCCTAGTAAAAGTTGTTATGTATTTAAAATTATAAACAATATGAAAGGTTTACTTTTTCAATTTTCTGTTTTAGAAATATTCTGGATTTTGATAGATATCACTAAGTTTCAAACATGAAATTGCAAATCCGTCAAAAAAGTCCAATCTTGCGCTGTCAGATATGGATTTAACGAGTGAAATTTATGATAAATTCCGATTAACAAATGTTTATCGAATTTGGATGAAATTATTATAATCTAGTCTTTTTCTTTGATACCATTTAACGCTTTTTGTCCAATAACCTCTATGTCTCAATGTATTACAAATATACCTATTGATACAATACATTGAAATTCTTTATTTCAATACCTTTTATACAGTTTAACGTTCATTTCGTCTAATTCACGTCATTTGAAAATTCAAATTTTTTGAATGCATGTATCTCAAATATTAGCGATCGAATCTGTTCATATTTTCGTTCATTTTTGTCTCGCCTTCACGGAATCAAAAAGAGAGAGATAGGTATGCTGTTCCCGGCGGCGGCGGCGGCGGCGTCAACAATGTATTTGTTTGTGATTAGGTCAGTTTATCGGCAACCACTAGAGGTAGGTCAATGATATTAAGTATGCAGTTGTATCATCATTGACACATCTCATTTCCATGGAGATAATGTGGCCCAGTCCCCTTTGTCTAGGTCTTTTGACTGAAACTTTTGCTTGATTTACATAATTTTATTAGTTTGAGATTAGGTTAGTTTATTGGGAACCACTCGTGGTAGGTCAATGATATTTGGTATGCAGTTGTTTTAGCATTGACACATCTCATTTCTATGGAGATTGTTTGACCCCGTTCCTCAGTCATGTTCTTTTGACTTTTAAACTTTTGCTTAGTTTACATGTTTTAGTTTTTGATTAGATCAGTTTATGGGGAACATCAAGTGGTAGGTCAATGGTATTTGGTATGCATATGTATTAGCATTTGCACATCTCATTTCAATGGAGATTGTTTGGCCTTGTACCTTCAGTCATGTGGTTCATTGACTTTGAATATTTTGCATAACTTGCATGCTAAAGTATTAATATTTTAATTTCAACATTTTCATTTTACTATCAAAATAATAAAAAGGCTAGACATATCTCTGTGTTAACAGTTTGTTATATATCTACGTTTGATAAGACATATTGAATAGAAATGTTGTTATTTTGGATGTCAGCAGCATTGAACATTTTTCACCTTTTCTGCCAACTTTTAAAAAAGTGTGGCTTAAAAAAATGTAGCGGGGAAGGGGGCATGACACCCCGTTTTATTCCTTCACTCAGACATGAAAAATGATTGCAAAAAACTGAAGTATTGTTGCCTTATGCACTACCATTGATACATCACTAAGCGTTCTTAAGGCCGTCTTGGACGTATGCATGGTTTCCTCTAGCTGTTTGCTATTTCATATTATTCTTTTTTATTTGTGTTTGTGTGTGTGTAGGTGTGTTGCTGTGTCAATGAATCTCTCCTTTAAGTCATAATATATAAGAAATAGACTCAAACTCAACCAATTCAAATAAAAACTTGACGAACAAGTAAAAAGTTAAATAACAAAAATACCGAACTCTAAGAAAAAATTCAAAACGGAAAGTCCCTTCTCAAATGGCAAAATCTAAAGCTCAAACCCATCAAACAAATGGATTATAACTGTCATATTCCTGACTTGGTACAGGCATTTCCTTATGTGGATTTTATAGCTAGCTAAACCTCTCACTTGTATGACAGTCGCATAAAATTCCATTATATTGACAACAATGTGTGAACAAAACAAACAGACATAATAGGTAAAAATGTCAAAAATAGGGGTACAGCAGTCAACATTGTGTTATAATCTTAATCACTAAAAAAAAATTATGTCAACAAAGAAAAAAAAATGGCATATAGACAAAGTACATAAGCACAAATGAAAGACAAGAATACAAAAAATGACCATAGCACAATAACACAATGACGGGATGTATAATGAATTCTTAATGCGTCTTGCATATCACTTGTTATAATTCAGGCCATCAACCAACATGACCACCATACCAGCTAAAAATGGAACATCGGGTAAAAATGAATTTCAAAATAATTGTCTTCACACTTGAAAAGATTAAATGATAGGTAATAGTTGAAAGGACCAAAATACCCGTGAAGAATGGATCTATTGTAAACTCCCCAAAAGTCAGAAGATTCATTATTGGGATTGATACTCATAACTGGCCGAAACTTAGGATTTTAATGAAGTCAGGAATATGACAGTTGTTGTCCATTCGTTTGATGTGTTTTGTCATTTGATTTTGCCATGTGATTAGGGACTTTCCGATTGAATTTTCCTCGGAGTTCAGTATTTTTGTGATTTTACTTTTTTTTTTTGTATGCA